TTTCAAAAGCTTCTAGATTCCTTCAGGAGGCATCATTTGTCCTCTGGTGGTTAATAGCCAGAATCAGGTCTTGGGGTCTTCTTCATCTTGAAGTTTTCAATAAAATTTCACCTTTGAGTATAAATCCCTGATTTTGGAAGGGAGGAGTAGGAAAATGGAGTTTGCTAGCCCTAGGACAGTTGATCATGTGTTTCTTCCCAGTAAACAAGAGCAACTCTACCCCTGGGAAATCAACCTCTCCCAGCTGGGACCTGGAGTAGAATTGGTTTCAACAGATTGGGTGGTAAAGTGGGTAAAGGACTGGTGTCTAGGCTCTGCCTGGTTAGGGAAGGCTCAGGTAGGTGACTTGTTCATTCACTCTCCCCTCCCTAGAAGCAGCTTCTCTGGTAGCACAGGTCAGATTTGTCCCTTGTGTGCAAGAAGAGAGAGACAGTGTGGTATAGTGATATAAGACCTTTGCACTTTTGAGTCTTTAAAGCCCATGTTCAAGTCCCAGCTCTAACACAAGCTTCATGACCATAAACAAGTCACTGTACTTCATTGAGACTCAGTTTTTTCATCTGTAAAATAAGGTAATTCTTTACACTGTTATTCTAGGGAAATCATTTGCAAGTCGTATGTAGATTCTCACATGGATTTGTGATCTCATCAATTCACAAGTTCCTTTTAGGGATACAGATCACTCCCTAACGATGCCTCCCCATCCTTGCAACTCTTGTCTTTGTTCTCTCCATAGTTTGCTACAAAGGGTCCACCCAGTGTGCTTCCTCCGCTCTCCCAAGAAGTTACCAGAGTACCAGTGGAGCTCTGGGTCTGTCCATTCACTCCTGACACATGACTAGCCCATCTTCTCCTCCTGTCGTGGTATTGCTGGATGATATCCCTAACTTTGTAGTCCTTCTTCATAGTTCATGAAGCATCTTAATCCCATCCACTCTCTCACTGCTTCCATTGATCTGTGGTACTTACTCATATTTAATTCTTCAGAGGTGGTAGTGTTCCATTTCTTGCTGCCATCTAGCAACAGGGGTGAAATAACAGAACTGGAAAAATGTGATTTCACTTTCAAGGGAAGCATGGTATCATCAAAGAAGCTCTGCAGTTTCCCCAAAGAAAATTAGCTCACTCTCGCTCTCCCGTTCAGCCCGAGAAGTAACTCATTTTCCATCTCTGCTGACTATCCCAGGTATACATACTATTGGATAAGATCCCCAGGGTGTCTATCCAAATCGATTCTGAAATGTTGACATTCTTCATCCATCTGCTGTTTCTTATGTGCGTGGGCAGGGCAGATTCCTTAGAGTGTGCTCTATGACCACGAAGCAGAGCTGGGATTGGCATTCAGGTCGTAGGACCACAGATCTTGGCCTGGAAGGGACGTCAGAGGCCACATATCTCACCTCCCTTATTTTACAGACGAAGCATCTGAGCCCAGCGCAGTGATGTGGCCTGCCCACAGTCATAGAAGCATTAAGCTCTATCAGCGGCGCTATTCGAATCAGTGTCCTCTGACTCTCAGTCCAGAGCCCTATCCATTGTGCAACACTGCCTCCCCCACCATATGCCTTCTGTGTAGGGGAAGAAAAGCACGTCACTGCTGCTGAGTGAAGCCTAATGCGTGATGATGAACCTTAGCAAGCACAAGTCCGTGTAGCCCCGTTAAGAGAGAAGGAAGGAGAGGCAGTCTAACTGAGCTTTAAAAGTGGGCCTTTGGCTCCCAATTGTCTTTCCAGCACTTATTGTCCCACTTAGCAGGCTCCAGGTATCCCCCTGCCCAGCGAATCAAAGAGGCCTCCTTACTTGGTATCTCGTTCTTTATGGCTGCTTTATTTGGCATTAAAATTTAACGATGTGTCTCAGATAACATGAAGAAGAGCCTCACCTGAGATCACGTCTGCATTTCCCCTTCTTCCCCTGCAGTCCCAAGACATGGTCTCAGAAGGAGCTTTTCCAGGGGAGGAGTCACATTTTTGAGTCTCTGCTCCCCCACCCCAGCCTGGCACTCAGTAGGTGCTTCATTCACACTCACTGGTGTTGTTCTGCAAAGAGGACTGTGGGCTTCACCAGACTGCCAAAGGGAGCTACGACACCAGAAATGATAAGCACCCCTGTACTAGGGTTCGGCTGCAGATTGGGTGGGAAGCCCCCAATGCGCAAGGTATACCAGCAGGCTAGATAGTAAAGCTCAATTGTTCTGGTGGTAAATAATTTCCTTTGGTTAGAATAGAGAAAGGAAATAAAGAGGTTATACAAACATTTCTCCTTTAGAGTCAGTTCAACTGATTAAAACCATTTCTACCATTAAATAATTTAACACTGCTCAGGAAAATGCTAAATTTCTTTTCTGGGTCATCAGTAGACACGTCTACCAAGGAGGCATTGGCTGTTCTGTTAGCAGAGACAGTTGCTCAGCCCCTTTTTCACTTAGGTTCTCTCCAAGGATGACAGGATGGGGAGAGTTGGAGGCAGAGCCATGGCCTCAGGCATGGAATTAATAGATTTCAACCTAGAAGAGACATTAGACACCATCAAGTCCAACCCCTTCATTTTACCAGTAAGTAAACTGAGGCCCAGTGAAGCTAAGTAGACTGCCCAAGATTCCATAGGTAACAGGTATCAGAGGAAGGATTTGAACCCAGGTTCTCTGCACCATGAATTTCCCTAGTTATTACAGTAGTACCTGGTAATTTCCCAGTGTTTTGATTCCCATGAGTATTTTAAATTAAACATCATTTGTGTTTTTAATGAACGAGCATTTGTTTGCTCTTTTTTCTACACCGCCCCGCTCCTGCTTCCGTGCGAAAAAGAAAAGGAAAACAAAAGCATCACGACAAATATGCAGCCAAGCAAAATAGTCTCCTCCACTGGCCACGTCCAGGGGCACACCTCATTCTGCATCCTGAGTCCCTCCAGAGATAGGTGGCACTACTTCTCCCTGGTCTTCCGGAGCCATGGTTGGCCATGGCATTGGTCAGAGCTCTTCAGCTCTGCTGAGCTGGTTCTCACAGTATTGTTGTTACGGCAAAAACAGGCCTCCTGTTTCTGCTCGCTTCCCTTAGCATCATGAGTTCATATGAGCTTTCCCAGCCCCACTGGTGCCACTAAGGATACCCTGGGGCAGGAGGAGGAGCATCGATTCCCTGCTGCTCCCAGGCTTTCAGGGGAGCCCAACTGGCCACGTGAGCCCCCAGGCAGTCCTGGAGCTTTCACCCATATCCCCAAACCCCAGCACCAGCGTCTGCCCCATTGCACGAACGTAACAAATACTTGATTTATGATTTCAGATGTTAGAAATTAATTTCTGAATTACTTCTGACTTCTGAAGCAATTCCACTTATCGACCCACAAATCATAAAGTAGGGACTCAGAGAAATGCCATCACCAACAACCCTGGAAGTCCCTGGCTCTGACAGAACAGGTGTTTTCTGAGTCCGAGGACAGAACCGCAGAGAGAGACAGAGGAAATTGTCTGAATTCATCCTCCACTCCACCTCCCGAAGCCAGCCCAGGGCACATTGCCCAGCTTGATCCTCTAACAAAAGAAGTTCCTCGTCTCTAATATTATTATTATTATTATTATTATTATTATTATTATTATTATTATTATTATTATTATTATTATTTTCACCTTTTTTTTTTTTACAAAAAGTTCCTGGGTCTGAGATGCTGAGAGATGTGTTTTCCTAAAATTTTCTGGGGGAGTTTTTTTTTTTAAATTAGACTTTTTTGGGGTCGATTTAACTTAATGTTCCTGCTGAGAAATGAAGTATGATTTTATTTTTGTTTTTTTAATTACCTAACATTTGAAATTAATGCCCCAGATTGTGAGCCTGAGGGATGCAGCGGAGAAAATACTGAACTCAAAGTTACAGGCCCTAAGTTCAAATCCAGATGCCACTATTTTCTGCTGCCATGATTTTAGGGAAGTCCTTTAACTGATCAAGGCTTCACTTGTGGAGGGCCGGACGAGAGCACTCCTAGTCTCTTCTGGTTCTACACCCATGATCCCATGTTCCTGACCACATGACCTTGGGCAAGTGACTTTTCTTCTCTGAGCCTGTTTCCTCATCTGTAAAATGTGGGGGTTGGAGAAGGTAATCTCTAAAATCCCTTCCAGATCTGGTGACCCTGCGCTAAGGACATCAGCCTGGAGTGTGGCTGTATTACTATTATTTCTTTCTTTCTTTGGTATTGGAGCAGGTTGCACCATGTTAACCCTTGTTTGCTCTCAGATCAATCACTCAGTCAGCAGGCATTTGATAAACACCTGCTAGACTGGCTCAGTGGATAAAGCGCCGGGCCTGAAGTCAGGAAGACTCATCTTCCTAAGTTCAAATCTGGCCTCAGATACTTCCTAGCTGAGTGACCCTGGGCAAGTCACTTTACCCTGTTTGCCTCAGTTTCCTCATTTGTAAAAAGAGCTGCAGAAGGAAATGGCAAACCACTGCAGTATCTCTGCCAGGAAATCCCCAATGGGGTCACACAGAGTTGGACATGACTAAAATTGGCAACAACAAATGTGCTGGACACTGTGATCAGTGCCAGGGTACGGGTACAAAAATGAAACATTCCCTGCTCTCAGGAAGCTTGCCTTTTCTGACAACTAATAAGTGAACATATAAGTGCCTACTATGTGCCAGGCACTACAGTAGGTTCAAGGAACACACACAAAAATAAACAAAATGAAATGTTACCCCAAGGGATTTAGCTTTTATTAGGGATAATGTACATAGTCAATCAATATGCATGTATTAAACCCCTACTGTATGCCACAAACTGTGCTGGATGATAGAGCTGCGAAGATGAGTGAACCAGTCTCTGCCCTCGAGGAGCTTCCCTTCTACCAGAGGAGACCACACAGTCCCATACAAGTTCACATAAAAGACATTCAAGTCAACTAAAAGGTTCTCCCCTTTGTGTTCCAGCTCAACAACTGGGGTGGTCTTTGTACCCTGCCTGTAATTAATGCCTCGCACTTCTCTTTATGTGTGTATGCATAGCTTCATCATTCACAACAAAGACACTTTCTTCAACAACGCCACCAGAAGTAGAATCGTGCATCACATTTTACAAAGAATTAAGTATGAAGAAGGAAAAAACAAAATTGGTAAGTGTTCCATCTGAATCACTCAGCCTAGATGGAATTAGTAGGTGAGCTTGGGAAATGCCACTGATTGACAAAGCCTACTCACAGGAGGAAGAATTCTTCTCTGGATAATTTTATAATTTGCAACGTCTCTCAAGCTATCTTCTTTTATATGGCAATGTCTCATTTATCTGCCAGAGTAGAGGAATGATCTACTCAGTAGAAGTAGTAGTACTAGTTGTAGTAGTAGTAGTAGTAGTAGTAGTAGTAGTAGCAGAAGTAGTAATATTAGTTGAAGTAGTAGTAAAAGTCATAGTACTAGTTGTAGTTGTAATAGAAGTAGTAGTAATACTAGCTGTAGTAAGAGTAGTAGAAGTAGTAGTGCTAGTTTTTTTAGTAATAGTACTAGTTGTAGTGGTATTAGCAGAAGTGGTAGTAGTACTAGTTCTAGTAGTATTAGAAGTAGTAGCACTAATTTTAGTAGTAGCAGTACTAGCAGCTGTTTCTGTGGCTCTTATTTTAGTGGCAGTAGGAGCTGATTCATATGAGCATTTTCAAGTTTCCAAAGCATTTTCCCTACATCGTCTCATCTGCTGCTGACAACAAATGCATGAAGATAACATTGTAATTATTATTATTTCCATTTTACAAATGAGGAAACTGTGGCACACAGGTTCTATGACTCGCCCAGAGTCATATCATTAATGAGTCATAAATTACAGGAGCACAGATGGAGAGCTAAAAGGGACCTTACAGTTCATCAAGTCCTCATTTTGCAGATGAGGAATCTGAGGCTTGGCAGGATTAAGTGACCTGCCCATGCCACATGACTCATAAATGTTGGATGGTAAGAAAGTAAGGATTCAAATTGAGGTCTTCTCAATCGAAATCCAGTGTTCTTTCAACTACACCACTCAGTTTCCTAATTCTAAATCAACTTCTTGTCTACAATTATCACAAAGAGTTGAAATTCTCAACCTTTTCCCCATATTTCCTCATAAAAATTCCCAAGAAACATTCATGAGCTCTTCACCAAGAGTTAAAATGCATTAAAAAAGTATGGCTTGATGAAAGGGGATTTTTCAAAGATGGAGATCTACTCTCTTTTTAATGGGAGACCAATAATTCAAATTCTCTAAGGTTTCTTCCATCTCCAGATCCCATAATCCTCTAATCCTTAATCCTATGATCCTTGTCTGTTTACAGATTACACCCCCAAAAAAAGTACATTTTCATACCTCAAACAAGGTTAGGTACAACATGAGAGCACCAATGATGCCTGCCTGAAGGAGGCAACTACCCATGGACATCCTACTTAGAAGAAGAATAGAGACTGTGTCTGTGACTTCATTCACACAGGAAGCTCCCAGAAGAGGAAACACTCTGCCAGTACAGATTGGCACCTTTGCAACTTATGGTCTTATATGTTCAGAGCACTGAGAGGTTAAATGAGTAACACCCCCAATATCTGTCATAAGTGTCAAAACATTTGACCCAGTCAGGAGCTTAGAAGAAACGTGCTGCAAAAATGTCAGCACTTCAAACATCTCATAATGACAGAATGGAAAAGAGAAAAGTTACAGGCTAAACCAAGAGCATGGCGCTGCTCGTGGTGCTGACAGATAGGAACCAGTATACGACAGTGAAAGGATCTCCTGTATCAGAGAATCTGACCCTGGTAGCTTAGCGTGCTGGTAGGGAATAGGTGTAAAATCAGGAGACTGTGTGACCCTGGGTGAGTCTCTGCTCTGTGCTTGTTTGCTCATCTAAAGGATGACAGGGTTGGACTAAGAGGCCTGCCAGCTTCCTTCCAGCTCCAAGTCCTGCCTCTTCTACTTGCCCTCCTGGTGGCTTTGGGCAGGTGACTGACCAGAGGATCGTCGATTTCAAGCTAGACAGGACATTACAGGTTATTTAGCCCGATCCCTTCACGTTCTGGACAAACTGTTAAGACAAGGGGGTTAGACCAGTAGACTTTGAAGGTTCCCTCTAGCTCTAAATCTAATTCTATACCCTCAGCTTCAGTTTCCTCATTTGTAAAATCAGAGGTTTGAACTAGACGACGACCCCTAACGTTCTTTCCATCTTTAAAGCCATTATTCCCAAAGATTCGAACTTTATTTTGATTTAAGATGGATTTTGTGTTTTCCAGGTCTGAATCGATTGCTTACTAATGGCTCCTATGAAGCTGCATTCCCACTTCATGAGGTATTGTCCCTCTTCATTCCCCACCTTGTTTTTATATCCTGATTGTTAAGGATTCCGTCAAATCAAGTCCTATTCTGGCCCCTCATGGTGGCCTACAGGGGACGGTGGATTCTCCAAAGCTCTGCCAACAGAGCACATATTTGGCAGGAGCCCCCAAGTTGGAAGGGATTTGAGTGGGGGCCCCACCATGAACTGTGTGGCCGTCTTCTGTGGATCAGCCTAGCTAAACATAAAAGGGCTCACCTCCAGGAGTCTGACCACCGGACGATACATTTCCAGGGATCTCTTTGGCCCTACCTGCTGCTAAAGCCATCTTTCAAAGCATGGCGGCATTTGTAATTGGTACAAATTGAAGAGGTACTCAGCTAGGTGGTACAGTGGATAAAGCACTGGACTTGGAGTCAGGAAATCTGAGTATAAATCTGGCTTCAGATACTTACTAGCTGTGTGATTCTAGGCAAGTCATTTACCCTCACTGTGCCTCAGTTTCCCCATCTGTAAACTGGAGTTAATAATAGCACCTACCTGTCAGGGTGGTTGTGAGGATCAAATGAGATGTTTGTAAAGTGCTTTGCAAACATTAAAGTGCTATATAAATGCTAAACATTATCTTCATTATGTAATAATGGATTTTCAGGATTGGGAGGAATAGGGATTAGACCAGGGATTTCATTGGTATGGGGAACCCCCAGATAAGGAAACTGCCTATACTAGTGCAGGTTGTCACCTTCTCTGCAGCGTATTGCCCAGAGCACTCAGAGGTTTATCCACTTCCCCGGGGTTACCACAGCCACTGTATGTAGAGAGTGAACTTGCACCCCAGTCTTCCTGACTCTGAAGCCAGCTGTCTGTCCACCAGGTCATGCTTCCTCTCATCATTGTGAGGTATTGAAATATGACTAACATCTTCTGTTTTCAAACAGATATTTAGTTCCTCCCTTTGTTATCCATATTGATCATTCCAGGGTCTGTTGACTTCTTAATTTATCTCATTCTGTCATCAAGTGTCTGATAAGCAACTATTCTGAAAACAGTACTGTGTTATCACATTCTTTATGAGTAGAAACAAAACCAACTCAACACTGTTTTCTGAGGTAACCGTCACATACATGTGATATGTATTATATGTGTGTGTGTGTGTGTGTGTGTGTGTGTGTGTGTGTGTGTGCGCAGCCCATATAAGCCCTGGGCTTATTTCCCAATTCCCACTCATACTAATGAGTTAGGTCCCCAGCTACATACTGCCCACAAGGTTCTAAGAGGTACCCCTGAGATATAGTGAGATTTTCTCTAAAGCTGTCTGTCTGAGCCACCATTTTGGTTTCTTCTTCCCAATATAATTTGCTGATTACAATCAGTATCTCCCCTATATCACTGACTGACCCAATGATTAGCACTTTAACCGAATGACATCAATTAACTTTTAGAAGGATACATTTACTGAGAAGATACAGCAAAGCATCCTTCCAACACTAGGATGGAGCAGAGTATGCCCCAGTCTCTACTGCCACAGTCATTAGGGAGAGTGGATTCAAACTTAAGGCAGTTGCTATAAAGCATTCCCAGGACCATGTTTATTTCTGAGTGTGGTATAGATGCTGGACAGAATGACTGTCTTGCTGTAGGCTAACCTGGGTCGAACTCAAAAATCTGTTGGTGCCTCACCTGCTTTTATTACTGGCAAACTCTGATATGGCCTCCATTTCCTGGGCCTCTGGTGGCTGCCTTCTGTGCTTTTGAAGTTCAAGGGCTTATAACGTCTCCAATATTCCTTCACCTAAAAGCAGGAAAGAAAAATCAGAAGGAGGCAAAGAACAGAGGTGCCATGTTTTCACGACCACCTGTGAGCCTGTGGAGAAAGCAGGTCTTCCCACATGAAGGCTTACAACAGTCCTTGCCCCCATCACCTCCAGGGGGAAAAAAAAGAAACACTTACTTAGCCACTGAGTGCCTTTTCTCAGTTCTGAACCAGTAGCTGATTAGAAGTCCTTTCTTCAGCACACAGTAAATGGATAAGGAGCTATCTGAGAAAGTCTATGCATGCCTTGACATAGAGAGCTGCCTGCCTTCCTCACCCCATTCCATCATGACCTTCCAGAAGCAGGCTCTCCACACACACACACTCCCTCCCATGACTTGGGCCTCATTGTCCAGTCCCCCACCACCATCAGAGTATTGTAGAGACAGCCTGTTATGTAGATGGAGAGCAGGCTTTGGAGTCAGGAAGATCTAGATTCAAGTTCTACCTTCCACGTAGTCTGAGTGTGTGACCCTAGGACACGTAACCCCTGAATGCCCCTGGAAACTTTCTAAGATTCTGTGTAATAGAGAAGGTACTGCTCAACATTGGTAGAGTGAGTTCTGCATCAAGAATACAACTACACCAATAAAATCACAGGTTTGGCTCCCCCTACCAAAAAAAACAACAACAAACCTTTTTTACACATACATAGCATGATCATAAAATACTAAGACTCATTTTTATGCATGGCTGATAGAAATCAGGATCTTTGGTTTATTGTAACATTTTTGCAGGGATGACTAGAAAACCTATGATTCCTTCAATAATAGGGAACCTCCAGTTGAGGGACTTCCTCTACCAAATACAGATCAGCAACTCATCTGTATCCTATAATATTAGAGCATCTGGGAGACTGAAAGTTTAAAGGACCTGCCCAATATTTGTCAGAGTGAGGATCTGATGCCAATGGCACTCTCGTGCCTTCTTTACATACAGTGTCCCCAAATCTATATTGACGTTTTAAGCTAGCTTTAAATAACATGGCACAGTCCAGTTTTAATCCAGGACTAGGATAAAAATGATCGTTGTTACATTCTATTTAGGTATACGTTATATCTGTGCTGCACCTGACTGATCAGCTGTTTTCATACAAAAGAAGTATAATCCCTGTTTCCAAAAGGCTCTCCTACAGAGGCTACATAAACTGTGGCTGGCTCTTGAACATGGAAGCCAAATGGAATATTGAAAAAAGCAGTTTATTCAAATCTACCACAGAAATATTGCTAAAGTAGGCCCTGAACTTACAGATAAGGTATTTTCAAAACAAAAGAAAGTGATTCAGAGACATGCAGTTCTGTTACTCTATACCTCTTCATATTACATTATTTAACTTCATGTATACTTCATCAGAGTATATTAGTGTATACCAAAGTAAGTAGGAGTCAGGAAGACTTGGGTTCTAATACTGCCTCTAACATATTCTAGCTTGGACAAGTAGCTTAATGATCCAGTGTTGTAAGCAACACTTTTGGTTAGGGAGTAAACATTCTTCTTTATATTCCCAACATTTGGCATTTATCTGAGTATATATCCCATGCCCCCAGTACAATGTAAGCTCCTTGAAGGCAGGGACTGCTTTGAGCTTTGTCTTTGTATCCCCAATCCCAGCACATAGTGGGTACATAATACATGTTTGTTGAATGGAATTAGTTTTTTGATGTTACACTCTCGCAGCTCTTATATTTATAACCTGATGTCAGACGGAAATGTTGTTAAGTGATATTACTTGGTGTCCTTGTCAGTAATAGCATTGACAGTCTTTCTTTTTTTCTTTTTCTTTCTTTCTTTTTTTTTTTTTTTTGCAATCCCAGGGAAGTTACAGAAGTAAAAATTCCATTAGGACTCATGGAGCAGAAAACCACAGGCACTTGCTATATGAGTGCTGGGCCTCCTGGGGCGTGTGGTATAAATACCAGCCCTTGGATCTCATACGGTAAGTTCTGACCTGCTTATGACCACAAATGCCATCCATAGTCCAAGATCCAATGGTAAGAGAGCAACAGCGGGTAGAAGTAGCCATTTGTATAAGAAAAAAGGTAGCTGAGATTCCCAGATGTTGAATTGACCCAGTTGACCTCAGCTAAAGAGAGATGATTCATCATGGCAGAAGGGATGCTTCTTTTCCCATTGTCTACCTTCTTACTGAAGGGGCTCTTGTGTGGAGGACAGTGTTTGTTTGCTAATGAAGGGCTATGAGCAGAACTAATGCAGTCCCATAGTGCAGAAATATGTACTCCTTTTGGGGTCTCATATCATTCTCCATCAGGGGCAAGGGGATCAGAATTTCCTACTTCATGCTTTCAGCACTATTTCCTTAATTGACAAGATAGTGCAATACCAAAGATGGATCCTAGAAGGCCCTGATATAACAGTAATCTTTTAATCTTATCTCTGTTGTCCACAGAGGAATAGTTGCATTCATGTGTGTTCTGTCTAGACCTGTGATTTCACTGAGAAAAGGAAATTCTGGTGTGGAAACTCCACTCAGTGATATAGATCTTAGACAGTCTCCCAGGAGCACTGAGAAATTAACTGATTTATCCCTGATGGCATAGATAGTATGTTTTCTCACCACAGTTGCCTTTCAGAATACTACTATGCAATCCACAGGCTTTGGAAGCCCACGGTAAACTGGTCATTTTATTCACAGAAGGCTGTCAATTCAGTTTTATGGCTGTCCTGGTCTGCATGTAAGCAAGTTTAGATTCTTAAGACTGGGCAAGATACTCATAACTCTCTAAAACTGTAAATGGTAAAGTAGGTGCTAATCTTTATTACTGGAGAGAGTTTCCTTTCCTGGGAGTTCCCTATGCCAATGAAACCACAGACACATTCTCTGTTATTTTATCTGGAAACTAATTCCTAGCCTTAAGTACCAACTAGCCCAATTTTCAGGATTTCTTATGGAAAGAGCCAAGGATCGTTTCTTAAAGCTGCTGAATTAGTTCTGAGTTTACTGTGGAAGTAAAAGTGAACCAGGTAGGGAATGCAGCTCCATTTGCATTTTCATTTCCCTGGGGAGTCACTGATAGTACCCGGGTGCTTGTTACTATTGAAACTGTTGACTCATGGTGATCAAAAGGGATTGATGTGTTCTAAGCCTCTTCTTTGTGCAAGTGGGAAATGAGTCTTCTGAGGATCTATATAGATGGGAAATGTTTGCTAAGATGAAATCCCTCCTCTTTGAATCAATATCCTTTGCATCAGACAAATCCATGCAGTTTCAGGTCAACTCGACATGGGTATTATAAAGCAGGATTTAAGAGAGCAGAGGCACTAATACTAAATCCTCCCCAGCCTTTGTCCTGGTAGGATGACATTATACTGAGTGATGTTAGAGAAAACTGCCAAAGGCAGAAAAATATGGGTCCACAATCATGGTTTCAATTTGGATTTTTAAAGTCCGCCAACAAGTGTGTATCAAGTGTGTGCACAGCAGTGAAATATGAGGAAGAAAAAAAATCAAGGAAATGGTCCTAGCCTTCAATACATATATAGAATCTCAGCTAGAAGGGACCTTGGAGGTCAGCATGATGCCAAAAAAGGAAAATGTTCTGGCTCTGAAAGTCAGAGGACATGGGTTCTAATCTCTCTCTCTCTCTCTCTCTCTCTCTCTCTCTCTCTCTCTCTCTCTCTCTCTCTCTCTCTCTCTCTCTCGCTCTCTCTCTCACACACACACACACACACACACACACACACACACACACACACACACACACACACACAAAAAACCCTCATGTTGGGGATGCCATCAAGGGAATGGCTTAAAGCACAAATTGGACCAAGTAGGCCACCAGGGCCCCCTCCAGCTCTAAATCTACTATCCTAAGACAATGCATAATATCAGTGCAAAAAAAAAAAACTAAGGAAATCAGGCAGCTTTACTGGGGACTATGTTGTGAAAGGTCCTACAGAGACGAATGATTGTCCATATCAGAGAGGAAGAAGAATGAGTAGGTGGCGTGGTATATAATGATAGAAGACTAGAGGTAGAGGCTAGAAGACCTGGTTCAAATCCCACCTCAGATACTTACTACCTTTGTGATCCTGAGCAATCCACTTCATCTCTGTTTGCTTTAGTTTCCTCCTTCAATGACCTCAAAAGTCCCTTCTCATTCTAAATCAGGGACCCTGTGAATTTGAATAGGGAAAGATATAACAGTGTATTTTTTCCATTGCAGCTCAGCAAACTTTGTCTCATATTGCTGAACACTCAGACAGCAAAACACTAAAAATGTGAATAATTAGGAGTCATCATAAACATTGATAATGCTTTTAAAGTAGCAAATCTCAAAATGGTCCAGAGTGTTGGGGATCAGATGTCATATCATTAATGGGTGTCATTGAGTCAGGTGCCAACCCTCTAATGCCTTGACTCCACCTTCAGAAATGAGTCAGTGGGCAGAGCAGGGGGAGAGAAGAGACAGTGAGAGAATTTGGAACCAAAAATAACACAAGATTGAATTTTTTTAATTTTTTTATAAATTTATTTATTTTTAGTTTTCAACATTTACTTCCACAAGATTTTGAGTTCCAAATTTTCACCCCATCTTGCCCCTCCCCCCACCCCAAGATGGCATGCATTCTAAATATCCCTTCCCCTAGTCTGCCCTCTCTTCTATCTCTCCCCCCCGCTTCTCTTATCCCCTTCCCCTTCTATTTTCCTGTAGGGCAGGATAGATTTCTGTACCCCATTTCCTGTATTTCTTATTCCCAGTTGCATGTGAAAACATTTTTTTAAACATGTGTTTTTTAAACTTTGGGTTCCAAATTTTCTCTCTCCCTCCCCACCCACCCTCATTGAAAAGGCAAGCAACTCAATATAGATTATACATGTGCAGTTATGCAAAACACTTCCATAGTAGACATGTTGTGAACTACTAACTGTATTTCCCTTAATCCTATCCTCCCCCCCATTTATTCTAGTCTTTCTTTTGACCCTGTCCCTGCTCAGAATTATTTGCTTCTGATTACCCCCTTTCCCAATCTGCCCTCCTCTCTATCATCCCCCTGCTTTCTTGTCCCCTTGAGTCTAAATCAGTAATGTACATAGCCCTCAGTAAGCTGCCTGAGAACCATGAGGACTGTTTCACATATATTATCACATTTAATGCCTTTGTGATCTTGGCAAGTCACTTTCCTACCCTCAGCCTCAGTTTCCTCATCTGTAAAATGAGGGGGTCATCCTACATGACCCCTGAGGTCCCTCCAAGCCCTCAAGTTTTACAGAATCCCACAATTCTGCTTTTTTAAACAGTTCTGCAGGAAACTGACCCATGAGCCTCACATTGCAGGTGGTTGTGTTTTACACAGGCGGTATTTTGGCGAGAAGATCGGTCTCTACTTTGCCTGGTTGGGCTGGTACACAGGAATGCTCTTCCCAGCTGCCTTCATTGGACTCTTTGTCTTTTTGTATGGAGTTACCACTCTGGACCACTGCCAAGTCAGGTAAGAAGGGAGAGCTGGGAGCAGCCCATCAGCTTTTCTCTTTCATGTTTAGAGATTGGGTATTTGTGGCTTTCTTCCTCTAATGCCCCATAATGCCCTGGGGGGTCACACTGTGTTAAACACAAGTCCATCTTCCTAGAGCTCCAGGTCCAGCAGCTTGGTTCTACCCTCTAGAAAGTCTTCAAGCTTGGCCCCAGTAATTGAAGACATCTGGTCCCTCAAGACTAGACTAGCCAAAAGCAGAGCCATTCATCCCCAGGCTGGCCACAGGCTGTTTTTCAGTTCCAGAAGTTATCCAAGAACATTAACGCTATCACAAAAGAATTATAATCAATGTCCATGAAGGACATTGTCTCCCAGGTAAAACAGCAGATCCTGGAAATATTTGTAGCTTTAACAACTCACAAAATAATTACCCAGTGTGTTTAAAATAGAGAGGTTTGACTTTTCTATGAGGCAGCAATTAAATCCTTTCATAATAAAAATGAGATAATATTTATAAAATGCTTTGCAAACCTTAAGGTGTTACATAAATGTTAGTTATCATCATCATTATCATTTTATTATTATTTTTTTCTTATTATTATTACGCCGCCCATTTTTACAAAAAGACTTTTACTCCTATTCCAAAGAGAAATAACTCTTTCCAAACGAGAGGAGTTTGGGGGTTTGAAGGGAATTTAACTCTTTCCTGTCATCAGGAAAGAGTTAAAAAATAATTCCAGAAATCCAGTTCAATGCAACAAACACTTATTAAGCCCCTACTCTGTGCAAGGTGTTATACCAGGTTCAAGAGATATAAAGACAAAAGCGATATAGTCCCCAAGCTCAACTTTTGGTGTCAGCCTTAAAAAATGAATATGCCTTGGAAAAGCGAGAATCATTTGTTCACCAACAGGTCTCCAGTCTTTACTTTCTCCAATCCATTATCACCCAGCTGCTGAAATTATTGTCCTGACTCTGTTGCTAGGGCGGGGCACTGCCTACCCAAGGACCTTCAGGGAAAAACACAAATCCAGCTTTTTAAATTCAGTTTTATTTTTAGTCCTGGATTCTCTCCTTCCCTTCACCCACCCATTAAGAAGGCAAGAAAAACACACACTGTTACAAATGCACAGAGTCATGCAAAACAAATTCCCACATTAGCCATGTTGAAAAAAGAAGAAAATAAAAAATGAGAAGGAAGGAAGGAAGGAGAGAAAGAAAGAGGGAAGGGAGAGAGGAACACAGAGAGGGAGGGGAGCTTCTATCTGTTTTCTAAATCCTTCACTTCTCTACCCAGAGGGAGACAGGAATCCTTTGGAATTGTGGAAGGTCATTGCATTGATCAGTTCCCGAGTCTTTCAAATCAGCTTGACATTTAAACAACAAAAACAGTAACAACGGCTAACATTTTCATTGCACTTTAAGGTTTGGCAAAGCACTCTACACATGTTCTTTTATTTGGTTTGTAAAACAATCCTGTGAGTCCGGTGCTATTATTGTCTCCATTTTATAGACACAGAAACTGAGGCTGAGATGAAGGGGCTTGCCCAGAGTCACGCAGCTCGTCCGTGTGTTGGGTACAAGTGACTCTCTAGTCTTCCTGACTCCAGCTTCCAATGTTCCATCCATGTCACCACTTGGTTGCCTCTCAGACCTTCTCCGTCTGGATCCAGTTAACCCTTCCAAGGCTATTGCACATTATTCCCCTGTAGACACTCCACCGGCCTGGTGGCACAAATCAGCTGCTGGCAGTGGGCCACTCTCCACATCCAGTCTCCATGCCTTTGCATAGACTATCTGTTACTCAAACTGGAATGCACTCCCTCCTCATCTCCGCCTCCTAGAATTAGTTTAAGCCTCAGTTAGTAAACCACCTCCCATGAGAAGTCTTTCCTGATTCCTCTAGTTATTAAGTGCTCTCTCCCTCTTCAGATTGTACTGTGTATGTGATATATAAAGGAAGCTGGTGGCACCACAGTGCCTAGAGCTCTGGGCCTGGAGCTGGTAAGACCTGAGTTCAAATACGGCCCCAGACCCTTCCTGGCTGTGTGACCCTGGACAAGTCACTTAACCTCTGTCTGCCTCTATTTCCTCAGCTGTAAAATGGGGATGGTAGCAGTACCCACCTCGAAGAGTTGTTGTAAGGATCAAATGTGATAATATTGGCAAAGCATTTAACATAGTGTCTGGCACATAGCAGGCCCTTTCTAAATGTTTATTTCAGGTTATTCATATATGTGTGTACATATGTATCTATACCCATATATATGAAATTTAAGTGAGGCATAGCTGCACAATAAGCATGTAGTAGATGTATATACACACATATACGTGTGCATGTATGCCTTGTGTGAATGTACACATATGTCTCTATACATGTGTGTATGTGATATTCATAGACACACAGCCCTCTCAGAGTTGGAAACTGGACTCAAATCTTTCTGGCTTTCAGACCAGCTCTCTAGCCACATATGTATGCATTACTCACATGTGTATATATTTAAATACACATATACATACATGTATGAGCATGTATAAACATACACGTATAATAATTGGCTATAACATCGCGCACATACATGTGCCTATACTCATACACACGCATGTCCACATACACATATAGATGTACATATACATATGAAAGGAGGCAGGTGACATAGTGAAAAGAGGCTAAGACAAAGCATCCCCTGCCCACAGCACTCCTAAATGCTGCCAGAAAATATTAAACTAACTCAGAGCACACTAGAACACAGGTGACGTTACTACGTGGCTTTCTAAGCCAGCTCACAGTCGGCAGGGTCCTCCTGTGCGGTTTGGTGCCTCCTTCTTGTTCCTCTCTGTGTGTGACCCCAGCAAGCCTGGAAGCCAGGAAGGCCTGAGTTCCAGTCCCACGTGTGACACAGAGTGGCTATGTGGGCCTAAGCAAATCCCCAACCTTTCAGTCCTCTGTACAGCTCTAAGATTTTAAGTAGCAGGGAAGATGCAAACCTCCAGGGGGAGAGGGAGTTTCCTCATCCAGGAGTTCCCTTTACAATAGATAGATAGATAGATAGATAGATAGATAGATAGATAGATAGATAGATAGATAGATAGATAGATAGATAGATAGATAGAGTAGATATAGATAGATAGATAGATAGACAGACAGACAGACAGACAGACAGACAGATAAAACATACACACACACATACATATATATAGATATATAGATATATAGACATATCTATATATCTATATATCTATATATGTAGATATATATAGATATATATACAGGTCCAGTCTCAACCCTAGACAGAGCTACACTGGGTATCCCAAAAGTCTGAGTGCATTCGGAAGCTGCAGTGGTTTCAAACCTCACTCAGACTTTTGGGACTTGGCATGCTGAAAATCTAACTGAGTAATAAATTTGCTCTATTTGTTCATCTCTCCTTCTGCACTTTTTTTTATTTTCTTCTCTGATTTTTAAGAAAATGTTTTATTGAGGTGCATTGGTATAGAGAGTTTCCTCAACCTGAGATTCCCTATACCGATGCAAGCATAGACTCAGTCCCTACTCCTGCATGCATACCAAAGGTCTGGATCAGCAAAACCTTGTGTATGTCTGCTTATCCCCTATACAATGACCTGCAGCCTCGAGGCCACATGTGGCCCTCTAGGTCTTCAAGTACCACCCTTTTACTGAATCCAAACTTCACAGAACAAATCCCCTTAATAGAAGGGTTCTTCTACATCCTTGAGTGCGGCTTTTTGACTGAGTCCAAGATTTACAAAACAAATCCTTTTATTTTATTCTGTGCCCTATTAGAATGTAAGCTCTGTGAGGTCGACCGTTTTTTCCTTTTTTTTTTTTTTTTTGCATCTCCAAAGCCTAGAGTAGTGGCGCCTTGAGTACATCCTGTGCTTTAAAAATACTCCCAGGAGGATTAGATGAATAAGATAGCACCTTTTATTTATTTATTTATTCATTCATTCATTTGCTTGCTTATTTATTTATTTAAGCCAAAATCCAAAATCCAAATTGTTTTTCTTCAGTCATCATTAATTGAAAATGGATTCTACTGCTAATCAAATGCGGAGACACACAGAGAAAGGGAAGGAGGAGAGAGAGAGGAGAGAGAGAGAGAGAGAGAGAGAGAGAGAGAGAGAGAGAGAGAGAGAGAGAATTGTTTCAACCGTGCAGAGTTTTTATGATCAAATTTGGGTAATTTTGTGCGTAACTCTAAGTATATTGGTTCATATATTTTTCTGATGTTAGCTTATTAATATGTAAAACTGAGCAGACACAATCATAAATAAGGTGGTTTATGACATTATTAAAATGTGCAGGCATCACAATTTTTAGTCTCTGCTCAGCAGAAAAGGTTGCAAAGCTTGTGAAAGCAGAAATTGAATCGACCAGATAGTGTTTATCAATAGAATATCCTGGACAAATTGGAACAAAACTACACTTGTATGAGAAACTAGCAGCCCTTGTCTGTTTTCTTTTCCAGTAAAGAAGTCTGCCAAGCTACCGATATCATCATGTGTCCTGTGTGTGATAAATATTGTCCTTTCATGAGGCTGTCAGACAGCTGTGTTTATGCCAAGGTAAATCCCAATTTTGCATGTTTTCTCTAGGTTATGTTTTCTTCATGTGGCTGAGCTATACTTTCCTCTCAAGCAAAGTGGAAGGGCTTAACTACTCTATAGTGTTTTCCTCTATTTGTCTGCTTGCCTGGGGAAGGAAGGAAGGAAGGAAGGAAGGAAGGAAGGAAGGAAGGAGAAGAAGGAAGGAAGGAAGGAAGGAAGGAAGGAAGGAAGGAAGGAAGGAAGGAAGGAAGGAAGGAAGGAAGGAAGGAAGGAAGGAAGGAAGGAAGGAAGGAAGGAAGGAAGGAAGGAAGGAAGGAAGGAAGGAAGGAAGGAAAGGAGGGAAGGAGGGAGAATAGAAAGAGAAAGGGCAAGCTCATAAAATCATAGATTTAGAGCAAGAAGGGTCCTCAGAGCCCACCCCTCATTTAACAGATGAGAAATAAGGCCCACTGTGTATATATGTATGTATTATATATGATAAATACATATTTGTTATGTGTATATCTATTATATCTAATGTAAATATAACATATAATAGGTATATATTACATGTGATAAAGATGAGTTATATAGAGATATAAAATCTCATTTGACTCTCACAGCAGCACTACCATCCCTATTTTACAGATGAGGAAACTGAGGCTAAGCCATTAAATGTCTCCAGCGGGATTTGAACTTGAGTCTCCCTGACCCTAGGTCCAGCACTATATGCCACCTAGCTGCCTTTGAGAGTAAATCTGAGCACTCAGGGTGCTCGGAATAGAACAAAAGAAAGCATGCTCACTTTGGCAAATGTACAGAGAGGTGAAATGTATAAAGAAAACTCGATTCCACAGAGGAAGGGGAGCATACCAGTGGGAGCCCAGAACATTTCAGGTGGATGAGGACAGGAAAGTTCTGTCGACACCATGAGTGAGTTGAAGGGGCAGATTCTGAGCTGTAAGGAGTTGGTTTTGAATCTGCTCTTGCTCAGAAATCTCAGGTCAGTCCCTTCTGCTGTTGCTTTTACATTAAAAGATAAAGTCTCTGGGAAGGTCTGAGTGATGTTCTCTAAGAGAATATCTGTGATAAAAGTTTTAAGAGGAAATGTCTTGGAAATGACAGAACAAACCCTGTTTTCTCCAAAGGACTGTGTTGATTTGTTGTTTCTGAATGCCTATCAAGGTGAGAACTAGATAGGTGTTTGTCTTTATCTGGTCTTGAATGTGGGCTTAGTAGAATGAAAAAAAAAAACCCATCATAAGAACGGTAGATTGAAATGGCAAGATGGTGAGGTGGAGAGAGCACTGCCTCTGGAGTCAGGGGTCTGGGTTCCCATCCCACCTCAGATGCTGATGACCTTTGTGACCTTGGTAAGTCCCTTCACCTTTCTGTACCTCAGCCTCCTCATCGGTAAAATAATCAGCTTGGAATAGATAACATCTGAGGTCCCTTCCACTTCTGAGACTTTGATACTGTGACCCTCTTTGTGAGTCACTTCCACTCTCTGGGCCTCCGTTTCCCCATATGTAAAATGAAGAAGCTGGATTAAATGACCTTTGAGGCCCTTCTAGTTCTATGATCCTAAAAATGGTCATTGAAAAGACTGGAGTGGTTCCTTTAAAGACCGTGTCTAATTGAAACCAATCACTGATTCAGTCTACCAGTCAACATTGTATGTTTTTGTGTCCAACTCTTCAGGACCCCCTCTGGGGTATTCCTGGCAAAGATCCTAGGGTGGTTTGCCATTTCCTTTTCCAGCTCATTTTACAGGTGAGGAAACCAAGGCAAACAAGGTAAAGTGACTCGGCCAGGGCCACCCACCTAGTAGATGTCTGAGGCTGGATTTGAACTCAGGTCTTCCTGACTTCAGGCCTATTGCTCTGTGCACTATGGCACCCCCTAGCTGCCCACCATAAGTGCAGACTGATTTCTGCCACTTCTAGTCAACATCCCCAGGTGATGTTGTGGCTGCCCTGCTGAACTCCGGACGGGGAAAGCCTGGGCTCCAATCCACAGCAAATCTCGAGTCTTCTCTTCACTCCCTCTGTCACCTGAGGAAGTAACCTCTCCTCTCTGGGCCTCGGTTTCCTCACCTGTGAACTGACGGGGCATCCCATACTTCAGCGCACTCCTGTGATGCTCAGACATGGTGATTTCTGTAAACTGCTTTGCCAGCATTGACGCTCTCTCAGAGCACCTCCTGCATACAGAAGAGAACACTACACGTGTTCTGACCATGACGGCCTCTGAGGAGCCACAGCAGCCATAAACCGTGATCCTAATTTCAGTTAGCCCCTCTCGGCCTCAGTGTTCCCAGCTGTAAAATGGTGACCATAATAACTCTAACACCTCACTGGGGTTATCGTGAGGATTAAATGGGATGATCTATATGCTGCTTGAAGGTTCTGATGCATATTATACAGAGGTATGAGTCCCACAAAAGAGCTGTGTGACCTTGGACAAGTCTTAGCACCCCAAGGCAACTCTCTAAGACTCACTGTAAATTATAAATGTATTACAAATAATTAATTAGTTAATTTAAATAAATAAATAAATCACAAAGGAGCTCCCAATCTGCACCAGGGAAAGGAGTTTCCACCCTGGGGATTCCCTACAAAGTGGGAAATCTGACGAAGTCTTAGTGCCCAAAACAACAAAAGCATACAGAAGGCAGGCCAAAATCATAAAATCAGACTTTTCTTATCGAAAGCAGACTTTTTGCATCTGTATCTCCAGTGCTTAGTGCTTGGAACACGGTAAGTGCCTAATAGATGCATTTTCATTCCTGCATCTTGTATGCACTCTCACAGTGTCTACTGCAGATGAGTACACAGACCTCAGTGCTGTCTCTCTCTTCCCATGGTCAATAAGCTGTTCTCCCTTTGCTCAGAGAAAAAGGCACCAACGTGTGGAAGAAGCTAAAATCAATCGCACCTTCACAGAGCAGGAAACGACCTCTTTGCAGAAGGCTTATTCTCACAGGGGTAATAATGTATGTTTTATATAGAAGCATTAAAAAAAAAAAGCACCACCCTCCTCTGCCAAGAAGCATCATTCATTCCAGCTTGGCATCGGCACTGCTGTGATTTACACAGGATAGAAACCCTCGGCTTGGCAGAGATCTCACTTCTCCTCAAGCCCTTGCCGCTACAGAAGTGATCCAAGTGGTAGAGAAATCCCCAGCTGTCTCTCTGTTATGTGGAAAGGATAAATATAGCTGTTATTCAGCGGGATTAATATGGGTCAAAATGATGGTTTCTGTGGCTTAGCTAGCTCAGCCCCACTTTGGGAAACAGCCACGGCTTTCTTAATGTGAAGAAAGTATGAAGTCGGGGATCTTTAGGAAACAAAGCCTCCTCTGTTTACACGGAACATATTTAAGTTACCAAGCATATGTTCAGAGCCTCCTATGCACCAGGCATGGTGCGAAGCCCTGGTAATACAAAGAAAAGACAAAACAAAAAACAAAATCCCCACTTCCAGACCTAAGAAGCTCCAGGGAGACGGCCTTCAAACAATGAGGGACAATAAGATACGTAAGGGAGAAAGAGGAGATAATCAACTGAGGGAAGGCACTTATATTAAAGGAGTATTTGAAAATATTCTTTGTGTGAATGACTGAAATACTCATTTAATGCTTACTGTGTGCCAAGCACTCAAGATATAGATATATATAGATATATATATTATATAATATATATATATATATTATATATAATAATATATATATATATATATATATAATATATTATACATAGAAATAGATATTTATATCCATGACATAGAATAGGTAGCTTTTCTTTTCCAAGGCAATCAGGGCTAAGTGACTTGCCCTGGGTCACACAGCTAATAAGTGTCAAGCTTCTGTGGCCAGATTCGAACTCAGGTCTTCCTGACTCCAGGGCTGGTGCTCTATCCACTGTACCATCCAGCTACTCCCACCATGGATATTTATAACCACTACAATCCCTGCCCTCAAAGAACTTACATTATAATAGGAGTAAGGAAGGTCTTGCAGTAGCTAGGTGGTGCAGTGGATAGAGCGCCAAGCTTGGAATCAGGAAGACTTGAGTTCAAATCTGGCCTTGTCACTTAACCCTGTTTGCCTCAATTTCCTCATCTGTAAAATGAGCTGGAGAAGGAAATGGCCAACCACGCCAGGATCTTTGCCAAGAAAACCCCAAGTGAGGTCACAAAGAGTCGGACACAACTTAAAAATGACTGATTAACAAAAAAAGTTCTTACTATGAACAAGTTGGTCTTGTTGCTGTTTTTATCACAGACCTGTGATTTTATTGAGAGAAGGGACTCCTTCTACGCAGTGCAGCTGCTCTGCCCTTGAGAGGGAGTTATGTAGGACTCTGGGAGTTTAGTGTAAATCCAGAGTGAAATGGCCATTCTGTGTCAGAAACAGGATGGGCACGAAAATGCCAATGACGAGATATTTGTGAGACCCTGGGCAGGTGCCTGAGTCTCAACCAAGAGGTGCAGGCCTTGGGTCAGACCCCCTTGGGTCAGGGATTCTCAAACTCTTTTTGTTTCAGGTCCTCTTGGGTAGTCTGGTTAAACTCATGGAGCCCTTCTCAGAATAATGTGCTTAAATGAATAAAATTAAGTTACAGAATTCAAAAGGAAACCAAAACAGTGTTATTTTTCCACATTCAAGTTCACACAGCTCCCCTACCAAATCTTACAGACTGGGGAGGAGGGCAGTCTATGGACTTCAGGTTAAAAAATTCTGGTCTTGATTTTAGAATGACAGGTTTGAGCTGGGAAGGACCTCAGATACTATCTAATCCAACCTCCGCCTCATTTTATATATTAAGAAATTAAGGCCTGGAAAGGCTAAGTGCCCAAGGTCACTCAGGTAGTAACAGAGCCAAAATCTGAACCCAAGTCTTGACACTGGAGTCATGACCCTTTCAGCTCTAAATCTGTTCTGCTGGAGTGGGACAGCATCACAGACTTAGAGCTGGGAAGGACCTCAGGGGTCACGTGGTCCATCCACATTGTGCAGATGTGGGAGCCAAGGCCCAAAGAGAAATGATGAGCTGAGGTTTAAACCCAGGTTCTCAGACTCCAAGCTGAGGGTCCTTTCTACTGCCTCATGCTGACTTTAAAATCTCAGATCCCTTGAGCTCCATGATTCCAGGATCCTGCCTAAATATGGGAAATCAACGAAAGAGGGAACAATATTCTTCAAGACTCCCATGCTTCTTGAGGAAAACCAAGCCAACATCCGGCATGGACTGCCCTGTACGTGGCATTCACCACCTGACTTCCCTACTGTTTCCTAATGAGACATGGTGTCCTTGAATCTCAGAATTCTGGCATTAGAAGATACCTCAGTGGCTTTCATAGGACCACAGATTTCTAGCTGGGAGCGAGCTGAGAGATCATCTCTTTTTTTTCCCCCTCATTTTCCAGACTAGGAAACCAAGGCCCAGAAGAGTAAAGTGACTTGTCCAAGGTCACAGAGTAGCCAGACCATCATTTGAACCCAGGCCCTCTGACTTCAAGTCCAGCTATTTCCCCTGCATCACTCACCCATAATCTGAAAAACACACACCCAGCAAGAGGTCATCCATCTGCTTGAAGACTTCCAACAAAGGAACCATCCCCCTTAATTCTAGTGCCTTCCCCCATTAATTATTTCCAACTTATCGTTTACGTAATTTAACTGCTTGTACAGTTCTCTGCATGGTGTCTCCCCCATTCTAGCCTGAGCTCCTGGAGGGCAGGGCCCGTCTTCTGCCTTTCTTTATATCCCCAGTGCGCAGCACAGTGCTTGGCATATATTGTTACAGAGTCATTTTCAGTTGTCTCTTTTCATGACCCCACTTGGGGTTTTCTTGGCAAAGATACTGGAGTGGTTTGCCCTTTCCTTCTCCAGCTCATTTTACAGATGAGGAAACTGAGGCAAACGGGGGAAGTGACTTGCCCAGGATCACACAGCTAGTAAAGGTCTAGGACCAGATTTGAACTCATGAAGATGAGACTTCCTGACTCCAGGCCTGACTCTCTATGCACTGTGGCGCCACTTAGCTGCCGGCCCCACACGTAGCAGGAGGTGCTTAATAAATGTTTGTTGACTGACTGACTAGCTTCTTGAGGAAGCCCATTCCATTTCTGGACAGTTGCATTTGTCCTGGAGTTTTCCCTGACATCAAATCGCGTCTACCTCACTATGACTGCCTCCCACCGCTCCTAGTTTTGTGTGTGAGCGCCAAGCAGAACAAGGCCAGGCCCTTTCCACCTGATAACCCTGCAAATATCTGGAGCCAATTAATATGGCTCTTCCCCCTCCCATCCCTGACCCCACACAGGTTTGGTTTTGTTTTTTCACCCACCAGCTGCATATGCTTTGTTACTTTAACTTATCCTCCTCAATCAATCAATCAAACATTTATGAAGTACCTCCTATGTGCCAGGCACTGTGCTAAGTGCTAGGGATAGAAAAAGAAACAGAAAACTGCCCCTGCCCTCAGGGAGCTTACATTCTAGCGGGGGAGATCACATGCAAGCAATATGTATAAACAAGCTAATGTATGGCTCATATATGAAACAACCAAAGAGGGAAAGCGCTAGAATTAACAGAGGGTGGGGAAGACTTCCTGTAAGAGGTGAGATTTTAGTTGGGACTTAAAGGAAGCCAGGGAGGTCAGTAGTGAGAGTGGAGGAAGAAGAGCATTCCATGCATGGAGGACAGCCAGAGACAATGCCTGGAGCTGAGAGATGGAGGGTCTTGTTCTTGGAATGGGATCTCTTGAATGAGTAGAGGGGTACCCGTGGTAAGGAGTGGGCCACCTCGTCAGGTAAGGCAGGGGTGAAGGAGGAGATATTGGTGAAGGCATCTGAATGAGAGGAGATGAGGAGGAGGAAAAATGAGGGAACTCACAGCAAACAGTCTCCATTTTTTCTGTAAAATCTGAGGCAAAATTCTCAGCTGAAAGGGTAGGGGCAGGGGGAATCATCGAAGGTTTGAGGAGGGATGAGAAGGTTTGGAAGAGTCACATGGAGAGCAGAAGAAGGAGTTGATGGGGGAGGTAGAGTAGGATTGCCTGGCAGCAGCGAGGGCCCAGTTGAGGTTGCGTAACATAAATGTGAAGTAGACATTCTGGTGTCCCTCCTCTTATTAAAACATGAAATCCTTATAAAATGAGAAGCATAGTTACTGAGAAACATCTGAATCCTTAACCTTCCCAGAATGTACCAGTGACTCCTGATTCAACATCTCCTTCCCTCCAAAGGACTTCAACCATTTCTTATCCTTACCTCTTCATGGCTATTGGTGCCCCTTTCCTAATTTGGCCCTTGAAGAAGTCACTGAGCTATGACCTTGGTTCTTACAGAAACCAGAAAAGAAAATAATTTTTAAAAACCTTGTGTATCAGAATTACTTATTCTTCATAAATAACCTAGTTCATGATTCCTGTTGTCCCCAGGTAACCCATCTTTTCGACAATGGAGCTACCGTCTTTTTTGCTGTTTTCATGGCCGTCTGGGGTAAGTCGCGGGAAGGTGTCTCATTTCAATACTTTCTTCCATAAAGATTACATAATACCGTTCTCCCCGATCCAGTCTCATAGCACCACTGTCCAGTCTAATCTGAATTTTCTCCATCTGTGTCCCTGCCTTCAGTCTCCCTAACATATATCATAAGCTCCTAGAAAGTAATTCAATTCAATTCAACAAATGTTTTTAAAAGGGCCTGCGTGGCTCAGCCCTGGGGACGAAGAGACAAAAACAGGACTTGTCCTCAAGAACCTGCATCTTATTGGATTGACCACCTCTTAGTTATCTTTGGGTCTCTCAACATTTAGATTTGTATATAGGAACCACTGGAGAGAGAAATGGTAAACCACTCCAGTATCTTTGCTTTTGCCAAAGGGAGTCATGAAGAGTCAGATATGATGGAAACAGCTGAACAGTTCACTGAATTATCTGACATGCCTATTAAATGGCTCCTATTTGTTGTTATTCAGTCATTTTTCAGTCATGTCAACTCTCTGTGACCCCTTTGGGGTTTTCTTGGCAAAGACATTGGAGTGTTTTGCCATTTCCTTTTCCAGCTTATTTGATGGATGAAGAAACTGAGGCAAACATGGTTAAGTGACTTGCCCAGGGTCACATAGCTAGTAAGTGTCTGAGGCCACATTTCAACTCAGGACTCCAGGCCCAGAGTTGTATCTTCTGTGCCACTTAGCTGCTGAAATTCAATGAATATGTACCTTTTAAAGTCTGACATTGAATGCTGATAAGAAGAGTTTTAACTAAATTGGAGTAACTTGCTTCTCAATGTAAAGGTAAGGCCAGAACTAAATTCTGACCCTTTTAATTTGCTTCAGCTGACATTCTAGAAGGAAATCAGGCAGCACACATTTATGTAGCATTTTAAACTTTGCAGTAATAATAACAACATTTATACAGCATTTTAAGGTTGGCAGAGTTCTCTACAAAGATCGTCTCCTCTCTCACCACTGAGCCACCTGGTGCCTGGCATACAGCAAGTGTTTAATCATTGCTTCCTGGCAGATAGAAGGACAAGATACAGGACTTTGCAAGCTAAATGCAGGTTCTTGCAGCTCTTGCTGGGCCTGGGGGTTTTCTGCAGCCAGCCCTTACAAGACCCCTGGACAAGGGAAGTCTGTGCCTTTGTTTCCTCTTTGTTCAAATTCTCATGCTTTTCCACAGATTCTGCGAGGTTATGTTTTGTGCTGGCCCTGCAGGGGCCCACAAGGCTCTTTTACCAAGTTAAAACGAACTTTCTGAAACATCCCCAGTGGCTGCATTAGCCAGCATGGACCAGCCAAGATGGGGGCTACCTCAGGTGACGATTAGCACCTTGCCAAGTGAAATTGATGGCTGGGAGTCCACAAGTTGGAGTTACTGAGGCTTTTCCTCAGCGCTGGGTTTTGTTCAGAAACATGCAAAGGAGACAGCAATTACTGAATCCACACTGGCTTCTCTCCCTGGGATGGGGTGGCAGGGGAAGGCACAAAATGCGAGCCATTAGGGAGCTAGATGTGGGCAGGGACAAGTCTGGAAGCGGATCATCTATGCCCGATCTTTGCTTCTCTTTGCTTTGTGGCGGGGCTTTTCTGGTCTCTTACTTTCATTTGTTGCCAAGAACTAAATTCTCTGCAATAAACAAACTCGGTGAAATCTTCATCAAATCTAACCAAAATGTCAAGATTATAATTGCGTATATGAGAGGCAGTTTGGCACAATGGTTAGTGAGTTAACATAGGAGTCAGAAAGCCCTGGCTTCAAGTTTTGCTTCCAGCAGTTGCTGGCTGTGTGACCATGGATAAGTTATTTAACTTCTCAGTGCCCCGATTATTAGAAATTAGCATTATTAATATTAGGAATGAGGCAATTCCTAAGACTGTAAGTTACAAACAAATTGCTGATCTATATGGGTTTTCACCTCATTGATCAAATCTCAGGTCCAGATCTAAAAGTAATAATGATTGCTTTAATGTGAGTCTCATTATGGAAGGAAGGAAGGAAGGAAGGAAGGAAGGAAGGAAGGAAGGAAGGAAGGAAGGAAGGAAGGAAGGAAGGAAGGAAGGAAGGAAGGAAGGAAGGAAGGAAGGAAGATGCTTATTATACTGCAATTTCTGAAAGTTAATTTTAATTCATTTTTGCTTCCAGATTTAATTTGGGGGATATGGAGTAAGGGTTTTAGACCTGTGATTAAATCAGGGTGGGGAACTCCTAGTGTGAAAACTCTCTCCACTGATGCAGGTCAGCAGTTTTCTACACTTCACTCTGCCCTGAGAATGGGTTCGGGCACTGGGAGTGCACAGCCAGGATGTTTCCAGACCATAGTTGGAACGCCAGTCTTCCTGGCTCCAAGGCCAACCCCTTATTCCAACACATTGCCTTTCTTGTATCTGGATATGTGTGCTAATTATGACTTTCATAGTCACATATGAATCAACCTGAAGAGATTATGAAAAGTGAGTTTTTAATTGCGTAAAATGTTTACCACTGAGAGATTAGATGAGTAGGATGATGTCTGCCTCCTCCCTTAAGAGTCATGTGACTTTCACTAAGTCGGCTGATTTGGGCTCTCAGTTGTCTCAGCAGGTGTTGCGATGCCTGCCCTGCCTGATGACGGGGCCGATGGTTTGAATTTACATAGCACCTTTTAAAAAGTTCTCAAAGTGCTTAATATACAGGCCATTGTTGCAGAGAATCTGATATTTTGAGCTGAAATGAGGCTGAGGGGCCGTCCTGCCCACTCCTCTCACGTTATAGGTGAATATGAGATTTGCACAGAGGCCTCCAGATAGGGTGTGAGCCCAGGTTCTCCGGCTTTGGTGCTCTGTCCACTAATATACCACACTGAGCCCGGTGCTGTCCCCATTTTAACAAGTTTCGAAAACTGAGGCTCAGAGACTTGCCAGATGTCACAGTCAGGTGCCCTAGAGCAAACGGTCATTAAGCGTGGGGCATTCAGCAGGAAATCCCTCCAAGGAAACAGCATTGTCTTCACTTGTTCCCTGGAAATGTCTGCAGTGAAACTCAGGGCAGGCCTCCCAGTAGAAATGAGAGGAAAAACAGAACAATAAAACAAAGAGGCTGTTTCTCTCCTTTACAGGACTGCCCCTGGCGCTGGCCACACACAGAGCAGCAAAACTCCTTCTGAAGGGGCAGTCACGCCTTTAAATTCCACACTCCTTTTCTTTTCTTTCTTTTGTTTTGTAATGGGCAAAGGAAAAAAAATTCAATGTCTTTTTTCTCCTTGGAGATAAATTTACAATATCCACTGTCAAGATGAAAAGCCACTTTAAATTCACGTTAGATATCCTGAAAAAGCTGGAGCCACGAGCCACTCTGCCTGGCGCTCAGCGTCCCCGGACATCCCCGGTTTTCTAGCGCAGAAAGAAGTAGCCACATGTTTAAGCCGTTCACCACTGACTGTAGACTCTCACTTCTTATGTGATTATAGCCAAAGATTTCCTATTCCAGGGATTCATAACCTGAGTCCAGGTTTTTTACAAAAGCACACACATACATACAATTTTCATGTATGTGTATATTTACACACATATATACATGTTTATATAGAGACACATAAATATAAATTATTTGTATTACTTATATGTATGCATATATTATATAAGTATATATAGTTATATGTTTCATATTATAGCCTAGTATCTATTTAATTATCTATGTATACATACTCAAATTCATACACATTTGATTATTACTGTATTATAAGACAATCGGTGTCCTTTGCCATCCCATATATTTAATTTTATGCATTTAAAAATATGACTCTGAGGAGGAGTCCCCAGACTTGCCCAGGGCAGTTCTAATCCTTGATTTCCTCTCAGCGTGCCTTTGCAGTCCCCTCCTTCATTATTCTCCTCCATACTCTTCCATTCTCAGGGGTACAATTCGTCTCCCCTTGGCACCTTCATTGCATTTTTTACTTTTGTTTATCTGTCCTTCTCTCTCCATTCCAGCGACAGTTTTCCTGGAGTTTTGGAAGAGAAGGCGAGCAGTAATTGCTTATGACTGGGACTTGATCGACTGGGAAGAAGAGGAGGTTTGTATGAAAACATGCCCCCTGCCTTTCCCCAGAGTGACCTAGTGGCTCCAGCTGCATCGGTGGAAGCAGGATAGCATCCTCTAGAAAGAGAGCCTGACTCAGGCTGGGAAGGGCAAGGTCGAGGCTGGGTGACCCTGGGCAAGTCCCTGCCACCTCTCATTGCCCCAGGCAAATCTCTAAGCTAACAAGTTCCTGACACTGTGCTGCCCTGCATTGGTAGAGAGGGTTTCCTTCCCTGGGAGCCCCCTATGCCAGTGAAATCGCAGATACAGGTCTTCTCCCTGCCCTTTTACTCAGAGTTGCTCAGAAATGTACTTTTCCCTACCTCCTAGTTGGGACGGACGGACGGATAGATGGATGGACAGACAGACAAAACATTTAAGTGTTTCCCATGTGCTCAGCACTGTGTCAAGGGCTGGGAAAACAAACCTAAGCAAACAAGACAGCTCCTATTTGGTAGGAGCTCACGTTCTAATAAGGGAAGATGAAACATGAAGAGCTAAAAAATTGGAAGTGTATGTATGTCTGTGTGTATATGGGAGGTAAAGGAGGACCTTCTAGGTTTCCATGTCCATCCTCCACTGTGGTTGCCTTAAATAAATGGAATGAAGCTAAACCTATTCCAGAAACTGACTGGAGAGGAAAGGTAAACATTTATTAAGCACTTACTGTGTGCCAGGACTTGTGTTAATTTTACACTAAACACTAGGGATACAACTGTCTCTGCATTTTAGCTCTTTCACCAATTCACATAAACCTCACAGGAATTTCATATGGCTCTTCAGTTTGCATATCCAGTTTAGGGTCAGGAAGACCCGAGTTCAAATCCTGCATCAAGCTGCATGACCTTGGGCAAGTCACTTAACCTCTCCTTGCCTCATTTTCCTCATTTGTAAATGAGGATAATAATAACACCCAAGATGGTTGTGAGAATCAAATGAGATAATATTTGTCAAGCACATTGCAAACCTTAGTGCACTATTATATAAGCACTAACTCTTTTTCTTGTTCATCTGCCCCATACCTGTCCCTTCCTCCCCATCACTTGGCTTCTGCCTGGGCCCACCCTGACAGCTTCCTCCCCCGGGATTACATATCCCCTTGTTAAAAAGCCCAGCCTCAGCTCCTCTCCTCCGTTGTTCAGAGACACATGAACGTTATAGCAAATCTCCATCAACTAGAACCCACAGTCTTAGCATTCTTTTCCTAATTCCATAATTACTTTTTATTCTGTGACCTTTTCTATTTGGGCTTATTTCAGCTAGATAAATCAAATATCTCCGTTTGTTTTAGAGGGCTCAAAAGCCCCGAATGTGGCTGGTTTTGATAGGTTTTTAATATGTTTCAAAGTCAATTGTTACATATAAAATCGGTTGACTAAGGGTGAATTGCTTGTGATAAAAATTTTAATTGTCATAGTTTTAACTATCAAGATAAGATAACAAAGAGAACAACTGAAACTAGCTGACAACTGCATTTCTCCATTTTCCAACATGGAGAATTTTCATCTTCATTGTGATGTTTGAGTTACTCCCTAACAGGAGAAAAGAAATATGTTCATTCTTTGAGGTCACTAGGGAACAGCTTTAAAGTAATCTTTTCAGTTCATGGCTTATAATGGAAACACCTGTGAGATTCTAAAGACCTCCGTCAGAATCCCTTGCTTTCAGTAACGGTGGATCTGGGGCGAGCGTTCTTCAGGCTGGCCTGCCGTATCAGTCTGATCGGCTGGTGGCCTGCTTGCGGGCATGTTTATTGGGTGGGTGGAGAAGCTTTTACCAAAACACCTGAACGGCATGCTAACATAAAAGAGTGATCTGTTTTGCCTCTGTTCATTTGTTTTTCCTGTGTACAACTGCCCCGTCTGTAAAAATTGTCCATCTCTTCCTTAGGAAGAAATACGGCCCCAGTTTGAAGCCAAATACTCCAAGAAAGAGCGGATGAACCCCATTTCAGGAAAACCAGAACCTTATCAAGCTTTTACAGATAAATGCAGCAGACTTGTTGTTTCTGCATCTGGAATATTTTTTATGGTTTGAAGACTTTTTTTTTCACTTATTTTTTCTAAATGAAACTAACAGCTTTATTTGTATAAAGTGCTTTCAGAGAGTTGACCTCATTTAATCCTCATATTAAACTCAAGAAGCAGGTGGAGAGAAAAAAAAATTAGTATTGGTCCCATTTTACAGATGGAGATACTGAGGCTCAGAGGAAGGAAAGTGACTTGCCTAAGGTCAGCTAGTGTGTGCCTAAGCTAAAGCATGAATCCAGGTCTTGTAATTCCAAGATCAATTCTTTCTCTATACGTACTTTGAGCAAAAATCACTTAAAGACCTCAGCACCTGTAGAGACCTCACTAGGAGTTACAGGAACTGCTGCATTGCATCACTAGAGGAAGTTTCCATACTGGGAGTTCTACACACTTATGAAACAGATTTAAGCCCTCTTCCCTCCCCCTCCCCCCATGGAGTCGTTATCACCTCCTCTTCCCCTTCAGTTCCTGACTAACTTAGTGATGAAAATAATCTTATCTCCCCCCAAAAAAGAGAGAGGAATGGGGGGGGGGAAGGAAAGAGGGAAAGAGAAAGGAGAGGAAAGGAGGGGAAGGATAAGAGATGTTGGTAGTGAAATGAGCACTGGGTTTGCCGCCAGAAGACTTGATTTGATTCCTGGCTTCATTGTAGTAATCATAAATTAAAGATCAGAATTGATTCTCAAAGAGCAGCTAGTTGGTGCTGCAGATAGAGTTCTCGGTGTGGAGTCAGGAAGACCCGAGTTCAGATCCATCCTCAGATACTAGCTGTGTGACCCTGGGCAAGTCCCTTCACCCTGTTTGCCTCAGTTTCCTCATCTGTAAAATGAGCCAGAGAAGAAAGTGGCAAACCACTCTAGTATCTCTGCCAAGAACACCCCAAATGGGGCCACAAGGAGTCAGACACGACTGAAATGCCTGAACAGCACCACTGAGCTCAGGGTGCATCTGGTCCAAGGTGAGGAAACTGAAGCTGCCGGTGTCACCAGGCAGCCACCAGGGCGAGGCAGGACTCAAACCCGAATCTTCTTTTTTTAAATCGCGCGACCCTCCTCCTCCACCACACAACCTCTCTGCTTGCTAGCTCCTCATTACTGCTTGTGTTCTGTAACTTCTCTGGGGCCTCAGTTTCTTATCTCTGACATGAAGATGGCTAGACTAGGCGGCTTCAGTGTCCCTCCAGGCTCCTGAGCTCTGATCCCAGGTTTGTCACACTGCCTCCCACAGGGAGTTTAAAAGTCATCAAAAGTCTTCGTGCAGTGTTATCATTGTTGTTATTATCATTGTCATCGTTATAGTGGGTGCTTAATAATTGGGGCCCTTGTAGATTATTAAGTAGTAATGACTTAATACTTTCAGTAGCATGAACTGCGCTAGGCCTTTTGGGACACCCTGTCCCTAGTTGTGAGCTTGCACCGTCACAAAGCTCAGGGGCTCCCCACGCCCAAGGCCACACTCATTTCTCCAGCCAAGCCTGAGCAGCAGCCGCAGGAAAGTGTTCCCAGGTAACAGGACTGAGCTGAGACTGGCAGTCAACCAAGTCAAATATATGTTGGAATTGGGTAGGGAGACAAGGGGCGTAAAAAGCCAAGCACTAGGAAAGCCCATCGCCCAAGACCTGAGGGCCAGATGAAGGCAGGGGCATGGCGAGCGATCCGGCTGGAAGAGGACTCCACACGAGGATTGTGCTGGTTCTGCTCGCCCCCGGGGGACACAGCTAGGAACCGTGGGCAGAAGCTCTCAGGAGGCAGGTGTCCACTCAGACGGGAAAAGAAACCCCTTTAGCACCATTGTTCTAAATGTCCAAAGAAGAATGGACTGCTTCGTGAGATAGTGGATCCCTCCTCACTAGAGGTCAGCAAGGTGAGATAGCTACAGGACCGCCTGTAGAGGACATTGCAAGGGAGGCTGTGTGGTACAGTGGAAAGAATGTTGGCTCTGGATTCAAGGGACCTGGGTTCAAGTCCCACCCTGGATGCTACTGCCTTTGTGACCCTGAAAGTCATTTTACTTTTCTGAGCCTCAGTTTACTCAACAGTAAAATAAGTAGTTTGAGCAAGCTGACTCTCAGGGTCCCTTCTGGCTCTAAAATCTGCATTCCGTGGGCTCTCTGATGCTTCAGTTTCCTCAGATGTCAATGATGAGGGTTGGACCTGATGGTCTCTAAATCACTAGGTCCTACGTCTGACTCTTCTGGTGTAGACAACAGAGTTGAAAATCTAGAGCAGTAAAGTCAAATGCTTTCCTCTCACTCTGGGAAGAAGGTAAACTGATTCCACATGCCCCAAAAATGCTTTACTTCTTAAAATAAGATTTTATCACGACAACCTCCGATGACCAGTTAAGATCAAATAAGATACTGTAAGTAAAAGCACTTTATAAACTTGAAAGGGCTATGGAAACATAAGCTATTATTTTGTTACTGTGGTTACTGTTACTCATCAGTTAATATGAGCAGTTCAGAGAGGGTTCAATAAAGAACTTCGGGGGGACTGATGAGTTTGACTTGTGGTTGGAGGGTATTTTGGGGTGCATGTGCCAGATCTGGGGTATACTGTACAAGTCCTTCTGCTTACCCATCTGGCATCCCAGAATTCTATGAGTGCCATTGTCCAGATAGCACAGCTCACATAAACATTCTGGTTCAAGAATCCTTGTGGCCGAGGGAGAGGACTAACAGAGTCAACATTTTGGAATGTGAGGCTGTGAAACTCAAGGGAGCAGGTCCAAGAGAGCCAGGTTCTCTTCCTAGACTTGCGATGCAATCATCACGTAACCCAGTGGCCACTGGCAGGGCTTCAAGACTTAGATTGATTCCTATTTTTAATCTGACACATTTCACATGTGTTTTGAAGTCTTCGGAGATATAAAACAGCAAACTCAGTTGGAGAATGGAGTATTCTGGGGAAGCTCATGTCAGAGTACTGAGAGTTGGTAAGAGACAATTGTCCTTTACAAGTTACTCATTTGTAAATCATTCAAAATAGAGTAAATACAGTGCTCCTAACAGAATATTACCAAAGATAACAGGATACTACCGAAAAGGACAGGATGAAACAGGGAAAATTATGATGAAAAAATCTCCCTTAAAAAAAAATATACACACACACATGCACACACTCGCACACACATATATCTTTGTGGACATTTCACTGATGCTTACTTGGCGGCAGGGTACCGTAGAAAGAGAACTAAGTGCCTCTGGAGTCAGAGGAGCTGGGATCAAATCCCCAAATCTGATGTTTACTCTCTGTGGAACTCTGGGCAGATGAGATGAGCTCAGCCAGCTGAGGGGCTGACCTTGATGGCTTCAAGCTTCCCTCCGTCTCCAGATCGGGGAACCTACGATCTTCAGTCACAGCCTCCCTCGGCCTCGGTTTCTTCATCTGTAAGATGAGGAGCTGGACCAGGGGTAGCTGATAAATGTTTAACAACAGGCTCAGGGGAAAAAATATGAGCCCCTTAGGCATTTACGTTTAATTTGCACTGTTAACATTTTCTCCATCACTTTCTTAACACTAGACAATTAAAAATCAATGAAGCGAGCTCCAGTTTCTAGCATTTGCCAATTCCCAAGGTGTAAATGCTCACCCTGAAAAAAATAACAATCAGCTTTTAGCCTGTTGAGCTGTCCCAGTACACTTCTAGACTGGATCAGAGGCATCAAACTCCTTGCCCAGAAGAGGTCAACTAGATTAAAATCTAACTGGGAAATGTTTACCAAAATGAATAAAAATACACCATCGATAATGCCAAGTTGTGGTTTTCAAAGTCAATATGCCATCAGTCTGTAGTTTCTATCTGAGTTCAATACCACTGGTGTTCGCCAAAGTCTCACCCGGCTCTAGGACAATGACGTGGTCTAGCCTTAGCCCTACTACTGAGCTGTTGTCATTTTCGTTTATGTGTTTTTTCTGATGGAGATAATTCTCTTGAAGCTCCCAAGCCCACAAGGCCCTCTCTGTTTTTTCCACTGTAGATCTGTGTGGTGATTGCCGCTGTGTTTGGAATCGTCATTTACCGTGTTGTGACCGTCAGTACTTTTGCTGCCTTCAAGTGGGCTTTAATCAGGAATAACTCTCAGGTCGCGACCACAGGAACAGCAGTGTGCATCAACTTTTGTATCATCATGCTGCTGAACGTGGTAAGGAAGCGAGAGCGGAAGGGTGGGGAGGGGGAGAGGCGCGGCTCAGACGGACTCGAGGCAGATGTGGCCCTTCTCTTCTGGCCCGCCTGGGAGGCTGGCCACGGGGGAGCCTCACAAGCCACAGGAGCGGCAGTGGTCAAGGCTGAGAGGGTGTGTGGAGTAGAGGCTAAAAACCTGGGTTAAAATCTCGCTTCGGCGGCTTGCTGCCTCTGTGAGCTTGAACCGTGGGCCTCACTTAAGCTCTGAGGCTGAGCCTCTTGTTTTAAGCCCCTACATCCCAAGGTGCTTGTGATGACCAAGTGTGAGTGTGCATATCAAGCACTTCTGAATGTATTCGTATGTCTATATATGGCTATGTTAATGTGAGCTGCTATTATTACTACTGTTAGAGGCAGGCTGGCTTACAGGAGTTGAGAAGACCTGGGTTCATGGCTTTGCCACAGAAGGGCTGTGAGACCCGAGGCAAATCACACTAAGCCTCAGTTTCTTCATCTGTAAAATGAGAATAACATTGGGGGCATCTAGGTGGCACAGTGGATAGAGCACCAGCCCCGAAGTCAGGAGGACCTGAGTTCAAATCCGGCCTCAGACCAAACACTTAACACTCTAGCTGTGTGACCCTGGGCAAGTCACTTAACCCCAATTGCCTAAAAAAATAAAAATTTTTAAAAAAAGAGAATAACACAACCACCTGCTTCCACAGTCATACTCTAGAATCATACGAAACAGTAAAAAAACATAAAACTTTGAGAGTCTTAAGCTGTACTTAGACTTTTCGGACACACATTGAGTGTTTTGCACATCTTAACTATATAAAGTGGGAATTACTGTCATTGCCATCATCATTATCATCACCATTCTTTTGATGGGATCTCAACAGAAAGAGTCCTAGAACAAAGAGCTCTCCTGTCGTTGTTCTTGAACATTTAATGTCAATAAGCCCTTGCATGGGTAGGTGGAAGAACTGCTTTTTGTGGCTAAATAGGAGGGTTGTGGTTTCATGGTGTGTTGTAGTGGCTCCGTCTCAAAGGACTCGGAGTCAGACCACCTGGCTGGCTATGCTCCAAGAAGAACACATCTGTTTAAATATGTGAGTTGGATCTGGGGGCAAAGGCTAGCTGGGGCAGTGGCTATACTGAGTCTGGGGGCCTGTGCTATGGTTAAAGCCAGATTGTGTGGTTAAATCTGGACATGCCTGCTGTTCAGTGGGGCCCACAAGGAAGTTAGAATATTGGGGCTGGGGGCAACTCCATTAGGATTCCGTCAGGAACCCAGCTCATCTTCTATAGGCTCACCGGGAGCATTCTCAGGCTAACTCCTAAGTCTCTATATTTTGAAAGCTTTTTGTTTCATGTAGTTCAAAGAAGAGGAGTGTTTGATATGGTGACATCTATGAAAAAATGGAGCTCTTAAGTTTTTATGGATCAAATTTAAGTCCACTGCAGTTAATAGTTCAGTCTGTTAACAATGGTCTAGTTTTCAATTCAGTTTACTGGCTGGATTCTCTGGGTTATTTTGAGGTCTGTGTGACTGTTTTGTATTTTGAGATCTCATATCACAAACAGGAAGTTTATCATCGGTCTCTCCATGAAAGAGAATATTCTGAGGTATAATTCTAGTCTCAAGGTCATGCCTTGCCAAGTGTTTGAACAGAGCTGGTTTCTGATGGTCTACATTATTACTACTGCTATTCTACTGCCACCACCCCCACCACCACCACTATCATCCCCTTCGCCATCACCACTACAAATGCTACTACGATTCCTCCTATTCTGCCCAAAGGAAGATCAATGTTGATGGCGGAAAACTACCTAGTTAACTGGGGGGTTACTGGCTGGATTTCTTTCTCAAAGACCAGGCTTAAACCCAATTCACTCTGGATGTCACGGATTGGACAACAACAGATCCCTGCCCAAGCACCACCTGGGACCCTCCCGGCTCTAGTAACTGCTTCTCTTGGCCAGCAACTCTGAGGGTCTTCCCCTCTCAGTCTGATTTTTTTTTTAAATTAAAAGGGCCAGCCCTTGACTCACTTCTTAAAGAGGCCTACTCACTGAATGCGCATTGCCACACTCAAAATGAGAACCGAAAAGACCTTAGCTTAAAAGGGCCAAGGTCTGCCACTGCATCCTGGGCCCTCTCCAGTCGTCCTGATCCATATCTGGCCACTGGACCCTGATGGCTCCAGAGGAGAAAGTGAAGCTGGTGACTCTGCACAGCCCTGCCTCACTTCAATCAGTCAGTCGCAAGTCACGCCGTCACCTCACCGATGTCGTGGTCCTCTGAGAATGAAAGACAAACCACACAAGTGCTGTATAAATATTAGCTATTATCATGACTGCTGCTGCTACGCAGTGCCATAGGGGCAAAGAAAATAGCTGGAACTTCCAAAACAGACAAAATGAGGATGGGGAAGCGATTATCAACATCACAGAAGCCTTCTTCACTTTGCAAAAGGATTCACACAATAGCAGCCGTCCCGTAAGACTTTTAAAATATCATTCTTCAGTACCGAAATTTTTCTTCTGCAAAATAAAGAAGTCCTTTGAATTGTGGAATTTCCCTCCCCATATACACGGTGGCTACCCCCTCCCACAGATGGTCATGCTGTTCCTGGGAGCAGGAGTGCACATGGAGGAGCATGTAGTCAGGTGACAAGTAGAGAAGGGATGCACATAAGAGGCGGCTGGGTAGCCAAGGCAAATCGCACAGTTAAGGATCCATCTCAGCTGGAGCCTTCACCCTTATCAGAGCTGCTGATGCCATCTGCTGATCTTTGACTACTCAAAGTCTCTTTCTTCCAAAGGGGGGGGGGGAGTGCCTACCAGCTATTTGAGCTCATAGCCCCCAGGGCTACTTTAGCTCTCTGTGATTCAGACTGCATCTACAGCCCGAGAAAGAGTTCTTAACCCAGAGTGTATGAACTTACTCATTTTAATATTTTGGCAACTATTTCGTTGTGATTAGTTTCTGTTATAATCCTCTGTGTTTTGTTTTGTACATTAAAAACAATTCCGTAGGGTCCTGAAATTGAAGCCTGGAAGGCTTCATTTTAAATCCTGTCTCAGTTATCTGTTACCTGTGTGACTATGGGCAAGTCGCTTAACTTTCTCAGCCTCAGTTTACCATCTGTAAAATGGGCATAATAATAACACTGACCTCACAGAGTTGTTGTGAGGATCAGATGAGGTAATAAATGTAAGATGCCACATAAATGTTAACTATCCTGATACTCTGCTGGCTACCGTTTACTGTTATTTTGTTGGTTATTACTGTTGTTCTGCAAAACGGCCTGTTGGCTTGACTGGACTGCCAGAGATGGTCAGGACACGAAAAAGGTTAAGGGCCGCCAGTCTGTGTGATCCTTCAACGAGCGCTCATTGAGCGCCTTCTAGATCAGGCTCTGGGAAACAGTCACAGAAAATGAAGCAGCCTTTGCTTGCAGGGAGCTTCCACTCTGGCTGTCAGACTCACTTGTGCGCCATCTGCGCTCCCTGACCTCTGTGCGTTATCTGACTTGGGACTGGGGAATTCCTTTCAATTCTTTCCCCCTACCCCCATAATGCCAATCATTGTCCATACAAACCGTGTCCTGGGAGCGGGGCCTGAAAGGGGGTCCTGGGGATTGGCAACCTTTGTCCTACCTCCCAGCTGGTCAAGTAGCAGAGTTCCTGTCCTTTCTGAACAAATTAACATCATTAGAAGTAAACTGATTCTGCTAAAAGAAACGGACACTTCTTTTAAGCACAAGTGCTGTTAGCTGTACTCTGGCCTCTTGATCAACGTGCTTTTTAATGATAATAATAACAATAATAAAATTTAAATGGAAGGAAAATAACTAAATCCATTTTTTCAAATTCATAGAATAGATAAGTCCTCAAAAAGTCCTAGGCTGAGTATGGGGCATTTTGTGTGTTTCCTTCTGGTGAAGGGTTTAAAGCTTTCTCTAGCTGACCTAACCCAACAGAGGGCAGGCAAGTCAACAGCTACCGCCTGGGAGAGATGAGCAGGCTCCGTGTAACTGTTCTCATGCTTTGTTTGTAGAACAGAAGGGAACGCTTGGGCTGGTCAGAGGTTGGGTTTCTTCCCCAGTCTATCTGAGAAAATCACACAATAAATTAAATGCTGCAACAGTTGAAAAATACCATTAGAAAGTTCTAGGTGTTAGTCATGAGAACATAACTTGAATCCATTGCTGTGAAGGAGGAAATAGGGGCTGGACCTGAGGTTTCACATCTAGATGAATGGATTTCTCCCAGATCACTAGAGAGCTGCCTAGAACATTGAGTGGTTCAGTGATGTATGCCAAGGATCACAAAGTCAGCATGTTTCAGAGGCAGGACCTGAACTCGGGTCTCCTTGACTCTAAGGTCAGTTTTCTAATGTGCCACACTGTCTCCCTTTTTGTGGTGAAGGAGTCCAGGAGTTAAATCTAAATACTTCCTCATCAGTAAAATGAGGAAATCCTTCTTTGAGAACTACTGTTCTATCAGAATTATTATTCTGTTGGATAATAATAGCACCTGATTTACAGGGTAAAAGAATTAAAAGAGATTATATATACAAAGCTTAAAATGCCTTACATGTCCTAGCTATTAGGATTATCTTCCCACTGTGTTCAATCTTCACTGTATCCAGTTGTGACAACATTAATATGCATTATGTTCAACAACTGTGCTAACAGACCCCTTATTATTGATGGCACTCTCACAGAAGTTCTTGATGCTACAACATATTTTTAGCTGCAAAGGCTCTTGAGACATTTATAATACATGTGAATGGGGGAGCAAGGCAGTAGTTGCTGTGGACTCCAAAGAGTGGACGTCAGTGAGATACAGACTGCAGAATCACTGGATGTGAGCTCCAGAGCTGGTAGAAACCGTGGGGGCCATTTTGTCCAACACCCTCCTTTTACAGATGAGGAAACTAAGGCCCAGGGACATTCAGTGACTTTTCCCAGATAGCAAGCATCAGATCAGGTCCTCTGACTCCAAAGTCAGTGCTTCCTGCCTTTCTTCCTTGCTATAAATGCTGAGTTTTTAAGTCATGCAGAATTCAATTTTCAAGAAATAGGGTCCCTAACAGTACACTCAGTCAAGTACTGGTGCCATTGCTTCTACTCAAAATGATGTCGCTGTTGGGTTGTTTTGTTTTGTTGTGTTTTTTAGGATAAGTGGAGTGCGTTTTAGTGTTATATATTTACCTGTAATTTAGGTATTTGTCATCACATTAAATTGATTAATCCATGACACAGTGTTCCTAAATGAAAAGTACTTGACTTTCAGTCTTAAAGCAGAATAAGTGGTCTGTTGTTATCATTATATTATTCAAAAAATGTCCCTAGAGGGCATTTGAATGAATTGTGTTTTCATTAACTGACAACATCTAGAGTGTTGTGAATTTCCATCTTCCTGTATGTTTTGGTAACCAATAGACGATTAATGCTCCTAACTTTAAGACTCTAGGTTTGCTTAGTTTTGAGATTCCAAAGCAATTAGGTTTGCGACCTTTTGGGGGGAGTATCTTTTCCCTCACGTTTCATTTAGTATTTGAGTGTTCTCCAACAAATTTCCTTTGCATTTCTACCACCTTGATGGGAAAAGATTGGAAAGACAAGCTCACAGGCCCTAGGGGCAAACTTATCTCTGAACATATGGTAAACTCCTTCAGGGCAGAGATAATATCATCTTTCTCTTTTTATTCTCAATTCTTAACACAGTGCCTGCCACAGTTTAGGTCATCACTGCTTTCTGAGTGATGGAGTCATTGAGTGATCAAATAGGTCTTAGAGATCATCTAATTCATTGTTGTCAAACTCATATAGAAACAGAAGCTACATATAGACTTAGAAAACCATATGTTAGCACTGTCTATGTTATATTGTATTTTTATTTGTTAAACATTTTCCAATTAATTTTAATGGTACTCAGGAGTTTTGGCCACTTATGGCCCAGGCTTTGAGTCTGACACCTTTGTGTTAAAAAGAGAATTCTTTGTTTGGGCTTTCACCCTGATTAAAGAAGCAAAACTCAGGACAAAGAGAATTAAAAGGAGTTTATTATAAATATGTCAAGGTAGCAATATGTTGAGGGGTTGATCAGTGGAGATCAGCAATGGCTTGAAAATTGAGCCAGCTTTTACGGATAATTTTTGTGATGAGATAAACACAATTCAAATAGGTCCATGTCAGCAAAAGAGATTGGGCCCTCGCATCTCAGTTCCTCCCCAAGGTAGAAGTACATGATAGTTTCCAGATACAAACAGGTAGGGAGGGGATGACTAGATTACGTAACAAACATCTGGGGACTGGGTAATGTCTTCCCCCAACAAGCAGATCTGGGAACAATAGGTCACCAAGTCAGCATAAACTTTCAATATCTGACTCACACTACCCTCCTTGTTTACTGATGAGGAAACAGGCCTAAAATAGAGGAGTCACTAGAAATAGATGTTGACAGACAGAAAATAAATACCCTCCATTTTTATTCATCATATCCATACTTTTCCTGAAATCCCTCCTTAATCACACTTGCAGTAAGCAGTATCTCCCAGTATGACATTTCGGCGAATAACCCTTACTGACCAAACCAATTACAGAGCACTTATGTGCTTATTACCTGGTAATCTGATTCTCTCAGAAGGTCTTGGGCTGGCAGCAACCACAGACTCATAAAAGCTTAGAAACCTTAAAGGGCATCTAGGCCAACCCATACCTGAAAACAAAATCCCCTTTACAACATCAAACAGCAAGCATTTTATGAGCTCCTACCGTGTGCTAAGCACTAGGGAAATAAGGACAGAAGCAAGACAATTCCCCTCCTTAAGGAGCTTACCAGTCTCCCTTCTATCAAGGGAGAAAACATGTCCTCATATAAGCATAGACACAATGAATACACTGATCCATGTTCCTGTTTCTTATACTACATGCCTATCATTAGCTCATATCTATCCCAGTCTTTAATAGGAATCTAAGAACCTGTGAGAATCAATCAATAATGAATTCCTTACTGAATATTTATTAAGCACCTACTGTGTGCCCAGGCACTTTGCTTAGTGCTGGGGATACACAAAAAGAGGCAAACTACAGTCCCTGCTCTCAAGGACCTCCCAGCGTAATTTAGTGAGAATCACTAAAACTCTTTGGGGACCACTCAGGGACCATTTAATATTAACTCAGTAATGGTCTACCCTTTCTATAGAACGACCATGTGCCTGACCTACTATCTGTTTCATGTGAACTTTGTTTTTTCAATTGTAGGGATGGATCAGAACTACACCACCCTCAGATTCTCAGTTTCTCCATAAGGCCATTCATTTGTAAGGTGGTGACGTCAACCTTTGCCCTAATGGAGAAGTCGAGTTCCATGGCACAGAAAGCCCTCAATAAATGTTGGCTGATATTTATACTGTCCTCAGGAATTGAGACATGTATGACCTGACCTATGTTTCCATGGGTAAAGGTGCTCCCAGTGACAAAACTCCCTCTACTAATGTAGATTGGCCCCATAGGGCAATTTATAGTCCTAGAGAGTTGCCTGAGAGCACTGAGGGTTAAGTCATTTGTCCAGAGTCCCAGAGACAGCATGTATGAGAGGCACAATGTGAGCCCAGGTCTTCCTGACCCCGAGGCTTGTCTTCTGTGACTACGCCACTTCGCTTCACGGTCCTGAGAAACAATCTTGTATCCTGGGGAATAACAGCTTATCTCCATAGAAGTTGACCCCTGAAAAAGGAGCCCCAAAGACGTGGGGTTTGTTGACAGCAACCTTGCCCACCTCTCCAGGGTCCTTCTAGAACCCGGCTGCTGTGGAAATAAGCGGGTTCCTTTGGAAAGGAGGGGGAGCTTCCAATTTGATGGCTGGGCCACTTGCTTCTGTACAGTCTGTATTTGGGGGTCTGTGCACTTCACTTTCAAAATTGTGAAATATTTTTCTCCTTATTTTGCAGTTGTATGAAAAAGTTGCTCTTCTTCTGACAAATCTAGGTAAGTGGCAGTGTTCTCCTTCACCCTCCTGAGGGGTGGGTTGTACAAAGATACTCAGATACCATGGGGGTGAGGGGCGAAGATGCCCCTCAGGCAATGACAGTTTCTGAACTGGCCGAAGAGGAGGAACTGTGTCAACTCATTTATTTTATGACTCTTGTTTATACATCACAGTCACCTCCTGGTCTCTTCCTACCTCAACTCCCTTCCCCCCACTAAACTCTTCTTTGTAACAAAAACTCAGCAGAACCGATACAGCAACTGTATCTGAAAGGAAATGCCATATTCCACACCCATTGCCCTCCACTTCTCAACCCAGAGGAAGGAAGAGTGTTTTATCATCTTTTGTTTGGGTTTTATATTGGGGTCATTACTATGGATACTCTTTGGAAGTTATTACAGAGAAAGAAATACAAGGGTGCTTTTTGTTTGTTTTGTTTTCTTTTTAGGGGGCTGATTAACCTGAGGTCCATTAATTTCTCACTTTAAAATATTTTAATAACTATTTCAATATGATTGGTTTTCTTTGTAATTGTACATCTTCTATGTATGCATTTAAAACATCATTCTAAGAAGGAGTCCACAGGCTTTGCTGTCAAAGGGGTCCATGACAGTAAAAAAGTTGAGTCCTTTCTATGGAAAATAATAAGGATGGGGATCTGTGCCTATCTGATTACAACAAATTCCCCTGGCCAGGAAATCCTCTTTTCATCTCTATAATCGAGATTACCTGGGAGCTCAGAACATTTTACGAATTTTATTTGTAATCTTTATTTTTAAGCTTTCTAGCTTCTCTGAAAAAGGAAGTCTGTGGAACTGAGTCCTTCACCTTAGACTACAACCCTCAGAGAGGCAGCTAGGTGGTGATGTGGTGAAGGACTTGGGTTCAAATCCCACCCCATGTGAATTTGGGCAAGTCATACAACCTCCTTAGAAATCAGCTTCCTCATCTAGAAAATGAGAGCTTTGGACTGGATGCCTCTAAGGTCTTTTCTCATTCTAGATCTTTAATAGGCATCCAAGAATTTCTGAGAATGAGGACCTGGGTTCAAATTCCACCTCCTTAGAACTGTTTCTTCATCTATAAGATGAGAGCATTGGACTCTAGGTGGCTCTAAGGTCCTTTTCATGAATCTATGATCCTAAATAGTTTGACTTCGTTGAACCTCAGTTTCCTCTTTTTAAGAAAAGAAACGAGAAGGTTGGAATGGTGGCCTCTGAGGGCCCTTCCAGCTCTGCACCTATGATCCTAGGACCTTAAATGTTGGGATTCTTTGCCAGCTGCCATATAAACCTGAGATAATCTCACTCACACCGTGCCTCACACATAGTAGGGGCTTAAAAATGCTTTTTGAATTGAAGTTTGCATTTAGGATGTATTTCAACAAAAGAAAAATTTAAATAGGACATTTTCACTTAAAAAAAAAAACACCCATGGTAGAGTGAGCAAAGTTTCCATTTGCTCATTTGGCCAGAGGACTTGCCCCAGAGCCACTAGACTTGAGCTCAAGCCTCGCCTCTGCTGCTCACATGTGGCTATTCACTCAAGTCAGTTAACTTCCGTAGGACTTGCTTTCTTTGTCAGGAAAGCGAGGGGGGCTGAACCAGATGGCCTGTGGAATGACTGGCCAGCCTGAGGTCCCTTCTAGCTCTTGTTCCCAAGATCCCAGGTCAACACTTCCTAATTCATACAGAACTGACTTAATTTTCAGGCATATCACATCCTCAGGTGGTTGTTACGGAGGGTAGAAATAAGCTTGTCACCATGAACCCCTCCAAAGCTATGATCTATGACACAGTGAAAAACTGCGTCCATCCAAGTGACCTCTGTGGAGCTCACAAAGCCGTGGAATGAGCTGGGGGCAGCTATGAATGGGGCACAAATGTTTAGCACACATTCAAGATGTAAAGAAGGCTCCAACTTTATTACGCAAGCTATTAGTCCCTAAATTTATAGATCCAGTCGCTCACATGTGACCCATGTTGGCTCATTTCCATACGCAGCTTTCCCAGTCAGAAATACTTGTTGGTTTCTTTGCCATTAAATACCTCTGTGCAGCCCCATTTAGAAATAACACGGAGAGAAAATCCAAAATGGAACCACCATCTGCCATCATCAGCGAAGGGATTAGACTTCCAATAACAAGGCCTGGGATCACGTCTGAGTTCTACACTTTACTATCCATGTGACCCAATTCAAGTCAGTTACCCTCAGAGCCTCATTTCCTTACCTATAAAATGGGCATAATACTAATGAGGAAATTGTGTCTATAAAGAGCTATGTCACGGTAAAGCACTACCCTGATAGAAAGAGTGGTAAGAATAGTCCCTAGGGAGGACTCTTTTAAACAAATGTCTGTTTATTTGAGGGCCAGTCAGGTCTCCAAGCAGCTCTCCTACTCTTTTCTCCCCCATGTCCAGGCCTCTTGACAGGCCTTCAAGAGGATCTAGTCTTCATACCCACCTCTTAGAATGCCCAATTTCCTTCAAAGCCCAAGCTCCACAACTACCTTCCTACATGAGACCTTTCTTGATTTCTGTGAGAGCCTAGCCTCAAAAAAAAAATTACCTTGTATATATTTTGTATATTTATGCATATATGTGTGTGTGTATATGTACACACACACGTATATATAGTTGTCGTTTAGTAACTTTTCAGTTGTGTCCGACTCTTCGTGACCCCATTTGTGGTTTTCCTGGCAAAAATACTGGAGTGCTTTACCATTTCCTTATCCAGTTCATTTTACCAATGAGGAAACTGAAGCAAACAGGGTGAAGTTACTTGCCTAGGATCACACAGCTAGTGAGTTTTGAGACCAGATTTGAACTTAGGAAGATGAGTCTTCCTGACTCCCGGCCAGATATAGATGTATATGTATATGTATGTATGTGTATACACTCATTTATATGTGTGTATAACACATATACATACACTTGTGCACCCAGGGCCACCTGATCTATATCTTGCCACTGGACCCAGATGGCTCCAGAGGAAAAAGTGAGGCTGGTGACCTTGCACAGCCCTCCCTCACTTAAATCCAATTCACTTGCAAGTCATGGCATCGCCTTCCTGATGCCATGGTCCTCTTCCAGAAGAAGGACAAACAACAACAGCCCATGTTCACATATACACACATTCAGTAGATGTTTAATGTGTATTGGCTGATTGACTGTGAGACAACAGAGGTAAAGTCTGGGCTCCGGACTTGTGATAGAGCCATGATTATATCCTCTCAGTAGCAACCTGGCCCTATTGTAAAACCCAACTTCTTAGATCATTTTAAAACAGAATGATTCTCTTTCCTCTCCTCTTTCTGAAGGCTTTCCAAGAAACATTTTGGGTTTTCCTACTGAAAAATTGGTACAGAAATGAAATACTGAGTTGAACTGTCTCCTAAGGACAAAAAGAAGGAATGTGCCAGAACCAGCTGATTGTTGAAATCTATGGTGTGAGCACTTAGTTACGCCTCAGAAATCGGCAAACTCTACCAACTGGAACTTGACATCTTGTTCTGCTTCTGGTCTATACTCAAGTGACAGAGAAAATGTTAAAAATGAAGAATACATTTAAAAGTAGATAGTACATACCTTTACGGAGGAGAGCTGGTTGTTAAACATTTACCAACACACCACTGGACAAAAGAGAAAAGAAAAGGATGTCTCCTCCATGACATTTCAGGGATGAAGCCTAGGGTTAACCCGGGACCCCTAGGGAAGGGCCTGCACTGCTCTCCCAGCACTTTTTGCCTTGACTTCAATACTAGGGCAAGCTGCAATTCTGTCACTTGGTGATTACTCCACTGAGTCAGGTTCCACACTCTCACACACACAAACACCCCAGTCTTAGTAGGTGGCCTTTAGAGAGTGGCTATGACCCAGAAAGACCCTCAGCCAGAAGCTAAGCAGGGGACAAGTAGCTCACACTGAGCGAGACAGCTTTTCAGACAATAGAGACGACAGAATCTGAATATTCATGCTGCAAATGGCAGCTATGGCAAAGTGACTAGGGGGCTGGGCTGGGGATCAGGGAGACCAGGGTTCAAATCATCCTTCTGACACTGACTAGCCAGGTGGCCCAAGTCAAGCTCCTCCACCTCGCCTACAGTCAACCAGTAAGCATTTATTAGATGCCTGCTGTGTGCCAGGCACTGTTCCAAGGTCTGGGAGAGATAGTACAAAAATGAAACACTCCCTCTATGCCTTCCACGACTTTTCAGGATTACTCTGCTAAATCTTTGATGGGTTAATGAGAAGAGTTTCTTCTTCATCTACATTTGTGTTGTTTTTCCAAGTCAGCAGTTAATTTCAAATGGGCTGCGTGGCTCTGCGCCGGCAAGCCTCCCTGAACGCTGCAAGGCCAGTGTGGTGGGATCTGTGCGAGGGAGGCGCCAGTCGGCAGGCCTGGTGAAGGAGGCTGGAGGGCCAGATGAAGGCTCTCAATGTCTGCTCCCTCTTTTTGTCCACAGAGCAGCCTCGCACCGAGTCTGAGTGGGAGAACAGCTTCACTTTGAAAATGTTTCTTTTTCAGTTTGTCAATCTGAACAGCTCTACCTTTTACATCGCGTTCTTCCTTGGCAGGTAAGGACTTGGGTCTGTGGAGCAGAGAACGGGCTTGCCTGGGCTCAGCAGTGGTTGAGCTGAGACAGCCCCCTCGGGGCGGCCCGGGGCACGGGTGACTTCTGTGCAGGGGAAGGTCTGGGGCCCTCAGAGCTGTCCAGAGTTCTTAGAGAAGAAAAGCCAAACTGCTCCTATTTAACCACACCACAGTGTTACTGCAAAACTTGGCACCAGAGTTCTGGGGGAAATCTGCAGCTCCTAAAGCCTTTTTACAACAGGGTGCAACAGAGAGGACCCCCAGAAACAGAGGGAGAAGGCAGTGTGGTCAAAATGGAAGGGGCTCTGGCTCTGAAATCAAAGACCTAGGTTCCAGTCCCTCCTCTGACACCCCCCGCCAGGCCTTGGGTCCATCAGTAACAGTCAGTTGCCTCATCACTAAAATGAAGAAGCTAGACAGGATGCCTCTGAAGTTCCCCTCCAGCTCAAAAGCCCATGACCCCTTTACAAGTCATTTCCCCTGCCTGAGCCTCAGTTTCCTTGTCTGTAAAATGAGAGGGTGGTCCCCAAGGTCCCGTCTTGCTGTAAATCTATTTCTTTATCACACCAGCTGTGTGACTTTGGGCAGCTCACTTCCCCTTTGTCCCTTATTTGTTACATGACGGGGCTGGATGAGATGACCTCTTACATCCTTTCCAGCTCTACAGCTGTGATCCTAAGGCCTCCTGAGGCCTCAGTTTTCATGTGGTGAAAGGAGGGGTTTGGACTAGTTGGCCTCTGAGGGACCTTCTAACACGAAGTCTCTAAGCATCACTGAAAGGTGGAGCAAGCCTTGGTCGACAGCCATTATATCCCAATCACTCCGGCCCTTCCTTCCCCTTGCTTCCTGGCCTGAGGTCAGAGATCACTGGAAAGATCCTTTCAGGAATACATCTAGGCTTTATGCCTTTGGGATTGGGGGAGGATAAAAAAAATCCTAGAAATTAGTTATATAGAAAGGGGGAGAAAAGGAAGAGAAATCAAGAAATTGTCCTTCTCAGGACGGACCATGGGTTAATTACTAAGGAAATGAAGCCCATTAAGGCAACTAGTATGATACAACAGTGCCCAGTGCCAGAATTGGGTTGAGCAGCTGCCATCTTAACCCCAACCTTGCTTTGGCCTGTTAAAAAATGGAAAAAGATTACCCCCTCCTCCCAATCCCCCCACAATCAAGGACACCCCTTCCATCTCCTCTCAAAATTCTAAAACTTACACTTACGGCTTTTCCGCCTAATATGGTGGAGCTCACTTCACTTTCATTTGTGAATAGCAGATCTTTAAACCACCCATGTCCCATCCACTCAGTGAAATAAGCTACTTGGGTCTGAGGCCAATGCCAGGGTTCTTCACAAAAGGAGGAGAATAAATCTCCACAACTAAAAGAACAGGAAAAATGACAAGACAGATTTGACATCAGGAGAAACTGAGTCACAGCAAATGGGCCCGACAGAAGCTACCAAATGACCTTCCCTCCCAGCTTGAGGACCCACCAGACTCATGAAATGAATCCATCAACCAGGGCCTGCTGTGAGATACAAGGAAGGGACAAGGCAGTAAAGAAGGATGAGGGAGGATGGCCAGGGTAGATAATGATGTGATTTGTATTAGCTCTCCAGTTATTGGCTTAACCAGCGTGGAATTGTAGCCAAATTGTTTAATTTCCCAGGAGTAATTGATATTGCCACAAAAAGCCAGTTCAAGGAAGTATAAAAATTGTATCTTACGCAAGACTCAGTTTATAAAAACGCTTCTTCCAGGGGGTCAGTAACACATGCATGCTTAGCAATGGTAATGGTGTCCTAAGGGGAAGGGCCCAGCACACCCTTGTATGCATAGGCATACATGCCCCATCCAAGTTCCAAGCACATCTGTGGTCAGGAGACCCTGCCTAACCTTTGTTATTATACCAAATGCTAAGCAGTGAACGTCACATTGGAACGCAAGGGGAGAGCTGGTCTCTGCCTACGGGCAACAAGACGAGACGCTGTGGACGTTCTAGGACGTGGCAGTGACTCCCCAAAGGCTGCTGTCATCCCTGAAAAAGACGGGGCTTAGCTAGCTCCCTTCGATGTGGCGCCAGGCTTTTCAGGGATTTATTTTGAAGGAGGAACTACAGACTATGTCAAACGTGAACCGTTTGCCGCGCATTAATGTGGTCTCTTGTGTTGAAGGTTCACAGGACACCCAGGTGCCTATCTGAGGCTGATAAACAGGTGGAGACTAGAAGAGGTCTGTATTCTCTTCGGGGGGCCCGACTTCCTACAGCCTTCCAATAAGTAACGCTGGGGGGGAAAGAAAGGAAAGGGGAAACCAAAGTCCTTGATTTGGGCAGAATTGTAACTGGGAATTCTCATGCCAGAGGCAAATTCAGTGGGGCAAGATAGGGGGAGAAGTAAAGAGGATGCTAATTTAATTACTCATATAATAACGTAATCATTCATGTATACATATATGTATCTGTATATATAGGATTCTTATAGAGAAAAAATGTATTAGTTATGTGTATATATTTGTACTTATATACTTATAACTCCAGTTCCCCAGCCCATAACTAGCCCTAATCCTCTAATCCTGGCATTTGACCAACGGTACAATCAAAGAGGAGAGTAGACATATAAGTACAGCCCTCCTCTCCTACAAGGGTTGTGAGAAACTGAGGAGGTCTGGGAATAAGGGAGTGAGGAAGGGAACGGGTTTGGTTTTCCTCTCCTTAGTCATTCAATAAGCATTCATTAAGTGCCTATTGCGGGCCAAGGGAAGCTAAGTGGCACAGCAGATAGAGCACTGGGCCTGGAGTCAGGACAGTTCATCCTCATGAGTTCAAATCCGGCCTCAGCTTCCTCATCGGTAAAATGAGCTGGAGAAGAAAATGACAAACCACTCTGGTATCTTTGCCAAGAAAACCCCAAATGGGATAACAGAGAGTTGGACATGCCTGAAAACAGCAATGAATTACGTGCCAGGCAGTGTGCTAAGCCCTGAGTATATAAAAAAGAGGCAAAAGACAGGCCCTGCCCTCAAGGAACTTACCATCTAACGGGTTCTGTGTTTGCTTACATCGCAGTGCCACCCTAGTGGATGCCTTATCGATCTCTGTATGCAAATGGGAATCATAATGGTGCTAAAGCAGACGTGGAACAATTTCATGGAGCTTGGCTACCCGTAAGTACGAGAGCCATCCTGACCTTAGGGCCTGCTGCACTGCATGGATGGCCCAGGAGGGCCCGTGGGCAGCTGGCCATTGGGGCAGACCATGTCTCCAAGTGCTTCCTGGGATTCTGGAAGGGAGGACCTGTTTGAGAAGACTCAGTAGTAGCCACAAGCCAGAGTGAGGGCAAGAGGCATCGTGACCTGGTGCAAAGAGAGCTATCCTTGGAGCCAGGAGAGATCTGGGTTAGAATCCCAGCTCTGCCATTCACTACCTTTGTGACCTCAGGCAAACCACTTCACTCCTCTGGGGTTCAGTTTCTTCATATGTAAAAATGAGGGGAGTGAATTAAGTGGCCTCTACCATTCCTTCCAGCTCAAAATCCATGATTCTGCTTCTGACCCACACTAGCTATGTGATGATGGAAAAGGCACTGAGCCTTTCTGAGCCTCAGTGTTTGCATCTGGAAAATGGGGCTGAGACTACATCACAGGATTTCAGGGGCAGGAAGGACCCAATCAGAGAATGTATTAAAGTATTTTATGAACATCCAAGTGTTACATGTGTCTGCCATCATTAGGACCATAGATTTAGAGCTGCAAGGGACCACAGAGGCCATCTAGTCTGTTACACTTCCTTGATGAGGAAATGGAGATTCAGAGAGGGCAGAACCAGGCTTTGAATCCGCTCCCATCAACAGACATTTATTAATCACCTACTTTATGCTAAGCACTGCCCTCTGACATCAAAGCCAACACTCTATAACATACTGCCTTTTATACTATGATTTTTCTAAATAACAAAGAGGCTGGTAAAATCTGTGCTTAACCTGCAGAGAACCTTGAAGTGAAGCACTTCTGAGCTCCCTCCTGGGTTCCTCCCCCTGTCCTGTCCCCATTCATTCTATACCAAAGACTTGATCATGACTTTCACAGTAGAAAGACTGTGCATTGAGCTTTTCCTGCAGCTGTTTTAGGAGGAGATGGAAAGATAGTCATTCTACAACACAGCAGATGACCAGGGTTCAGATCTCACCTCTGACATACGTTGCCCGTGTGTCCATGGGCAAATCATTTATCCGCTCTACGCCTCAGTTTCCTCACTGGTAAAATGAGAGGGTTGGGACAAAAGGCCTGTTGAAGTCCTTTTCAGCTCTGGGTCTACAATCCTCTGAGCACATCGGGGTGAGGAAGAGTTCAAGGAATAAGAAAAACAACACAAAAAACAGACCCATAAGATGTCCTTGGAACAGCTCACTGCTTTTAACTAGTAATAAAATGATCTCCAAGTAGAAATAATGCAAGTCTATGATGGCGTGCGCACATACGCTTCTGTTTTATCTTGAGCTCTTTCTTTGTTAAAAGAAAACAAATAAAACCTTTTAATTTGGCTCTGTCTGCAGTTTTAGAAAGTTAATTTTTATGGGTATCTAAATCTGCAATGCTTGGTCTCTTCCTGTTTTTCCCCCACTCCTGGCTTGTGTTGTGAGTCTTTATTAGGACATTCTGTAGTGACTAAGATGATGTTATCATGCCCCTGGCCGTCTCCCCTCTCCTCCCGCGCCGAAGCCAGTAACAGGCAGTGACAAGCTTAGACAGTCACCCCACCTCCTCAGCAGCTCTTGTGTCAGAAAGCAGTTTGGTGTCTTCATTTCTATCGCCCACGTCCCCTTTGGTTTACCTTCTCCAGCTTCTTAAGGTACCAGAAGAGAAAAGGTCAAAAACACGGTAGTCTCTTTGAAGTTACTAACCATAATAATATTTTCTCAATTAAAAAACTTATCATGGAAATTCAGTTCAAACTACAGATAACTCGAGAATGTCACAAAAGTTAGGAGTCCTAGACTAGCTCTCCTAGCCTGAGATCTGCTACAAAGTCAGTGAATTCGAGGGGGTTTTTTCCCACGCTCCCAGTTTCATATTTTTGCAAGCCCTCCACCTGCCTCAGTGCTTCCCTTCTCTACCATTCCCCATCCATCTTCACCTCTTCATGCAGTCACCCTGCCCTCTTCCTGGGCTAAGCTTCCCCCAGGTGAAGCACTGATTCCATACCTTCCATTTTTCTTTCTTTGTGTCTTGCAGCTATGGGGATAAAGCTGACCCTGACGCCTTAGTTAAGTGGCTTAAGCTAGATGATGCCAGACACTGAGCTAATAACGGCAGAGATGACGATGATGATAGCTAGCATTCATATGGTGCCTACTATGTGCCAGGAACTGTGCAAAGAGCTTTATACTTATCATCTCATTTGACCCTTCCAACAACAGTGCTATTACTATTCCCATTTTACAGATGAGGAAACTGAGGCAAATAGAGGTGAAGTGAATTGCCACGGGTCACACATCTGAACTCAGGTCTTCCCGACTCCAGGCCCCAGCACTGTATCCACCGCACCACCTTGCTGACCTAATGGTGGACATTCTCCTTCACATACACTTCCCTCTCCATTAGACAGCCGGTGGCCATCATGCAGCAAGAAAGGGAAGACCAGGAATGATAAAATGTGAGGAAGGACTCAGCACTCACAAATCCAAACCGTGAAGGGCAGCCAAGGGGCCACGGTTAGTGCTCCCCACTGGTCTGGTGGCCTGCGGCATTCATGGGCTAATGGAACACGCCTGGCTTTGAAGTCCAAAGGGCTGCGCTCAGGCTCTGGATAGGCCACTTACAGGCAGGTCAACACCTCTTCAGGGCCCAGTTTTCTCATCTTTAAGAAGGCGGTGCTTTTGCCCTTAGGGAACGCAACAACAGACTTGGCAGATACAGATAAACTACCAAATAATTCCACAACACAAGTGTTACCTGGAGGTAACACAGACACCCTAAGACATTAAGTTGCAGAATAGGTGAGGATCTGCATTGGTAAAATTAAGAGTAATAATAATAACAATAACTAGCATTTATATAGCCTTTTAAGGTTCATAAAGTTCTTTGCAACAACCCTGAGAAGTAGGTGCTATTATTATCCCCATTTTAGAGATGAGAAAACTAAGGCTGAGTTAGGTTAAGTGACCTGCCCAGGGTCAGACACCTAATCGGTGTCTGAGGCCAAATCTGAACTCGGGTCTCCCTGACTCAAGGCCCAGCACACTCTGTACTGCACCTGCAGCTGCCTCGGAGTTCCATCCGCCAGTGAAAGGAATATCAGGTCTGATGGTTAGAATTACGTCCCAGGGCTGTGGTAAAGCTCTGAAATGATGTACCCAAAGCATCTTGTAAAGGATGGCGAGCTGCCCCCGTGGACCCCTTCTTGGCCACTGGTGTCACCACCACCGTGGCCCCAAAGCCCAAGTCCTCCTTCCCTTGTCTCGAGCATGCCCTTCAGTTTTTCTTTTTTCCTTTTACTGTGTTTGCATATGGTGACTGACTCCTGTGGGCCCTGGAAAGTTGTTTATAAATACAAATTTTTTCCCAAATTGATTTTTTTTGTCATGCAGGTTAATTCAGAACTGGTGGACGAGGAGAAAAGTCCGTCAAGAGCAAGGCACGCAGAGAAAAATCAGTTTCCCACAATGGGAAAGGGACTATAACCTGCAGCCCATGAATGCTTATGGGCTCTTTGATGAATACCTAGAAATGAGTATGGACAATTTCTTTTGCCTATTTTTTAAATTGTAAATTTTAGCCCTGAGATGTTCTTACCTAAATCCACTCCTCTTATTAGAAAGATGTTTGACTGGTAGTATGACAGAAAAAACAAACAAACACCTACTGTGTGCAGGGCACCATCCTAAGTGCTGCCAGGGATACCAAACTGGATAAGCCCATGGCCCTTGTTCTCAAGGAGCTTCTAATGAAGCACACCCCAGATGGCACAGAGGAAGCAGCACTGCCTTCTAGAGGCAGAGGACCTGGGCCCACTCTCACCCCAGTGACCTTGGACTGACTGCTGCCCTTCCCTAGGCCTCAGTTTCCTCATCTGTAAAAAGAAGGATTTGAACTAGTAGTCTCCAAGGTCCTTTGCAGCTCCAGATCCCTATTACTTTAAGAAACTCTATGTCTTCACTGGAGCAGAAAGAGCATACAATTCAACACAAAGGGGTAAAAATCTACTAAACTTGTTTTTGACATCAAATGGACAGGTATCAAAGTGTTCCAGAAAGAGTACAATGTTCTCATCTTTCAAAGTCACTGGAGAACAGAAATGAGTTATCAAAAGATAACAAACCAAGGAAAAAGGAATTCTCCTTATCAGCCCAAGAAAAAGTAGACTCATCTTATATTTAAGAAGGAACTATTCTTTAAAAGACTAAATTTAGAATGCGCCCTTAAAAGTTTTCCCCCATCAGGATACTTTTTCTGTTTAAAAAAAAATACAACTAAGTCTTTTTGGACACTAGTAAAATCCAAGTGATGTGTACTATGGTTTTTGGATGGCTTATGCACCAAATATATGCTGATGTTTTTGGAGTTTCAAGTACAAGATGCCTGAATGATGTAACATTAAGTTGAAATCAAATTGAACATTAATGCAGAATTTAGTTAATGCAGTTTACTAACAGAACAAACTCATTTGAAGGCACTGCTGCACTGTTTCTTCCTCCCCAATAAATAAGAGATATGGATGGATGGATGGATGGATGGATGGATGTGAGGGAAGAAGTTGGGAAGGAAGGAAAAAAGGAAAGGAAGGGAAAGAAAACAAGAAAAAGAAAAGGAAGGGAAGAAGGAAAGGAAGAGAAAAAAGAAAAAGAAAAAAAGGAAAGAGAGAGGAAAAGAAAGAAAGGAAGGGTGCTTATTATTTGCCAGGCACTGGGCTAAGCCCTGCAAACGCACGAACATGGAAGCAAGATGATCTCTCAAATATTTTTCATTCTAATGGGGGAGACAATACATGAAGGGAGCTGTGGGGGAGGGGGAAAGAGGTACCCAAGTCAGGGTAAAGCAGCTGGTGTGGAGAGGAGGCCAGAAGGTAAGTGGGCAGCACAGCTAGGACTTAGGATATGGTGGATTGCAGGCAAGGGCTCACCAGTCAATGAGTTGAACTCTAAGTGGAGTCATCCTCAGGGGATTCAAGGCATCTGATGTGGAGTGTGAGCAGGGAGGGGAGCAAGAAGCATGCCTGGAATTTCTGAAGACACTGAGGAAGAAAAAGTAATTACTGGGAACAGTCAGTTCACCACTGTACATGTCATCTTCTAATTTTAAATTCTAAGCACTAAAGGGATGTTGATAGTTTTTATATAATAGACAGCTGTGCTGACAGCACCTTTCCTCTTCTTCTACCCCTGAAAAAAGAATCTATCCTATTTCCTAAAGGGAGATTCCCATAGCAGAAGTAGTGAAAGAATTATTTCTCTTCTCATAATGGAGGTGTACCATGTAGAAGGATCTCGAGCAACCAAGTCAACTATGTTTTATACTCTTGGTTTCATCTGTCCATTGCAGCCCAGTGCAGACCCAGCCTGAACCCTTTTTACATTTGTATAGTATGTCAGAGAGGCAGTATGGCAGAGCAGAGTGCTAGCCGGCCTGAGCCAGAAGACCTGCCTTCCAGTCCTGCCTCCGACACCTACTGGCTGACCGAGCCAGTGAGGGACAACTTTCTGTGACTTTAAGTTGGCAACCTGCACTGGTAGAGGGACTTCCTGACATCACTGAAATAACTTTTATTACACGTGTGTCCATAAAGCTTCCCATAATATCTTTGTTTCTTGGATGACTCAAAGAAGCACTGTGGACACATTCTAACTACATTTGTTCATTTTGCTTATTCCTTTTCATTTGGCAATTACCAATTCAACCATTCATTCTTCAGCAGCCATTAAGCACCTACTCTACACTGGGAGAGAAACAAGGTTAGATACAACATAACTGTTGAGCCTTCCGAACTTGAAGTCTGAACAGGGAAGGAACTAAGTGGTCTGCTACAAGTAAGTACCAGGATACTCGGGGCAACTAGATGGTGCAACGCATAAGAGTGCTGGGCCTGGAGTCAGGAAGACTCATCTTCGTGAGTTCCAATCTGGCATCAGACACCATCTGTGTGACCCTGGGAAAGTCCCATAACCCTGTTTGCCTCAGTTTCCTCATCTGTAAAATGAGTTGGAGAAGAAAATGGCAAAACCACTCCAATATCTTTGCCAAGAAAACCCCAAATGGGGTCACCAAGAGTCAGACATGACTAAAACAACTCAACATTAGGATACTGAATGAAGTCACATTTTTTGATGAAGCACACAGAATCCTGTACTTAGAATCTGAAAGTTCTGTGCTGATATTCCATCTCTGATAGGAGCTTTGTGACCATAGGCAAGTCGCTTAATTTTTTTGAGTCTCATTTCCTTATCTATACAATGAAGATGTTGAACTAGAAGCCTCTAAGGTCCCTTTCAAGTCAAATTTTATTTCTTTAAGTCTATATTTGTAGCTTCTCTCAAAATACCAGATTTCATGGAAATGTAGTAAAAACTATAGAAGTTTTGGCCCATTTGAAAAACTTCTTGGTTATCATGTTGTTTCAAATTGGCTGACAGAAGCATAAATCCCACTTCTCGTGTAATATAGATCAAATGTCCCAAATTTCATAAAAGTTCATTATGTTCCTTCAAAAAATATGGCCGGACAAATAGGCCAATTAGATGAAATGCCAGTCAGTGTGCAACAGAGACCTCCCTACATCTAGCCAAATTACAATTTCAGAGCTCTCTCATTTTATCATTTTGTGCATTAAGCCCATGTGCAATTAAAGCTTTCTCTACAATATTAATTCCTACATAGTTCACATAATTAATTTCAAGTTATTAGCAAAAGGTACTGACACCAAAAACTCAATTTCAAACCAAAATGAAGGTATAATGTCACGGACAGAAAGGTTATAATCTAGGTGTCAGAACACACTCAGAATATTGTGCTTGGTTCTAGGTGACATTTTAAGGAGGACGCTGACAAACCAGATTATCTGGAAGAAGCAAACTTCAATCATAAGAGGACTGGAAACCAAAATTGTGAGTTTTGGTGAAAGGAGCTGCTCCATTATGGGTGCTACATTTTAGAAAGGACTTCGATATGGAGAGCACCCAGGAAAGTGAAAGGCTTCAAGTCCACACAGCATGAGAATTAGTCAAAGACACCAGGAATAGGCCAGCAGCATGGTGCAGTAGGAGAAACACTGAACTCAGGGACACGGAATCCTGGGTTTACCATTTAGTAGGTCACCTTAGGCAAGCCATTAGTTTTTCTGCACCTCAGTTTCCTTATCTGTAAATTGAAAGAATCGGACATGATGTCTAAGGTCTCAGCTCTAAATCTATGATCTATGACTCTTATGTTTCTATACATCTTTCCCATTAAGAAGAGAAGTTTTGGGGGGAAGGGAAGGAGCAAGGCAAATTCTTCAAGACTTTGAAGGGCTGTCATCAGAAGAGGATCAGATTTGTTCTGTTAGACCTCCAGAGCAGAACTAGTAGCAAGGAGTTAAGAGTTGCAAAGAAGTAAATCCAAGGTTTGATGAAAACTGCCAAGATTAGAGCTTCCTAGAAATGGAATGGGCTACATTAGAAGGCAGTGGTTTTCCCCCACTGGATGTCTTGTGGCCAAGGCCGGACAATGACTTGTCAGGTACGTTTTATGGGATGGTCTTTTTCAAGTGTGGATAGGACTATGTGGCTGCAGAAACCTCCTAACTCTGAAGTTGTTTATGTGAATGTAATCTTGTTTCATTTTGCATATCCCCTCTATACTCCTGTGTTTACTTATCATTTCCCCCATTAGGGCATGAGCTTCTTTGAGGGCAGGCTTCCCCTTTACTTCTATCCCCAGCCCTCAGCTTGGTGCCTTCCAACAGGAAGAATTTAATAAATGGTGGTTGTTTGACTGTCTTTACCTTGATGGCCTGCTGGCAACCTGAAACTCCACTGACCATCTTACCTTGCACATCTGCCTTTCTCTGATCTCTCTATTCTTGTTAATGGCACCATCCTCCTCATTATCCTCGCTGGGTTTCTTGGAGTCTTCTCTGATTCACCAGATCCCAGTCAAGGCCTGAAAATCTTCCTTCTGTCATATTTATCTGTCTTCTCCATTCCATTTCCAGTGTCACTACCCAGTTTAGAGTCTCATCCTCTTTCCTGGATTTTTTTTATAACCTCCTAATTGGTGTTCCTGTACCCAAGCTATCTTCTTCCCATCTCTAAACTGTCCTTCACATTGCTATCTAACTTATGTTTCTAATGCACAGCTGACTATATCACCCCACTGTTGAGAAATCTTCAATGGCTCCCCATTTCCTCACAAATTACAAAATACACTCATTATATTATCCAAGGCTCTCCACAATCTGGTTCCAACCCAACTTTCCAGCCTGATCTCACACTACTCTTCTTCACAAACTCTACAGGCCAGCCAAATTGGACCACTCATCATTCCTCATGCTTATCTTGTCTTTCCTATACCCATGCATGTGTTCATGTCATCTGCAATGCACAGAATAAACTATCTAACTTTCCACCTTTCCTTCCTGAATCTTTATGGGTTGAAATCCTTTCTTTTCTTCAAGGTCCATGAAGGTCCTCTGATCCTCTACACTGGAAGCAACCATTTCGTTCTCAAATTTCTCATAGCACTTCAGGTGGACTTCTCTTGGTCTTATTAGTAAATAGAAATTGCAGCTATCGGTGTCCATATGATATCCTGTAACTCTATTTGTAAGTTCCTTGTGGTCAGGCCCCATGTTTAGTCATCTTTCCATTCCCCTCACTTAGCACAGTGCCTTTGTTTGAGACTCAGTAAATGTTTGTTAAACTGAATTGTCCACACTGCACTAAAACAGTTGGGTCAATGTAGTGACTTCAGATGGCTCGCTAGCATTTGGTTTGGGAAACATCTCCATCGAGCCATTTTTTGGTGTCATGTAGACCAAAACCAACCAGTTAACTAACCATATTCTTCTATCTTTCAGATAACTGTTGTTGTCATGGAGACATGTCTTCCATGGGCCTTTATTTTCCAAAAAGCCTTTTATGTTGAACAATATTCATGTTCTCATTGTGAAAAATAGACACCCCCCCCCCAATTTTCTTTCCAGCTGGTAAATTAGCTACTTCTTACTAATCATTGTTTAATCAAAACTGGATTTCTGGGAAGGCCCAAAAGTGAAACAAACAAGTAGAAAGGGAAAGGTCATTCCAACAACTACTTATCCAACAATTACTTGTCTTGATGACTAAAAAAGAAAAAAGATGAGCTTAGCTATCCCTCCCCCCAAATTTCTAACCTAGTTGCTTTAGCTTCAGGAGCTATAGTTCAAATAGCTATTTCTATATATCACCTGAAATTATACTGTTCCATAGAACATAAACTGCAAGAGGGCAGAAAAGGATTCATTTTTTTTTTATCCCTAGCACTGGTCCTTGCACACAGTAGGTGCTTAAATGTTTGTTAAATTACCCACTGGGAAAAGATCTCATATTGAGAACAATGACAGCTCTAATAGTATCTGATAGCCATGAGCCTTCTGCAAGGTAGGGCTGAAAAACCTACAATGTCTGTGATCTTTTTCTGTTCCTTTTTCTAGTTCTTCAGTTTGGCTTCACAACTATCTTTGTCGCAGCCTTTCCCTTGGCACCACTCCTGGCCTTACTGAACAACATTATTGAAATCCGACTGGATGCATACAAATTTGTGACACAGTGGAGGCGACCTTTAGCTTCAAGAGCCAAAGACATAGGTGAGACAGCAGAAATTTGCGTGAATGTCACAAGTTGTGGCATTGTCCAATGGGTGATTAAACTAGAAATAAAGCCTACTGCATGAATATTGGTTTTTCCACAAAGGGTTGAAAATGAATCTGTGATCAAATATGAAAAAATATTCTTTCATTTTTTGTTTAAGTGAGAGGTAGCATGGCATATTGGATAGAAGAAAAGATTCAGGAAGGAAATGGTGGCTGTCTTTAAGTGTTTAGCGGAATATCAGGTAGAAAAGTGATTAGATTTGTTCTGTTGGCCTCAGAGGGAAGAAACAGGAGAAAGACAAGAGATGGAAGCTGCAAAGAAGCAAATTTAGGCTCAATGTCAGGAAAACCTTCCTAACAATCAGAGTTGTCTAAAGTGGAATGGACTTCCTCGGGAAGTGGTAGGTTCCCCATCTTTGGAGATAGTCAGGCCTAAGGCTGGATGACTACTTGTTTGGTATGGTTGTAGAAGGGATTCTTTTCCAGGGATAGGTTGATGCAGATGGCTAGAATGTCCTTTCCATTTCTTAACTTCTTCATTTCTGTGAGCACTAGACTTGGAGTCTAAGAGATTGGGATTCAGGTTCTGCTTTTGACTCTTGTAACATGGCCATGAGAAAGTCACTTAGTGTCTCTGTGCCTCAGTTTCATTTCACCATCTTTAAAACAGAGAAAATAATATTTGGAATAACTACCTCACAAGGCTGTTGGGAAGGCCAGTTGACTATAATGCACCTGGCAGACTTCAAAGCATTTTATTAAGTCAATATTATTGCTGTTGTTGTTGAAAATGATGGCCTTTAAGAAGAAATGATACTGTCATTGGGACATTTAAGACTTTCCTCATTAAGCTGGCTAAGAAGCATGTACAGGGTATCCCAAAAGTCTTGCTGCCATTTTAAGCTTCAATAGCTTAACAAAAAAGAAGCAACAAATCAGGCATTTGATTGATTAAAGAAACAAGTAAGACAATTACTATATATATCTTGCATGCACCTAGTTATTTCCATGTTGTCTCCCCCATTAGAATGTAAGATCCTTGAGGGCAGGGACTTCTTTCCCCTTTGTCTCCCCAAAACTCTAATTAGACATATTGTCATTATGTACAGAATTGTATGACTTATTATTTGAAGCCCAGTGGTCTTAGAACGGACCAGTGGACGTTCCTTATAATGGGATGGCTGGTGAGAGAGAAGAACTACCTAACCCTAATTTTCAGAGTTTGCCTAGCACATAGCTTATTTGATGCTTGTTGACTGGCTGGCTCATAGTAAGCATTTAATATGGGGTGTCCCAAAGGTCTTAGTGGGATTTTAAGCTTTAATAGTCTTAATGCTTGTTGTCTAATGGAGGGGACAATATGTAAATTACTCGAGGCACACAAGACATACACAGTAGATATCCTTTCCTGTTTCTTAGTAAACTCAACTTTGGTTTTCTTTTTCTTTAAAAAACTTTCAGTTCTCTTTACACGAGTTAGTTTGAGATTTCCATTCCCTATCCCTTTTTCCTGTGGTTCTAAAAAGGATGCTCTTGGACAATGGGTTTACTAAGCTCTTCTCTTGAGCAGTGGCCACAGAGACTCTAAATTCAGGCCTTTCAATCACAAAGATAACATATTGTCTTGAAAGGTAACAAGATTTAGGACTAAATAGTATTGGCAAAGCCTGTGAAATGCAAGAATAGATCCCGAACAAGGGCAGCCTCCACTGTCGATGTTCTGGGCTCCGACTGCAGAGACCACTGATAATGAACTGGCGTGGCCTGTTGGCTGCCTACTCAACTGGGTGAGATTTTGCCAAGTCATCTCTGGCCAGGGCTTTGCCTCAGGGTCAGATCCTGAGCAGTTTATCCATTGTGCATGCCAACTCCTTCTCCAGGACTCCTTTAGAGAATAAAAGGCCTCATGTCTGGCTAACCCTGTCAGGTTATAGGACAATGAATGGGAGCCTGCAAACAGTGAAGGCTGCAGCAGAAATTGTTTCTCAACCCACAACTTCGACATCTTCCAGTAAATTGTAAGCTCCTTGAGGACAGAGGCTACCTCGCTTTTGTATATGCATAACAATGATGATGACAACAGGCAATATAATGTAATAGACAGGTTTGTTGCCTGGGAGATTGCTGTTCCTACAGCTAATCAAATACCATTGTTTTTCTTTGCACAGGAATCTGGTATGGAATTCTCGAAGGCATTGGGATCCTCTCTGTGATCACAAATGCATTTGTCATAGCCATAACATCTGACTTCATCCCTCGCCTGGTTTACGCTTACAAATATGGACCCTGTGCGGGCCAAGGAGAAGCTGGACAAAAGTAAGTCTGGGATACTGAGCCATCATATACTTAGACATTCATTTCTTAAATATTTGTGGCAGGTATAAAACTGGGAGAGGGACAGTAGTCAAGGATGCAAGGATGGAGTCATGAGCCTAAGAGGAGATCTTAAAGCGGATTGTAATTGATAGAATACAGGCTGTGGAGTCAGAGGAACCAGGTTCAAATTCTGCCTCTGAAATTTACCACCTGTATGACCTCAGAAACATCACCTCACTTCCTTGGATGAGAATTACTTCATCTGTAAAATGAAGGAACTAAACTGGGTGATCTCTTCCATTTGTAATCCTGTTATCAAGACAAGTTTCTCCTGAATACAGGAAATGAGTCACAATCTGATTCAATACGCCGCAAAACAAACACATTCTGTGAATTAACCCCGCATATCATACAGTTAAAAACTGAATGTCATTCAGGGCTGTTGGCTCTAACCCAGTCCAATACAACTGCTGCAGGAGAACTAGATGTGCTGAGTCACACTGGTGGCCCCGTTCCCTGGGAATGCTATGAATGTGCAGGCAGAAGGACTGGCATTTCTAGGCTAGCTGGAGACAACTGAGAAACTGGCACAATGGGCCTTCAACTTACCCAGCCTCATCTCCTGTGCCCCTTGGCATTCCCTTGGTAGAAAGTGGCCAGTTTCTCCCACTCAAGAGCCCTGGGGGATCACGCTTTCCTATCTCTCTATCCAGCTCCCTCTCCAGGTTCCCATGCTGCCTCTCTGGCCTTGTACATACAGAAGGTGCTTAATAACTTTCGGAGTTGAATTGAATTGAACTGAAACCAACTTTTCTCTTGTGCCCTACTCTTCCTTCTACCATATCATGCTGCTCCTATATAAGGATTTCCTGAGACAGTTAATTTTTCCTCACTTAGAACAAGTCCATACACAAATCTCTCTTTCTCTCTCTTGTCCTTATCACATTCTCCTTGTATCTATTTGTGTATTTGTCTTTTGAGAATAAGGCCTGTGTCACATCTGTGTCTTCATACTGACAAGGTCTCGCAGTTTCTCACACATGGAAACAATAAATGTTTGAGTTGAGTTGCGTTGAATTAATGGAAGGCCCTGGGTCAGGGCCTTGACAACCAAGAATGATGCCATCACTCCAGCATCCAATAACCTTCTGATCATTCACTGAGTTAGAATAGAGAATTGACCAGAATTAGACAACAAACTTTTACTCAGATGTTTTGAGATTTGGCTTCACCTCTGAGGCATAAAATGCTTTACACATAATAAGCTTTTAATAAATACTTGCTCAGCTGTGTTGACTTGAATCAAGCCTTGTCAAGGAGACTCCTTTGAGAGCAGATCCTATGATGGATTATCAGCTGTTACGGAGACCGTGCCTAAGACCCTAGACCCCTGCTCTAGACTCACTGTTGAGTGCAGATGACTCTTTGCATATAAGTCCCATTTTCCTTAAGCACAGAGAGCAGGCAAGGTTTTGTGGCTCACCTCGTAGTGTCATCAGAGTCTGCCCCATGGAGACTTCCCTGCTTTACCTGATTTCCTGGGTGGTGGTGGTTGTTGAGTTGTTTCAGTTGTGTCTTTCTGTGACCCCATTTGGGGTTTTCTTAACAATGACATTAGAGTGGATGGCCATTTCCTTCTCCAGCTCATTTCACAGATAAGGAAACTGAGGCAAACAGGGTGAAGTGACTCACCCAGAATCCACACAGCTAGTAAGTGTCTGAGGCTGGATTTGAACCCAGGAAGATGTGTCTTCGTGACCCCAAGCCCAGTATTCTATCCACTGCACTATCTAGTTGCCCCTCCCATGTGGTAAAGCCTTTCAATTTTTTTTTTAAACAAGGAAGCTAAAGAACATAGTGCATGGAAAAACACTGGGGCAGAACTTTGAAGTTCTAATGAAATAAATAATAATGCTAGTTCCCATGTATAATCAATCAAAAAGCATTTATTAAGCATCTATTGTGGATCAGGCACAATTATAAAACCAAAACAGTCCTGGCCTCAATGAGATTCTATTCTATGGCAGAAACGACATATATTCATAAAAATATAAATATAAAAATACACACAAGGTAAACACAAAGTAATTTGGGGTAACATTCATAGCTGTGGGGATCAAGAAAAGGCCTTATTTAGGAATGATGAGGTGGAGGGAATGCATCACTGGCACAGGGTACAGCCTGGGCCAAAAGCACAGAGGTAGAAGACAGTCAGAAGGAGGCCCCTTTGGCCAGAATGTAGCGCATGTGAAGAGAAGTAATGTCTAATCAGCCCTGAAAGATAGACTGGAGTCAGATTGCGGGGGCTTTAAATGCCATACAAAGGACTTTGTATTTTAACCTAAAAGCAACAGGGTCATATAGGACTTTATAACTGACAAAGGAATTTCCTTAAAAGAACTCTGTTAGAGTAGATCCAATATGAACTTGTTATCTTATATAAGAAAACTAAGACTCAGATAAAATGACTTGCCCAGGGTCACACAGCTAGCAAAAGGCTGAGGCAGGATTTGAACTGAGGTCTTCCTGACTCTTAATTCCAGCACTTTATCCATTATATCATGCTACCTCTCACCTGGTGATAATACCTCAGGAAAACTGCCTTCTCTTTCCCCGCCTTAATTTCCTCACCTCTAAAATGCATGCCTTGGCCTGGGCAACCTACGACATCTGTCCTAACTGGCACACTCACAGGACCATAGATTTCAAGATGGAAGGAATCTCACAGGCCCTCTAGATGGACCCCCTTACTTCACAGATGAGGACACTGAGGCTCGGAGAGTTGAGTGTCTTACTCAAGGTCACACAAATGGAAAGTGGCAAGGCCAGAATCTGAACCCCAGTCTAGCTTGCATTCTTTCCATTGTGCTGTGTGATGCTCTGATGTTTGCTGGTTATGCTGTGATATGTCTAAAAGCATCTCCTCTTTTTTTTTTGCTTTGCATCCAAAAGGAGGTGCCGACTAATAACACATCAGCCCGGGCTTGTAAGGTCTGGCATGGGAAGAGGATGCATAATAAGTAGCATTTACCAGTAATGACTCCAATTCATTAGCAAGGAATGGGGAGGGGAGCATATTCAGGGAGCCCACAGCAGATGTCCCATTATCCCTCAGCAGAGTACACGACCAGAGAATGCTGCTGTAGATGGGCAGGCACTTTAATCATCTCTGAAGCCATTTGGTTTATGAGATGATCATGCAGGAGGTCATTAACATTCCATTTGATTGGACCAGTGTTCGTGCCACCCTCTGGACCCACTTTCAACTTGCTCTCTAGGTGACTGGCAAGGCATTCCCTGGGTTTCATATATTGCGCATGGAGAATAGCATTATCTCCGTGACAACAGATAGTCAGCAGAGATGATGATACTGTGTGGTCTGTTCACCGACATAAAACAGAGGAGGGGGAAGAGCAGTCCCCAATTGCCCTCGATCTTCCCCCAGTCAGAGGCAGCTCAGCTGTCACAGGCTTCCCCCCGATCTCAGAAAGGACCTTGTTTGCAGGGACGCTCTGCTGAATGGACAGCATATGTTTATGCTTGAGCCACTCTGGTTTCCAGGACTGAGGGGCACCCAACAATCACATTTCTGTGCTTCCCCTTGTCCACCTACTATGTGCTAAGCACTGGGGACAGAAAAAGAAAGTAAACAGTCCCTGCCTTCAAGGAGCTTATTTGTAATGGAGAGATATGTCAAGCAAAGAGCTACAAGGTGACCTGGTAGGCACTAGCCCTCATGGAGAAGGGAACACACTGGCACACTTAGGAGAATGGAACCTCAGGCAGTTGGTGGCAGAGAAAATGGAGCTCAGGACTTGAGTTCAAATGCCACTTCAGACACTTACTAGTTGTGTGCCCATGGGCAAATCACTTAATCTCTTGGCTTGTTTTCTGATCTGTAAAATGGGGATATAATAGTACCCACCTTGTGGGGCTGGTATGAGAATCAAATGCATTAACATCTGTGAAGTGCTCTGCAATCCTTAACGGTGCTATTTCAGTGTCATTATTGTTGCTGTCATTACTGTTATACAAAGTGCTTCATAAATGCCTTCTCATTCTTTCATTCATTGATTCTACCCCTGCCCCCAACTCACAAAGTCATACCTTATAAAATCACAAACCCTAATGTCATTTGGTTGACTTCTTTTCCCATGTCATCGATTTCCTTAGTAATCCTATTTTATACATTTAAAAGCATTATTCTAAGAAGGGGTCCCTAGATGTTGCCAGACTTCCTGAGAAGTCCAAGACACACAAAAATGGGAAAGAACCCTTGCTCTATGACAACAAGTTTCAGCGACGGCATCAGCCTGCAATGATAGAGGAAGCTTCCTCACAAGGAGCTCCTGGCACCAATAATTCATAGGCCTGGGGAGGGAAGGGGGAGAATTGCAGTTCAAGATTGAAATGTAAAAATCAACCATTAAAAGCTCTGCTTTTGCTCTCAGAATATAACCTGGATTTGTGAAGCAGTAGAAAAAAAGCTGAATTCAGAAAATAAACAAATTGAGTTAATGACAAGCTGAAGGAAATACAACAAACATAATATCAAAGAGTAATCTGAGGGAAGGTGACAATTATTAAACGAGAAGTGATCCTGACTAAAGGTCATTTTCAGGTGCCTGGACTTGGAATCAGGATGATCAAATCCTGTCTCTGGCATTCTCTAGCTGTGTAACTTGAGGCAAGTAATTTTGGAAGCAGCTAGGCGGTAAAGTAAATAGAGCCTTAGACTTGGGAGTCAGTAAGTCCTGAATTCAAATCCTACCTCCTACACTGTATGAACTCTAGGCAAGTCCCTTACTCTGCCTCAGTTTCTTCATCTGTAAAATGGACATAATAATAGCATCTCTCTCTCTCCCTCCCTCCTTCTCCTCTCCCTCTCCCTCTCCCTCTCTCTCTCTCTCTCTCTCCCCCCCCCCGATATCACTGTGAAGATCCAATGAGAAAATAACCATAAGGTGCTTATTAGCCCACTACCTGGCCCATAGTAAGTGTTACAGAAATACGTCATTATCGTTAGACATGTGACTGCATGATCCTGGCCAAGTCCCTTAACTTCTCTTGGCCTCAATTTCCTCATGTGGAGCATAGGAGATAACAACAGCATTCACCTCATAAGGATGTTGTTTGCTAGGCTCAAATCAGGTATGTGAAGCCCTCTGCACACCTGAAAAGCACATATGAATGCTATCTTTATTTCACCTTTCTGTGCCTCAGGCAATGTCCTAGGACTGTTTAAAGTGCTTAGCGCACAGTGCCTGGCACATATTAAATGCTTGTTGTTTATCCCCTATCTCACCCACTGAGCCGCCTAATAAAGAGCTCTACATCATATTAGTAGTTTATTTTTTAACATACTAATTGAGAGATTTTTGTTTTTCTTGTAGATGCATGGTTGGGTATGTTAATGCCAGCCTATCTGTGTTTCTCATTTCTGACTTTGAAAATCGATCTGAGCCTACATCAGATGGAAGTGAATTCTCTGGAACACCACTAAAATACTGCAGGTAGGAATGCAATCACGCTCTTCCTCTGGTCCCCTCTTCCCCTTCCCCACCCCAGTACTTTTCCTGACTGTGGAATAGTATAGCTCCTCCAAGAGTCTCATGTTGACTATTTTTTGAAAATAAATTTAATCATGCATTTTAGAATTCACTCAGAACCATCTTGAAGAAAATGGGAAAGAGACTTGGTAGGATGAGGCAGCCCTCAAGAGCCTGAGCAGAAATTGCAGTAGGGGAGGGTGAGCAGTTCCTGTCTGGCTCCTCTCCTCCCACTCCCTGCTGGTGGGCACCTTCTGACCAAGGATCCCAGTCCAACGGAAGTCCTAAGATTGTCAGTTTGCATTTGGACAGAGCTTTCAATACTAGTCTAGTACTAGATCACAGAGTTGGAAAGGATCTGGATAGTGACCTAATCTGATCCTTCCTCATGTTAAGCAGTTTGCCTCCAGTCACACAGCTCTCAAGTGCCAGAGGGAAGGATTTGACCGTAGCATCATAGACCTCAAGAAGAAAGGAACTTTGAGATGGTGTAGTTTGACTCCCCCCATTTTACTGACGAGGGACACTAAAGCCTGGTGAGGTTGGTTCTGAATTAAGTTGTTTGTGGAACTTCAAACAGACCCTCCTTTTTTCTTTATTAAGGAGGGAGAATGCACCCGGGCCTCTTGGACTATGCCCAAGGTAATGCCAAGCTCCCCAGTGAGATCCATTATTTGCAGCTGTTCAAAGAAAACAGCAGCATGTAAAAAATTCTGTTTGTTTCTGTACTGACCTCTGTGGAATGGACAGCACAACACATTGAAGCCTTCCTGGCAACAGGAGCTCTTAGGTAGGAAATCAGCCTCAGAGTCAAAGAATCTTAGAATAATAATAATAGCTAGCATTTGTATAGTACTTTAAGGTGTACAACACACTTTACAAGTATCATTTCATTTGATCCTCACAATAACCCTGGGAGATAGGTGCTATTATTATCTCCACTTAACAGGTGAAGAAACTGAGGTAAACAGAGGTTAAGTGGCTTGCCCAGGATCACACAGCTAGAAAGTATCTAAGGCCAGATTGAAAGTCAGATCTTCCTGACTCCAGGCCTGGCACTCTATGTCCTATGCCACCAGGCTGCCTCAGAAGCAAAGGAGCCTTAGAGATCCCCTCATCCAGGGGTGGGTGGGGAACCTGCCCTAGTCCAACCCTTTTATTTTACAGAAGGTGAAAACTCGGGTCACTAAATGCCCACTTGCCCAAAGTCTCACAGCCAATGAGAGGCAGTAAGTTCTCCCAAGTCAGGGCCCTTTTAGGGTGGTTGTACCACCTAGGGTCCCAGGAAGACATTGTTACAGCACACTTCCATCATCTAAAGACACCACTGCAGGGAGATGCTAGCACAGTGCCTCAGATGCCAAGCTCTCTTCCATGTTTGAGAAGTCTTACTGCTTCTTCTGAATGAGCACTACTTGATTAGATCCTTCCCCCGGGCCTCTGTCTCTCTCCCCAATCCTTTCTTGTGGCTTCCCATGGCCTGCTCCTATCTTCTTTTAGGCCATGCTTGTTCTTTGTAATTCTGTTCTTTGCTTCTGACTCTTTCTGGCTGCCACCACTGAGTGTGTTGTTCTCTCTGATACTGGGTATCCCCTTCTGCACATCAGTGCACAGAGACCTCTGAGAAAGCAGGGATTGACAAACTCATTGCAGGAAGAATGGGAACTCTGCTTGCTGGCCGACCAGAACAAGCTGAGGGGACTTGAGATTGTTCTCCTATTCCCTTACTCACTGTTCTAGTCTAGAGTCAAAGTTTACTCTTTGTTCTGCTAGCCTGACTGATACAAAGTGGATTTCTATACTCAGCTGGGTGGAGTGGGGAATCAAGCCAAATGAGGGACTTTTAAAAGCCCCAGTGAATCCAGAAATCCAAATGGACATGGCGTTGAGAGGGGCATGGACTATACTTGGGCAGGTTGGTGTGCATGTATAAGAACATAAAAATAACAGCTAATATTTACATAGCACTTTGAAGTCCACAAAGCATTTTACATATCTCATTTGATCCTTACAACCACCCTCTGAAGTGAGTGCTGTTATTATCATCCACATTTTACAGATGAGGAAACCAAGGCAGACAGAGGTTAAGTGATTTACCCAGAGTCACACAGCTAAGTCAATAAATGAGGCAGGATAGTCTAATACTCTGTCCACTCCACCATCTTGCTATGTGCTACAGGCATTTGATTCTGATACAATTGCAAAGGGCAGGGATGCATTACTTGATTTGTTTCCTAAGTTCAAAGTTAGCCGCTCACAGATTCCACATGTAAAACTACTCAAAGTAAGATGCATATTCATGTTTGGGGTAGAGAAGCCTGCCATTTTATTTACCAAAAAGATGGAGGTAGAGACAGTACTGGTTACAAAAAACACATTCAGACACATTCAAGGGTTTTAATTAAAGATCTCTCTACTGTCATGAGAGGTAGAAAGCAACTGAGTTATATACCTGAACCCAGTAAAAATGCCAGCTGTTCATCATTCAAGCTAGAAAGCTCCCTCGCAAGGAAAACAGATGCAGTTCTGAAAAAACAAATGTACCTATTAAAACCAAACAGAAATATCCTGCTTTTATCAGATGCTGAAATTAAAGTCAAAATCAAATTCCAAGTTACCCTTTTCTGTAAGCCCCCATATAATTTTTAAGATTTGTGCTGGGGGGGAGGAGGGAGGAAGGTATTTATTAGAAAGATCAGATTTATAGCTTCCATTTCCACTACTGTGACGTGAGATTCATGGCAGCTTCCTCAATGGCCCAGGGAAACATATTGTCAATGAGAATGCCAGAGAATCCATGGATGTTTCTGCCAGAAACTCAGAAGCAGATTTATTCTGCAAATAGTAAGAGCATCAAGGCCTGAGTCTCTTCTCCAAGCCCTAGTCTACCTAGCTAAGGTTGGAGAAGCTAATCACCAGGCTGACCACAGTCAGGGGAGATGTCCTTTTCTTTTCCCTTGCCAAAGAACGTCTACTGAGACATAAAGAGGTTGTGACCTGTGCTGGTCAAGAAGTACTCAGCAGCATGGAACAGTGTGTCCAAGGTCACATAGCTAGGATGTGTCAGAAGCAGGACTTGAACCCAGGTCTTCCTGACTTCAAGGACAACTCTATATATATATCACAGTCCACTGTCTTTTATACACAGATAATCAAATATAAATATATATGCAAATATAAAATATATGCAAAAAATGCAAGAGAATCAAGGAAAGATGAGTTGTAATCATGCCTCACACATACTTGTTAGCTATGTGACCCCGGACAAGAACTTCTATCTGCCTTGGTTTCTTCATCTGTAAAATGGGATTGACAACAGCACTTATCTCAAAGGGTTATTGTTAGGATCAAATAAGATAATATATGTAAATTACTATGCAAACCTTAAAGCACTGAATAAATGACAACTATTAGCTGTCATGGGGAAAGGTTCAGGAAAGAAACTATATTTTCAGACTCAGGAAAAATATATATACGTACGGGTATATTTGTATGTGTGTGTGTGTGTGTGTATATATATAAATATATATATATATATATATATACACACACACACACATACATATATACATATATGTATATTTATATATATATATTAAAAAAAATCTTGGATACCAAACCCTTATCAGAGAAACTTAAGTGGGTTTTTTTTCGCTTTTTACTACTTCCCCTCCTTATCCTAGGTGCACTGATTTTGTTTGTGCAGAAGCTTTTCTGCTTGAAATAATCAAAATTATCTATTATTATCTTTTGTAATTGCTTCTTTTGTTTGGTTAAAAATACATCTCCTATCCACAACTGTGAGACATATATAAGCTGTTTAATTCTTTTCTAATATGATCCTTAAAATCACTTATCCATTTAGAATGTATTATGGCATATGGCGTGATATGATGGTCTAAGACCAATTTCTGTCAGACTGCTTTCCACTTTTCACAGCAATTTTAATTAAGTAAATTTTTCCCTAGGTAATTTACGTTTTCTACTTTAATACATACTGAGTTATTAAGTTCTATTGCTCCTGAATTTCCCTTGTCTAGTCTGTTCCGTTGTTCTACCTCTCTATTTTTTAACCAATACCAGATAGTTTTGATGACTGCTGCTTTATAATTTGAGGGGCTAAAAGTGCTGTACCTCCTTCATCTGTACTTCTTTTCATCATTTTTCTTGATATTTTATATCTTTTGTTTTTCCGAATGAGTTTTGTTATTTTTATCCAATTCCATAATTCCCTTTGGTATAGCTTTAAAAGTGTAAATTAACTTTGGTAGTATTTTCATTTTCATAATGTTGAACGTGGTGTAGCCATGAGAACTGATATTCTTCTACCTGTTGTTCTTTATTTCTTTAAGCAGTACTTTTTAGTTTAATCTATATATCTTTTGTGTGCTCTAGTAGGCCGAACCCCAGATTTTATGCATTTTGTAGTTGTTTGGAATGGGATTTCCCTATTACTGCTTTTTGTGTTTTGTAATTATAGAGAAAAGCTGCTGATTTTTGAGGATTTATCGTGTAGCCTGCAACTTCGTGGAAGCTATTTGTCTTAATTATTATCTTTGCTAATTCTCTAGGATTTTCCAAGTAAACCCTTATACCATCAGCAAACAAGGATGGTTTTGTCTCCTCTATCATATCTTTATGTCTTTAATTTCTTGTCTGATTGCATTTCCAAAACTGTATCAAATAATATGAGGGATAGTGGGCATCCTTGCTTCCTTCCTGTTATTTATCGAGAAAGATTCTAGTAAATCCTCATTGCATATGATGCTTACTTTTAAATATGTATTATTTATATTCACAAAGTCTCCCTAAGCCTATACTTCATAGAGCTTTTAGCATAAAATACTACTGTGCTTGTTCAAAGGTTTTATATGCATCTATTGAGATGACTATGGTTGGGATGTTCTGGTTTTTAATACGATTATGTTGATTGTTTTCCTAATGCTGAATCATCCTTGCCTTCCTGGTATAAATCCCACTTGGTCATAATCGATGATTTCTTGAATGAAATCACTAGTCTCTTTGACAGGATTTTATTTAAATTTTTGAGTCAATATTCATTAATGATATTCATCTAAAGTTTTGTTTTCTCTTTCCTTGGGTTATAGGTATTAGTAGGATTATATTTATTTCATGAAATAATTCTGGTAGGATGCTTTCTTAATTTTTGAGAATAATTTGTGAAGTATGGATACTGTTTTTTATGGATTTTCTGCTCTCTTCTATTAAATCAGATTAGTTATGGGTTTATCAATTTTATTAGTCTTATCACTTCCACGGGTTTTTTGTTTCCAATTTATTTCCTTTTTACATATCCTCTTTTGTTCTTAAGTTCACTTAGTTGTTGGCTTTCTTTTTTTCCTATTTCCTATTTGTAAGGCTGTTCCCTGAGAACTGCTTTAACTGCATCCCAGAAATTTTTATGTGTTTTACCATCATCATCTTATTTTACATAGTTATCATTTTTATAATTTGTTCTTTGACCCACTCATTAAGATTTCACTGTTAAGTCTTTTTATTTGTGATCCCAGAAAGTTATTTTTATCATGTTGTAGTCTGTAAAGGATATACATGTTCAACTATTTCTGCCTTTTTACATTGGTTTACAACATCTCTGTGCCCTAGTACATGGTCAATTTTTGCAAAAGTTCTATGCAGTTCTCAGAAATGTGAATTTTCTTTTACTGTCCTACTTAGAACATAAATCCTTTAACTCTAGGGGTTTTTTTCAGTTCCATATTTTCCTTTTCGTTTATCTTTGTAAGGACATATCTAAAACTGAGAGAGGAATATTGACATCTATCACAAGGGTGTTACTATGTCTTCTTGTAGCTCAGATGTTTTCCTTTAAGAATTTGGATGTGGAGGCATTTGGAACATAAAAGTTTATTACTGATATTGGGTTTTTTTTTGTCAATGGCCTCTTTTCAACATAATATAGCTATCCTGTTTACCTCTTTTATTTTGCTAAATATTTCCCAATTATATTTTAATCTGGTTAGGGCCACATGTTTGACACCTCTACCTGCATCAGTAACCTAGGTTCTCACCCCTGGTTGGTATTCTTTTTGTCCTGCTGGTGTACTTACCCCTTGAGATGGAGTGAAGGACAGAGCGTGCAATTCTATATGCTGGAAGTCTGTGATGACTTCATAATATAAATATATTGTTACATAGATAGATAGATATGTTCCCAAAAATGAAAATCTAACCAAGCTAGTTGAATAGTAAGATAACATAATAGAAAGAATACTAAATTTAGAGTCAGAAGACCTAGTTTCAAATCCTGACTCTAGCTAAGTCACTTTGGGAGGTTACTAGTCTCACTGGGCCTCAGCTGCCACATCCATCCAATGAGAATGGGGCATGAGAGGATCTCTAAGGACCCTTACAAATGCATGATACTTTGACTCTCGCACCATGGTGGAGAGCCCCATACTTTACCCACAGCTACAAAGCTAGCAAGAGAACCCCAAGCTGAGTTCTTCAGATTCCCTCTCCACGTGCTCTGTTTGTTATGCCATATTCCTTAATTTTTTTTTAGTGGAAAAGGGGTTTCACGATTTGGGAGTTGAAATATAGAACCCCAGTTTGAGTACACACACTATGAAATACTTCTTTCCATTTAATGTTGTTGACTTATAATTAGTGAAGAGGAAAGAACAGTACATTTGTGTTGCTGGACTTCTCTGACCCACAGGAAGCTGTAAGATGAAAGTGTTGGATTGGATGACCTCTTCTAGCTCCAGATCTATGATTCTGTGTGTCAGAGGTAGGGCTGGAACCTAGATCTTGCCACAATGGCAAGGGCAGCTATGAAATCAGTCGAAAAATATATGACCCTGGAGTCATGCCTATCACCTATGTGACCTTAGGCAAGTCACCTAACTTCTCTATGCCTCAGTTCCTCATCTGTAAAATAAGGAGGTTGGACTAAAGGATCTATTTAAAAAGAATGGCTTTAACTTTCAATCTTGGCCCCTGAAATGGAAATAACTATAGTTTCTTTTGTCTCTTTTTCAATTGAATTAAACCTCGCTGCTGCTAATTTCATTACTAATTGGCATAAGGTTTTTTTTATATATTGGGATAAGTAGGTCTTTTGATTGACTAGAAAAATCTGTTTCACTGACTGTTAATAATGCTCTATACTAGGGGACAGGAAGAGAGACATGATATAGTGAACTTAAAAAACTAGTTCTTGCAGAAAATGCTATCCACACCCAAAGAAAGAACTATGGCGTTTGGATGCAGATGAAAGCATACTATTTGTTCTTTTTTTTTCCTTCTATTTTGTTTTGTTTCCTCTTTCTTGTGGTTCCTTCTATTGATTCTAATTCTACCTTACAACATGACTTATGTAAAAGTACGTTTAATAGAAATGTATATGTATAGCCTATATCAGATTGCACGCCATCTTGGGGAGGGAAGGGAAAAAAAATGTAAAACTCAAAAGCTTATGGAAATGATTGTTGATAAATGAAAATAAATTAATAAAAGCTAATTAAAAAACCTAGTTCTTAGTCTGCCACTAATTAGCTATGTGACCTTGGACAAGTCACTTCTCTAAGCCTTAGTTTCTTCATCTTTAAAACCAGGGGATTCAACTCCACAGTCCCTCCTAGCTTTAACCTGCTCTCACCATGTAATGTAAATGCTGTCTTGTAGTCAAAATACGATATAATATCAAGTGTCTAATGATGTCATTAAGTGGCACAATGATACAGTACAGAGTACTGGCTCTGGAGCAAAAAGACCTGGGTTCAAATCATGTTTGCGATAGACACCCCCCCCCACATGACCTAAAGTCATTTAGTCTCCCTGAGACTCAATTTCCTCATTTAAAAAATGAAGATATGGATTAGATGGCCTCTAGGGTCCCTTCCAACTCCAATGACCTCTCCAAAGACATAATTTAACCTATTATATAAAGTCATTATCTCACAATCGGTTGCATTCCAAAAGCTCCTTTGTAAGTTGGTTATCTGGCATTTTCATTTCAGTTTCAAGTTGGTTAGGGCTTTTCAGCTTCAGTTTTCCCAACGGTAAAATAAAGATCAAATAAGATCACCTATGTCAAGTGTTTTGCAAATTTGAAAGCACTACAGGAATACCAGCTGTTCTGAGAGATCAGAGGAATAAACACCACAGAGGAGGAATTACATACAGCATGTCCCAGAAGTCTTGATGCAGCTGCACCAAGAGTACTGGGAAACACCATCCACACACACAACAGACGTGTGGTACAGCAGGAAGAATGATGACTTGGGAATTGGAGGACCTAGCTTCAAATCCCACCTGTGTGACCTTGAGTGTGACTTTATACCTCCCTAAGTCTCCATTTTCTAATCAGTAAATGAGGGGGGTTGGATTAGATGGCATCCCAGTCTAGATCTGGCTCTGGAAATGCTGAGGTGGCAGAATGAGTGGCTTGGTCCATCTCTATGACCCTTGTGGGGGTGGGAGAAAGAATGGACCAGTCCCAGAATCAATCCCACACTGGAAGATAATGTGCTCTGATTTTTTTGTAGATACCGAGATTATCGAGACCCTCCTCACTCGCTGGTCCCCTATGGCTACACACTGCAGTTCTGGCACGTTCTGGCTGCACGTCTGGCTTTTATTATCGTATTTGAGGTCAGTTTCTGTAACTTATTCCCTTATTTCCTTTGAAGTTTTAACTCATTTGGAACCTGGAAGGATTCTTAATCAATGCAAGAACAAAAGGGAGCTTTGGGACATGACCATTTTACTGGTCAGTGGTCTAATTAGTGATCTAAAGTGTTTCCCTTCCTCCTTCATTTACATGCCCTCTAAATCTAGAAAACCTTTATTGTTAACCAGTAAGTCAGATCATTAATTTAACACCCTAGAAACAAGTGGCAGTTTGTGTCCGGGATTTCCATATTTAAGGCTTCAGACCTATACCAATTCACAGGTAAATATGTATCCTTTGACTGGAGCTGCTGAGAAAGATTATCTACCTAGCAATTTTCTATTGGGGAAGAACAATTATCTGCTGTTAGGGTTGAGGAGAAAGGCAATCATTTCTAGCAAGAAGGTATCTATCAAGAAAGGCAGTCAGTGATTGTCAGTCCACTGATCTAAGCCGTTAGTGCCCATTCACTTAAAGAAAATGAAACTGAGCACAACTCTTAACCAAAGAGGTGGCACAACAAACAGGACACAACAGGATAGATTATCACTATTTGAACAGACCATGTCATGCATGAATACAAGCTAATGGCCCCTGGTTTCACAGGGCAGTTGGCTCTGATGGTATAGTTTGCCCAAGGAATTGTTGTTCAAAAACTATGACTCTCCATAGAACACGCCTATAAAAAACAAGTTGATTGACAGCAGTATATGCTGGAAATCCTCAGTATAGAAGGGACAGAGCAATTTATGACAATGAAAAGTCCATATGTACCTATACATTGCCAAGAGTTTGCATTCATAGATTCTATCATAGGGCATCTAGGTGGTACAGTGCATAAAGTACAAGGCCAGGAGTTAGGAAGACTCATTTTCCTGAGTTCAAAAAGGTTCACAAAGAGTCAGACGTGACTGAACTGAACAGGATTGAGTAAACTTTGGCTCTGAGGCAGCGGTTACTTACTGCAGTGACAGGCCTGGAGTCAAGACCTCAGTTCAAATCTGGCGTCACATTCTTACTAGGTGGGTGACTCTGGGCAAAGCACTGACCTCTGTTTGCCTCAGTGTCTTTAGTAATAAAGTAGAGGTAATAAAACCGCCTCTCTCACTGGGCTGTTGGGAGGATCAAATGGATAATATTTGTAAAGCGGCAGCCAGCCCGCCACCTAGCAGAAACTTAATGAATGTGTGTGCCCTCCCCCTCCCTTTGGTACACTCGTGGCTGCTCAGTCACGTTCCACTCTCCATGACCTCATCTGGGGTCTTCTCGGCAGAGATGCTGGAGGGCTTTGCCATCTCCCTCTCCAGCTCATTTTACAGATGAGGAAACTGAAACAAACAAGGTTAAGTGACTTGCCCAGGGTCATATGGCCATTGTGCCCGAGTCTTCCTGACTCCAGGCTGGATGCTCCATCTCCCACCGTGCCACCCAGCTGCCCTTTTGTATTTTAAGGGCCACTGACAGAACAAAAAAAAAATAATGTTTTGAGAGAAAGAATTATATAAACTATTCCATTAATTAGCCTCCCCCTTCCAAACGTTTGTGTGAACATTTATTGTCTGTGTATACACATGCATATGAGACATACAAAGAAGCAAACATTATAATTGACTCACTCACATACAGAAGTGCTTTTATAAGTTTGAAAAGCATCTTACGATATTCATCTGAGCTGCACAACAACCCTGTGAAAGAAGAAAAAAGATACATACCCCGACAAGCAGAAGATTCAGAGAAACAGATTTTTTTGGTAAAGGAGCAGCGCCATCTTGTGGCATTTCAGATTTTGCCAAAGACAGTGGTAAAGATTTTCAAAGGCATGTTAAATTTTTACAACCATAGATGAGGATCTTGACCCTAAGGGGCTGTCTTGTGGGCCAGACATTCAGCCTTGTCATACGCAATAGTAACAATAAGCATTCTTTAACAGGGGCAGCTAGGTGGCGCCATAGTGCGTAGAGCACCAGACTCATCTTGCTGAATTCAAATCTAGCCTCAGACCCCTACTAGCTGTGTAATCCTGGGCAAGTCCCTTCACCCTGTTTGCCTCAGTTTCCTCATCTGTAAAATGAGCTGGACAAGGAAATGGCAAACCACTCCAGTCTGTACCAAGACAACTCGAAATGAGGTCACAACTACAACTGAAAAACAAACAATATCCTCTCTCTCTTTGGCTGGGAACAGCCCATCTTCTCTTCCTCTATTACAGTTCCTTGATGTCATCCTTTACTCTTCTTCAGGGTTTCAGTCAGTTAACAAGCATTTATTAAGCACTTACTGTATAAGCCAGCCATGATGCTCAGCATTGTAGACTGGTTCCCGCACACAAGGAGTTCACGTTTGAATGGGGGAAAAAACACACCAACTTTGTTCCTTTAAGATAAACTCAATATAAATAGAAGGTTCAGGAAAGGCACTGAGGTATAATATACATTTCAATGGAAATAGCCCCGGATTGGGAATCAAAAACCTGGTTTCAAATTTGGGCTGTGCTGCTTACTCTGTGACCTCTGGCCAAAGTATCGTCATCTGTGAAATGAGCCAGCTGGACTCCAAGACTTCAAAGGTCGCTTCTGAACTTCTGTCCTTCCAGGATCCCATGTAAATTACAAAACAAGTTTTCCATTCTTTTCTCAACTCCACTTCTCCTGCCTGGCCACCCTCCTGGACCCCACCACCAGGGTGGGTCACTACTGGACTCCAAAATTTAGCACTGCAATATCTGTCTCCTTTGGCCTCAACTCTGTGACTTCCCAGGCCACATCTGACCAAGTAAGCTAAAGGAAAAGAAAGGGAAAAAAGACACCTGTAGCCTGTTGGCCTCTCCCAGGTAACAAGCTAATTTTTGTGGTGGCCTCCTGGAGACAATACCTCCACCCAAAGCAATGGCTTAAATTTCAAGTTTGGCAAAAGAAAAACAGCACCAAAAAAGTTAATAGGAGAGTCACTTTTGGCCAGACAGGCTTTGCACAGCTGCCAAAGTAGCTGACTAGGATCATACAATTATAGATTTAGTGCAGCCAAACTGGTTACCCACTCAGAGGCTCCTTAATCAACCCCCTCATTTTACATATGTGGAAACTGAGTGGGGCAGCTAGCTGGCACAGTGGATAGAGCACCGGCCCTGGATTCAGGAGGACCTGAGTTGAAATCTGGCCTCAGATACATAACACTTACTAGAGCTGTGTGACCCTGGGCAAGTCACTTAACCCCATTGCCTAAAATAACAAAAAAAAAAAGTGTCAGAAACTGAGGCCCAGGGAGGTTCAGTGACAGGTAGCAAGTGTCAGGCAGGATTTGAACCCAGGTCCTCTGAGGCCAGAGCTGATCCCTACTGCTGCCTCAGGTCTGTCCAGACTAAATCAGAATTGCTGGGATAGTACCAATGCCATTCTCCCCTATCAATGCCCCTCTAGAAATAAGTGAAAGAACACAGCCTAGAACTGAATCCATTTTGTCTTCTTGTGTTCTAGCATCTTGTATTCTGCATTAAGCATCTGATCTCCTACCTGATCCCAGACCTTCCAAAAGATTTAAGAGATCGAATGAGGAGAGAAAAGTACCTAATTCAGGAGATGATGTATGAGGCTGAACTGGAGCGACTCCAGAAGGAACGCAAAGAGAGGAAGAAAAATGGGAAAGCTCATCATAATGAGTGGCCTTGACTGGGTAAGTGAGAAGACACAGGGTCCTCATGCTGTGACTGTGATGAATTACCTAGAGCAGGAGAGAGAGAGAGACGATGGTGGAAAGGTTGTATGGAACAGCCTGTGGTTTTCACGACCAGCCCTCCCTGCAAAGAGCCCCAAACACTCTGAGGCAGGGAAAGGCCGCCTGCAGCCTCTACTGGAGACAACGTGAAGGGCCACTGTTCTTTCTTATCGTTAAATTAACCTCCTCTCTCAAGGAGGAAGCATGGAGTGCTGAGGCCCTTTTCCATCTCAAGCTGAATCTGGGGATCTCAGATGAGTTGGGAGTCTGGTAGAGGCCCATTTCTGACACCTCAGAGCCATTTCCATTTTCTCGCTTCCAGGGATTTCAGGGAAGTGACTGGCTAGAAGGGAGAGCCTGCATAGGACCAGCAGACTTGTGTCTTCTCTCTCCCTCAGATACAAAACTCTATTAACTTGCAGGCACTAGGGTCCTAGAAGAAAAAAACACACCCACCTTCCTTTGGCTGCAATGGGCTTCACCAGAATTTTGGAACAACAGAAAAACCAGCACTAAGACTGATTTCTGTCTGTGCCCAAGATCCAAGCTTTGCTCCAGCAACAGTTCTTTTCCCCATCTAAACACAAAATGCTCTGAGTGCCCAAGACTTAAAAATCTCATCTTAACCTTCTGTATGATCCAGCTCCTGTCCCCCCTCTTCATAACTACCGACTGCTCCTCGATCCCTTTTTTGCACAAGGGATTCTGTCCCCAGCACTCTATTAAAACTTCCCAGAGATTACCAGGGACCTTCTAATCGTCAAATCCAATCATCCTTTTCCTTTCAAATCTTCATCTTCCTTGTGCTCTCTCTTGCTACCTTCTCTTCCCCTGGCTTCAGACACTACAGACAAGCATCAAATTCATCTCCCTCCTTGTTCGGATGAGGATACTGAGGAACACAGATGATGAGAGGTGAGCAAAGGAGGAAGAGAAAAAGATGAGCCCAAAGTTGTAAAAATGGAAGATCTGGGGGATGTCAGGAAGAGCAGCGGGTGTTTTGGGAAAGGCAATAAGCTTCACTTTGGACACACTGACTCTGAAGTACTGGCAGGACATCCTCTCTCTTAAATGCTCACCATGCAGATACCTCCCAAGGGTCTCTCCCTTGTCCTCATCTCTTCTCTCTCCACATTCTCCTTTTAGCAATGGCATTCATTTTCACAGCTTGAAATGATCCGATACCTAGTCCAAAACTCTGTTCTGTACACACACCACAAGTCTCCAGATTCTTCCACGTTCTCACTCCTCTTTTGCCTCATCATGCACAACCTCCATTCATTCCCTTGGCCCGTCCTTACTTTCAGGATTCGGCTTGATTAGCCTGCATATTCATGGTTGATTCTCTCCGCTAACACATCAGCACAGAGTGGTGCAGACAGCACTGGCCTTAAGACTCAGGCAGACCAGAGTCTGAATCTTGCCGTGTATACTTACTAGCTGTGTGTATTGCCTCTCTGTACCTCAGCTTCCTCATCTATAAAACAGAGGGTTGGCCCTGATGACCTCTCAGGTCCCTTCAATCCTGAGCTTCAGAGCTCTACCCTGACCTGGCTACAGGAAGACACTTCCACCAAGATGTCCAGCAGGGAGCTTATTACCTTTCTCTCAGTCTTCTACGTTTACATCTCTGGGTTCATTCTCTCCCCAACACCTTTGTTATCAGTTCCCTCTTTTCCATTTCTCAATGCCACACAATGACCTGGTTTTCCACATTCACTCTTTCAATCCATCCTTCCTATCACTGCCCAAGAATCTTTCCTTAGGTCTAGTTACAACATTCCTCTGGCATTCAAGGCTTTCTCTCCATAACTTGATTCCAGTCAACTTTCCCTGCCTTATTTCTTATTACTCTACACCAGGAACTTTATGCTCCAGACAAACTGGGTGCACACTGTACTCCCTCAGCTCTTTTTTCAGGGTCTTCCCATTGCCCCATCTTCATCTGATGAACCCCTCCTACTTCTTTAATACACACTTCCTTCATGCAATGTTCCCAACTTTCCCCTGGACTTATCGCTTAATATTTAGCTCTATGTGCTGGTGTCTCCCTACTAGACTATAAGCTCTCTGAAGGCAAAGTATCCTACGAAAGGTTCTCTCTCACCCAGCGCTCTGTTTACAAGAGACATCCAATAAATGCTCCCTGCCACAGCAGCCAGGCCCTCTGTTCTCTCCTGGGAAGCCGTGGCCACCACAAGCCTGATCTGAAGACACAGCCCTTCTTGGTGCTGCTCTGCCTCAACTCTCCACACTTGGCAGGACTTTCTTCAAACTCCCTTCTGCCTCAGCTGGACCCCCTGCAAAACAGGCAGGAATAGGTATTTCCCTCCTCCTGTTTCAGTTTTAGTTTACAGATTATTTAAGTGTCACAGATGAATAGTCACTACAAACTCCTGCGCTTTTAATATACAGTATATGCAAGTGATTTTAATTCCCTGTTTTCTTTCCCCTTCCTCCCTCCCACCCAGGTAACTAACTGTTCATTTGAATGCAAAGGATCTGTCTTCTGTTTACTTATTCCAACTGTGGAAGAGCTCTACCTTTAAGAGAATAAAAAAAAATGCAACTTCAGTGCACGTCACAGACATTTTCAGTAGCAAGTTGGCTGGCACACCGCAGAGGATTTACTGTGAAATCATTTTGCGATCCAGCATATGACTGCTATCCATAGACCATTTTCTTGACAAAGCAAGCATGTACTCCATGGGCAGTTATATATGTGAATTTAAAAAAAAAATCAAGGGAAAATTGTATACATGGACTGTTTTCCAGTCTGTTTCCTACCTTTTTTGAAATATGTCCCGTGTGAATTTTACAGACTAACCAAAAAAAGTATATAAAAATCTGGATACTTAGGCATAACATTCCTAGCATTGTCCTACATCTATGGCACCAAACACAACCAAGACCCTGTTTACAAATTTAATCTTGTTTTTTTTTTCTAAAACTTTCAGCTCTTTCTGAGGAGTGATTACATGACATCTCTACAGCCATCAGTGTATGGCCAGGGATGTATGTGTGTATGTACATATGTATAGTCACCTATCCCTACATATGTACATACAATTACAGTTCTACATTATAAATATATATAAAGTACATAGAGAGAAATTCCTTATTTGTAAATAGCCAAAAGGTACAAAGAATGTTGAATTTTCACATTCAAATAGTCCTCCACATAAAGCCATGTTTAATGCTTCAATAATGTGATGCAATAAAATTTAAAAGAAATTATGCACAAGAAACATTTGCTGTTCAGTGTTTGAAATTTCACTTGGCTTTCATTTTTTAATAATCTTTTTTTTTATTTGCTAAGAATCAAAGGAAACTTTGGAGTGACATCCATTTCTGCTACAGTATTCCTTGGTGGTAAAATGGAGTAAGTCCTGGATTTAGAGTCAGAGAAGCTAAGTTCAAATCTCACCTCTGACCCTATCTGGGTAACCTTCTTGAGTCACTTAGATCTAAGTAGGCCTTAGAGTTTTCACCAACAAAGTGCAGAAGTTGGCCTAGATAACCTCCAAGGTTTTTCTAGATCTAAATCTTTAATCTGGGTGAGCATTTTCTATGCACAGAGTTTAAAATGTTTCCTGCCTTTCCCCACTCTTTATTCTTCCTCCAAGTTCTAGAGGCCTGCTGTGAGCATACTAGAATTCAGTTGGGTTGTTCATCACTCAGAAAAACTTTAAAAATGCTACAAGGACAATTTTCTGGGAAAATTCCCCGAATAACTAATGGAATTACAAGGCTTGAGAATCATTCATGGCACTAATATAAAAATTACTCTAAATAACAGCAAACACTGGGGGTTCTGTTCTGAGAAACAGTACGTCCATCCAAGAAATGGCTGTTTCTAAGCAACAGCTGCCTCTGTCTTCCCTGCTGTTTTAGAGATGCAAGTCTTGCTTACAAGTTTTTTCTCTCTTGCTCTCCAGAACCCAAAATGAAAGATATTCCCTTTATCATCATTCTGTTTTTTCTCTGAGCTAAAGTGAGACCTACTGTCTTCCAAATGGGGGCGATTACTGAGACTGACAAACCAGAAAGCAGGGATGACAGACCTAAGCTTCAACTCTCTCACAAGCACTTCTCTTACCTACTTCCTGTGGCCTTGTATCCATGGCGATGACAGATGCAAGCAACACCAAGTTAAGGAAACTTCTCCAGGATCTCTGCAAAAATTGGAAAGACCAGGCTGCCAACAGCCTTCTTTCACAAGTGCCTGCCCTACAGTAACTCTTCATAAATGCTTGTTGATTTCAGATAATTATGCAATTTCTTCAGATCTGATCTCCAGCTGGAAAAGCTCCATGGCTCTATGATCATTAAGCTCCCAATGTAGGATCCACCACAGAGAAGACCGCTTTTCCTCCATCTCTGAAATTCTGGCTTTACTTGGAGACCACACGGTTGGCACAATTATGCTTATGTGGTATAGAATAGCATCTCCCTTCTCCATTCAAGTATCCAGAGAGAATAGTGTCCACTCAAGGAACCCATAGTAATAGGTAGGACTAGTAATCAAAGGAAACTGTAGGAAGAAAAAAAAAATTTTAAGCAGGAGGAATAGGTGAGCATGACACCTTGGGCTTGGAGGAATTTTGACAATCATGAAATCCCAGGTCTAGACTCAAGACAATACAGTGTGGACCACACACAGATAGAAGTCTCTGGTTCAAGTCAGCCTCCATGTATAACCTCTCAAGTGTCCTAGGTAACTCTTAAGAGAGAGGAGGAATATTTGAGGTTTTGTCTTCAGATGACACTGAAGAATTACAGAAACTCTGACACCCTTCCTTGACTTGTCAAAATAGGCATGTGGACAATGAAACATGTAAAGTCACAAAGAACAGAGCTGGGGAAAGCTACCCTCTCCCCTAGAGAACAGTGCTTGAAGATCATGGGATAACGGGACTAGGGCTGGAAGAGACTTAAGAGGTCATCTAGCCCAACCTCCTTATTTACAGCTGAGAAAACTGTGACCCAGAGAGGTTTCAGTGACTTGTCCAAAGCCACAAAGGGAACAAGGTTAGAACTGAAACCCAGTTCTCTGATTCCAAATCCAGCCATCTTTCTTTCCAATGAATTGGGATCAACTTTCATTCTGTGTCTATCATGATCAAATTTATAGGAGGGAGAGCGTCTACCCAAGAAAGTCCTCATATCAAAGCAGCCCTCATGTGGGGGCCATAAATGACTAGGATCTTACACACATCTTTGAGACTAATAGGTGTCTACTGAAAAGTTTCTGTTTTGTTCTTTTAAATAAGTGTTTCCAACGGGAGGAATCTAAGTATACTAGAACAGGGGGGAGTGGATTATTAGCTAAAAGAAGTAAGAAAAAAATCCCTGAAGTTTGTTCAAGCTATTTATGTCCTAACACTTCTGACACCAAGGTTATATTCTGCAGTAAAAAAAAAAAATCTACTGATTTTAATTTGAGACCATGTGGCATAAGTGAAAAGTCTTGGAATGAAAAAATGGGGTCAGAGCTTATCTCTGACAGTGACTAAATGTATCACACTTGGTAGAACAACTCATTTTTCTGAGGCCATTTCTGCATTGGTTAAAAGGAGATTATGACTCCCTCAGAAGTTGTCAGAAAGGTCAAAAGAAAAATGTGCCAAGTGCTTCATAAACCTTCAGGTGTTTTATTATTATGTTATTGTTCTTGAAGTACATATACTCACTGCGGTTATTCAAAGCCTCCACTTTTCACAGGAAGTAAACCTGACAAAATCTTCTTATCTTTCAATATCCTATAATCAATTCTCTACTTTCGGGTAAAAAAACACAGCAATTTATTGACAGAAGATTCCTCCACAGTGATTGTCATGCTCAGAAGTGGAACACTAAGGCCTACAGGGCTAATCCCATGCTGTTAGGATTTACTGAGTCACACAATTCACAAGAGCCAGCCAAGGCCAGCAAAGAGCTCATCAAGCCTGGGAGCAGCTCTTTGGTCATGAGGCAAATAAGGTGTTTGCCTACAGGAGTCTGATGGCAGCAAGGAAGAACAAGCCATGAGACATGGCAAGCCTGGAGTCCTGATCCTGGGGAAATCAGATGGATCTAAAACTAACAAAGTTAGTAATAGGCAGAGTAATATGCAGAGCTGAGAAAATTTGTGGCCTGAAAGACGATGGTATTCAGAGAGTCTTTTGGACTGGCTCTAAGCACGGCTTCCACATCCCTCTCTAGGCCTTAGTCAGGATCCCAGTGGAAGCAGGCCTAGGCACCAACACTACATAGATTCATTTTCAGTAGCTGGCAAAAATCTCAACTGCCTTTTCTCAGCTAAGCAAGCATGACACCCTGGTCTTGGTGGAATTTTATTTTTACATACATGAAATACCAGTTCCAGAATAAATATATAGACAGTCAGGACTGTATATATACACACATACATACACAAACATATATACATATACATATATACACATGCGTACATATACACATACATATATACGTGTGTACATAACATATATACATGTGTGCTTGTATATACATATATAAACCTATATATACATATACACATACATATATGCAGGTGTGTATATATATGAAGTCTTAAGTTCAAGTCAGCCTTCATGTGATCCTCAAGTCACTATTGCTAGAGGGAGTTTCCTCACTGGGAGTTCCTCATACCAATAACATAATGGGTCCAATCTCCTCTTCCCAACTAAATACACACACATATATATGTATATGTGTGTGTGTGTGTGTATATATATATATATCTGTGTGTATATATACACACGGACACACACACAGAGAAAAAGACAAACATATACATGCACACACATATCTACACATACACCGTAAGATTCTATGGCACATTATTTATAATAGCTATATAACCTGTATAAACATATATACATGTACACATATATCAGAGGCAGTGTGGCACAGAGAGGAAGGCCCAGGTTGAAATCCTCCCTTTGATTTATGACCTGGGCAAGTCGTTTAATTTCTTGGTGGCCTAGGGCACTCTTTTATGACTCAAAGCCACAGAGAAGGTGCTGACCTACACTGGTGGAGAAGGTTCCTCGCTGGGAGAACCCTGGCCCTCTAGCCATAACACATAAAAGCAAGTATTCAAACACAAGAGTCTCTTTTTGGTCCATCCTGTGATTAACTTGGTGTACAGAGAATTCAGGGAAAGAAACCTTCTGACAATGCACATTGGCACGTTCTCCACAAACTTATACTCTTAGAAATGAGCATCAAGAGATGACATGATTTGCCCTGGGTCAGCACCAAATAAGGCGGGACTGGGACCCAGACTGTTCCAACTCTCAGGTGACTAGCATGCACTTCCCCACTTACACATAGATGACTTCCATCAACCAGTATGTGACACACAGATGTAATCACATATATATACTTAACATACTAAAAGTGGACCTCTGATGCCAACAGTGCATGTCACAGCTTACTAGCCATGCCTGGTCATCTGCTGTGAGGTCACCACATTTGGCAGGCTGTCTGTGCTTTCTCCTGACACATCACTATGTGTAGAGCCCTCAAGCTGCCCACCTGTCAGCTCCAGCCCTCCCCAAGCAACCAGCCCATAGCACAAAAGACTATGATACTGTAATAATATTAAGGCTTGACATACCAAAAATATAAAATAGGACACTAGGTGACAAAATAGTGGATACAAGAAAGCACAGCATTGGGTTAGCATCCTTAGTATTTGAAAATAAAATATGCAAAAACCAGACACTACAAAATGTTTGTGCCAAGCTAATTTCAAAAGATCTCTGAACATGAGAAAGTCATTTGAAGTCACAGGGTGGAAAATTCCCAGAACCAGTGATTTTAGGCAAGATGGATGAGGCATAAGGCTGTGCCTCTCACAGCCAAGACCAGATTTCTAATTAATCCACAGTCCAGTGTAGATCAGAATTGGGGAAAAATAAAATGTTGCATTAGTGAAGCTTCTCAAGATGGCTCATCAGCTTCTTCCACTGTGCTAATTTTGCGGTGCTGAAACTTCTACTCGGTTTACCTAAAAGAAAAAGAAAGTTAGCATAGTAACAAAAAGCATACATTCACATGGTTAACTACAGTAACATCTCACTAATGTAGGGGTCAGAATTCTAGCAATATCAACCACATTGAAGACCTGCATAAACCAGGAATCAATCAGGCTTTTGGAGGTTAGTAATAGTTGTCACAAAATCCAAACGCTAAGCTAACCTTTTATTTTACACCCTATTCTAACCAGTCTGATTTCCTAAACCACAGTTAAGTTAGAAGGAGGGGTAGGCTGCTAAGAGACAGATACACCAATAACAGTGATATGAGTCCAAAAGAAAGGAGATCAAGGAATAAAAAAAGCATACAATTTTAGGAGCCCTTTGGCATAGGGTAAGAGGCTTCTTCAAATAGCTCCTGAGGGGTCACTATATTATTATCATAGCACAGTTCAATAAATGACATTCAAAATTATGTCTCTGATTAATCAAAGTAAAACTATTCTTATATGACATTTCAACCTGCCAAAATCCTACCCATCCGTCAAGCCCTGGACCACATGCCCCTTCATCCATGAAACTTTCTCTTTCTCCATATCTCACTGACATGTTCTCCCCAAAATCATCATGTATATATCTCTATTATAACACTTATCTCTCTATCTACCTACCTTTGTATTTACCTCTATTATAACACATCTGTGTCAGTTATTTTATTATTACCACCATTAGATTGTAAGATTCTTAGAGGCTGGGACTATGTTTATTCCCACTGAGTGCTTTGTACCATGTCAGCACAGTGCCTAACACTCAGTTAATACTCATTCAATCAAAATAAACTGAACCTATGATTTTGGCCTTATTAGCATCATGCTTTAATTATGTGGGCTATCTGGCTCAGAACAAGGACATACACAAATCCAATTACTTTTTCATAGAGCTTTAAAGGTTTGCAAAGAACCTGGTACACAAAACCCCTGCAGAGTAGGTACAAGTATTATTATCGCCAATTTACAGAAAAAGAAACTGAGGTTCTAAAAGGATCCATGATTTGCCTTAAGTTACACCGCTCCAAATGACACAGTCAAGACACAAAACCTCCTCAACAGTTTCAAGATTTCTCTTGATTCTCAGTCCAGCTCCCTTTCCTGTAGGGAACACTGCCTGTAAAGAGCAGTTATTTTCTCTTGACAGAAGAGAATAAAGATAATCTAAGCACACAAGCATATTCCTTTAGCTCTTTTATCAGGGCTAAATCACAAGGCATTCACACAGCAAACAGGAAGTGTGGTCTCACAGAGGCCAGTTCTGGGGACAGACTAAATGGAAGCAGTCTCCTCCCTCTGAGAATTTACTGATATTCTAATGGTAGATTTTGTGCAATTAATAGACAAAAAGTACGTGTCAATATATAATGAAAGATGAACGCATAATGTACGAATTAGAGCGTTATTGGGTAAATCTGAAAAAATGCTCAAGTTTAATGTGTAGTTCTCTTTAATGATTATTCTCTACACAGAAGGCTAAGCCCATAAAAGAACATGAAATCCTAAGTGTGTGTGAAATTCAAGTGCATTATCTATGTATAACAAAGTCATGACAGACAGAAAAGCTCAGCAGGTTCAACTGACTTTATCAATGAACCAAGAAAAACTGAATTCCTATAAATCAGTTGATAACTATTTTTATGAAGCACCTGCTATGTATCAGGCACTGTGCTAGGTGCTGGAACTGCAAATACCAATTATAAATGAAACATTTCCCTACTCACAATGAGCTTTCATTCTAAGGATGGAGACAAATGTAGATAGATTAGATAGGGAGGGAAGGAGGAGAGAGAGGGAGAGATGGAGAGAGGAAAAGGGAGAGGAAGAGGGAGAGAGGGAGAGAGGGAGAGAGGGAGAGAGGGAGAGAGGGAGAGAGGAGAGAGAGAGAGAGAGAGAGAGAGAGAGAGAGAGAGAGAGAGAGAGAGAGAGAGAGAGAGAGAGAGAGAGAGAGAGAGAGAAGGGGGAGGGGCAGACAGCTAGCCAGGGAGAGATAATACACAAAGCAGTCAGATACAAGGTACAGCGGGAAGAAAAGGCAATGGTATTGGGAAGTAGGGGAATCAGGAAAGGCTTCATTCAGAAGATAATGCTTCCGCTGCATTTATAAGGAAAAGAGGGATGACAAGCAGAGAAGTACATTTTAGGGCTGGTTCAAAAGCACAAGTAGTAGATAGGAGGTAAATATATGAATGAAGAACAGAGGGAAAGCCAGTTTGGATGGGGTGCCAAAGTGCAGGAGAGGGAGTAATGTTCAATGAAGCCACGTTGTAAAAGGTGTTAAAAGCTAAACGGAGGAGCTCATATTTTATTCTAGAGTCGAGAGAGCCATAGAGTTTATTGAGGAGGAACATGGTCAGATCAATACATAAAGAAAATAACTTTAGCAGCAATAGGTTGGATGGACTAATAGACAGAGAACAGTGGAGGGAGATTCCAGCCACTAAGTGGCTGTTTTGATCACCTAGGAGAGAAGTCATTACATTCAGAGGGTCTCAACTAGCAGCTATGTGAGGAGGGAAAAAAGGTCAGATCCGAGAGATATGGTGATGTAGAAATGGCAAGACTTAGCAAAGGACAGGATAAGAGGGGGTAAAAAAAAAATACGCAAGGATGCTATGGAAATTATGAACCTAAGACACTGGAATGGGGGTAGTGCCTTTCACAAAAAGAGAACAGTTCGAAAGAAGGAAGGTTTTAAGGGTGAAGTGAATGAGTCCAATTTAGGACACGGTGAGGTAAAGATACCTTAGCTGCATCTTAGCGGAAATATCCAACAAGCATTTTGGTGATATGGGACTGAATCAAAACTGGGGCTGGATGCGTACGCCTGAGAGTCTTGTGCATAAAAAACATATTTGAGCCCAAGGGAGTGGTGGAGACACAAACCAAAAGGACAGAAAGAACAGAGAACCAGAGGAAGAGCTGGGGTTCAGGAGAGACAGAGTATGGAGTTAGAAGAAAAGAGGACCCAGGACAAAAACGTGGAGAATAGCCATTCAGATGGTACGGCGTGGATGATGAGCCAGCAAAGGAACCTGGAGAGTGGCCAGAAAGATAGAGGCCTAACCAGGAAAGAGTCACATCACAAAAACCGAAAGAGCAAAGAATATCCAGGAGAAGAGAGTGGTCAGCGGTCTCAAATGCAACAGAGAGAAGGAAGATGAGAAGTCAGGAAAGGCCATCAAATCGGGCTGTTAAGAGATCACTCTACAGCACCTCTTTTCATAGGGGAATAGAACTGGAAACCAAGTGGATGCCCAAAAATTGAGGAACAGCTGAACAAAATGTGGTATATATAAATGGAACAGATTATCAATTTGTAAGAAATGGATAGACCTAAAGAGACACTTTCAGAGAAACCTGGGAAGATTAATATGAACTGATGCAAAGAAAAGGGAACAGAACCAGGGAATGACACATACAATAACAACAACATTGTAAAGATAATTTTGAAACACCTGAGAACTCTGATCAATACAATAAACAGTACGATTTTTATGTAACTGATAATATAGCATGCAATCCATTTCCTGATAGAGATGATGGACTCCAGATACAGAAATAGACATTTTTCAATATGGCCAACATCAGAATTTGTTTTGTTTGAGTGTGTGTGTGTGTGTGTGTGTGTGTGTGTACACATATATATACATACATATATGTGTGTGTTGCAAGGGTTTTATTTTTCTTTTTTTATGGGGAGAAAAACTTAGGGAAAATAAATGCTGTTAAATGACAAAATAAAATTTAATTTAAAAAATATGAGATGAAGGAAAGTGAAGAGTTGAGTAATTTCTGCTAATCAATGTAGATTGTACAAGAAAACGGTAGAAATTGTGCAAGGCACCATTTAACATATATAAAAAAAACTTTGCAAGCTATGACCTGGTGGTTAGATTCACACACTAGAAGTTCATTGTCTTTCATAAATTAACAGACTATATCCTTGAGAATTCAAACAATAAACTATAATGAAATAAGACAATATCACAGAAAAATGCTGTCTACTGTCTTCCAGATATAACATTAACCCATAAAAACTTAAGCTCAATATTTTAGTAAATGTCACTGTAATGAATATACTCTCCAAACTTCGTGGAATGTAAAAGTTCTCAAAATATGGAGACATAAAAGAAATTAAAGGCATGTGGAAACAAGATGAAGCATATATTATATCCATAACCCTATCTGCTACTGGAGTTGTCCTGAAGAGGTTTTAAGAGAAGACATGAAAGACGAACTTACATCCCAATTCTTTTATTAAATTACAAAGAACAATCATTTTATCCCTCTATGCAATAATAATCTGCCAAATATCAAGCATAAAATAACAGTAGGACAATAAATTGTCCCATGACTATTTCTATCTGAATTCTACCAAATAAACAGATGAGAAGGAGAATAATAACAAGAGGAAAAGCTAAAGAAGAAAAATGGCAAGGGAAACTGAAACCTTAGAACAGGTGGTAGAAAATCTCACTCAAGAACTCAATGCCCTGAAAATAAGAATGGACCACACTAAAAACAAGGATTCAACAATATAATAAAAGTTGCAAAAAAACCCCAAAACGAAACAAAATGAAGAGAAGAAAACATCAAAAATATCAAAAACATATGAGCTGGAAAATAGATCAAGAAGAAATGAACCTAAAATTATTAGACTGGGGGCACCAAGGTGGAGCAGTGCATCCAACACCAGTCCTAGAGTCAGGAGGACCTGGGTTCAAATCCAGCCTCAGATACTTACAATACTAGCTGTGTGACCCTGGGAAAGTCACTTTAACCCTCACTGCTTCCAAAATTAAAAAAATTTTTTAAGATCATCAGACTTTCTGAAGATTATCATCAGAAAAAAAATCTGGTTACCTATATTTCAAGAAATTATAAATGAAAATTGCTTAAAACTTTTAGAACTAAAGGGCCAAGTGAAAACAGAATCTACAGGTGACCTTTAGAAAGAAACCCTAAAAGGCAAACTCCCAGAAATTTCAAAGCCAAAATCCAGAGCTTCCAAGTCAAAGAAAAAAATACTACAAGTAACTAAATACTACAAGTAACTAAAAAGAAAGAGTTCAAATATGGAAGAACCACAATAAAGATTACACAAAACTTAGCAGCTGGAATGAAAAAAGAGTAAAGCTTGGAATACGACTTCCAAAAGACAAGAAATAAAGGTTCAGAACCAAGGACAACCAGATAACCTATCCAACAAAATTAAGTAAAATCCTATAGGAGAAAAAATAGATTGTTAGTGACATAAAGTATTTGCAAGCATTCCTGACAAAAAGATCAGACAGTAAATATTTGAATATGGAAATATAGTGACAAGAAAAACACAGAAAGGTACAGAGTCTGTGGGGATAAAATTTTAACATGTTAATAGGGATGATAAGAAGCAAATGTCTTTTTAGAACCCTAATATCTTTAAGGGTCATAGAGAAGAGTTAAAATAATAGACAGTTTGGGAATGGTTTTCTTCTGTTTAAATGGTCTTAGGAAAGACAAAAGTCAGAGGGACAGGATATAATATTGGGGAGGAAAGTAGGAAGAAAGGGAAGGAAATCACTTCTGTACTAAGAAGTACAATAGATGAAGAATATGTAATATAGCTATGGAATAAGGAAGTTGGAGGAACAGGCATCATAAGAACCTCAATTTCATTTGAATCAGATGGAAAAAAAACCTGAAATGAACACAAACATACACCAACATACACACAGAAATATTAAGCTTAAATGATGACTTCTGGGTCACATGAACAAGACAGAGGGCAAAACATTTTCCCCAGTCCCCACGACCTCTCAAACCTCCCTGAAACAGAAATTATGCCCCAAAGAGAAACAACTTCAGCTGATTCCATCCATGATCTACGACATCAAGAATCCAAAAGATTGCCAAAAAAAAAAAAAAAGAACTGACACTCACTGAACATGAGCTCCTTCAGCACCCATCCCCTACCTCCCATGCTACTAACATCAAAGACACACTTGCAGATCTCAAGGGTACAACAAAGGCTTACATCAGAATTGACCTCTATATACCAGTGCTGCCTTCTTCTTCTCAGTGAGGAGATCCTAGTTCCACCTGTAGAAGTTTTCTCAGGCCTTAACAGCCAACTTGACCAAAGCCCTTCAGCAGTAAAAGCCTGCCAGATGCTGCAGTCCAGAAGCATTGATACCACAAAGCTCTGAACTGTCTGTCTTGGGAAAAAGCAGGCTCTGAACCACTGGTGTCAGGCATGGAACAGGTCAGCAGAACAGGGAATGGTGAATGGGAGGAGCTGTGCAGCATTCCACCAAGCCTGAAGGAAGAGCACAGCACCCAGGTGAGGCTAGTTCTGACCACCCAAAAGTCAGACGAAACAAAGACCTAAGATGGTGAACCATAAACTGGGAGTGAGGGAGGAAATCCAAGACCCAAGGAAAACCACAATCAGTGGGGAAGGAGTCAGAAATGAGTGACATGGAAAATAAGGTGAGAAGGGAGGAGGAAGACTGAAAGTACCAAAGGTTCCAGGAAGAAGAAATCTCAAAGACCTCGAATATAAACAGATAAATCAACAGGAAAAAACAGTAACAATAGAAGGAAATAGTCTCTAGATCTACTAAATAAGTTCATTATCTATAAATGAATAATGTAAAACAAAGGAAAGTGATCTAATACCTGATGAGACAAAGGTCCCTGTGGAAGTTGAAGAATACATGGAACCGCAACACAGTGTTCCTGAATGTTTAAAAAAGAGAAATAAGAATAATGAGAACAAAATTTATGGCCTGTACAGCAAAAATAATAAGCAGGAAGAAAAACTTGAATGTGCAATGGCAAACCTCACCAAAAAAACAAGAGAGGATAATTGATTGGGAATTTAAATACGCAAAAGTGAAAGACAACCTAGAAGAAGAGAAGGAGAAAACAAGAATATTATAGAAAATATGCTCACCATGCAAGCAAAATACACTGAACTCAAAGACAGGATGCACAGAGACAAGAGGTCTCCCAAAAGAACAGGACAGGACAAACAACCTTAACACCATAATGAAGGAAATAATAGACAAGAACCACCCAGAACTCCTGAACATGGAAAATGAAATTCCAATTGAAAGAATTCACAGAGCATCTCCAGAAAAAAACAAATGAAGGCTGCAAACTCCAAGGCATACAGTGGTTAAATTTAATTCAATTCAGAAACAATGACTTCTCCAAACCATCAGGAGACCTTCAAATACAAAGGAAAGACCATTCAAATAAGACTAATCTGCATCCACTAGATAAGAAAGGGGGGATGGAATAAATAATGTATGCCAAAGAGCAATGGAATGCAGAATGCAGCCCAGCATGACCTATTCTGAAAATGTGAGTCTAATCATTCAGGACAAAAGATGGGCATTCAATAATAAAGAAGAGTCTTTCTCCTTTCTCAAGATGGTGGACAAAAAACCCCCAAAGGAACCAAAGGAAAAAAAGGAGAAAAACAAGAAGGAAGATGTGGCTGAAAAGGTGGTGAAAAAGACCCAAAAGCACTGCAGTCAGAACCCAGTCCTGGCCTGAGGCATGCGTAGATACTCTAGGTCTGTAATGTATTCCAGGAGAGCCATGTACAAGTGGAAATATGCTGCACCAAAAACCCAGCTTGAAAGGAAAAAGAAAGAGAAGGTGCAAGCCACGTGGTGGTGATAAGAATGGAGGAACCCATATGGTAAAGATTCACAAGATGCCCAGGTATTACCCTACTGATGATATGCCTAGAAAGCTGCTAAGTCATGGCAAAAAGCCCTTCAGCCAGCATGTGAGGAGACTTCAAGCTAGCATCGCCCCGGGCACAGTTCTGATCATGCTCACTGGCCACCACATGGGCAAGAGAGTGGTTTTCCTGAAGCAGCTGGCTAGTGGCTTGCTACTGGTGACTGGACCTCTGACCATCAACCGTGTTCCTCTGAGAAGGACCCATCAGAAATGTATCACGGCCACCTCTACCAGGGTTAACCTTTCAGGTGTAAAAATTCCAAGTCATCTTACTGATGCTTACACTTCAAGAAGAAAAATGACAGAAACAATAACTGTATAAAAGAAAATGATAATGATGAAACAACACGCCAAATCTCTGGAGGTAGCTAAAATAGTCCTCAGGAATAATCGTATCCTTACAATCATACAATAACAAAATTGAAAGAGAGAAGATTAATGAGCTGAATACACATGTATTTTTTAAAATTTAAATTAGAAAATCAACAAATAAATACAAAATAGCTCTATCAAAAACTAGAGAGGGGAAATAAATATCCAAACTAACAGAAAACCAAATAAAAATCTTACATAACCCAATCTCAGATAAGGAAATAAGATCCAGCTATACTACCAAAGGAGAAAACCCCTGGACCTGATGGATTCACATGAGAATTCTATTAAATTTATATTAGTTAGTACCCATAAATTATTCTCAAAGACTGAGAAAGAAACCTATCAGAATCCCTTTATGAGACAAATGTAGTCCTGATATCTAAACCACAGAATGAAAATCATAGGCTAATATCACTAATGAATATGGACTCAAAAGTTCTAAATAGAATCCAAATAGATTACAGTGATTATCCAAGAAATTATTTATTGTGACCAAGTGCAATTCATGCCAGGGAGGCAAGGATACTTCAACATTAGGAAAATAATGAACATAATTAATTACATTAAAAAACAAAACATCCAAAACCACATAATCATCTCAACAAATATTAAAAAAAGCCTTTGACAAAGTACAACACCCTTCTATGCTAAAAATTCTACAAAGTACAGACACAGAAGGACCTTTTTAAAAATATACATGATAAAAAGCACATTTAAAACCCAAAAACAAGCATCATACACAACGGGGATACACTGGAACCTTTTCTGCTCCCTTTCACAGGAGTAAAGCAAGGATGCTCACTCTCCCTAATATTATTTGATACAGTTCTCGAAATACTAGTAATAGTAGTAAGATAAGAGAAAGGAATTAAAGGAATAAAGATAAGATGAGCTAAACTATCCCTGTTTGCTAATAATAAGATGGTTTACATGGAAAACCCAGGGGAATCAGCAAAGGTACTAACTGAGATGATAGCTTCAGCAAAGTTGAAGGCTACAAAATAAATCCTCAAAAATCAACAGTGTTTCCTACATAACAATAACAAAACACATGAAGCACTGACAGAAAAGGGAAACTTTATTCCGAATAACAAAACACACAAAATATCTGGAGATCAACCTTCCAAAGCACAAAAAAATAACTTGTACAGATTCAGTTATAAAGTATTCCTTAAAGAATTAAAGGATAACCTAAATAGCTAGAGGAATATTCAGTGCTCATGGCTAGGCCATGCCATTATTACATAAATGGCAATACTATCAAAATTAATGCTATACCTATCAAATTACCAAGAAAATATTTTACAGAGCTTGATCAAATAACAAAATTCATTTGGATAAACAAGGGAGATGATGAAAAGAAGTAAAGACAAAGGAGGAATGGCATTTTCAGACCTCAAAATATATCATGACGCAGCAGTCATCAAAACCATCTGGTATAGGTTAAAATATAGAGACAGATCAATGAAACAGACTCAAAACAGGAGATTCCAAAATGGTTTTTCCTATATATTTCAGTGGGCATCAAGACCACTTAGCCCAAGTTACTTCATATTGGAGTCCTATTATAATAAAATGACATTAAATTATAAGCAAACAATATAAAGTTTTAATAACTGCATTAAAAGAATAATAAAACAATCTTAAATGTTGGAGGGAAGGAGATAAATGAAAGATAGAAAAGAAAGAAATGGTGAACGCTTGGGATCAGGAGTGGAATGAGAAACAAGCTGCAACACAAAGGAAATACACTATACCGTGTATGTCTAAAAAGTGTGTACATGCGTACACACAAAGAACCTTTTCAAAAATTGGCCATGGATTGCACATAAAGATCTCAAAAAAAAAAAAAAGGAGAAAAGCAGAAATCGCAAACACATCATTCACTGATCATAATGCAATAAAAAATAATACCCAACATGTGAGAAATAACTCATTAGGAGGGATGAAAAAGCTATGTTTAATACACAGCTGCAACTGCGGGTGTCCTACTGAACAGAACATACTGGACCAAAGCAGGAGTTCACTATCTACAATTCCGGCTGCAAAGTCCCTCCTCTGTTTCCTCGTTGGCTGAGTACTCCAGAGTGTACAACTCTTCCTTATATCTATTACGCATCCACCCCTTGATATGTTACTTCTCCTTCTTCATACATACGGTGCCTTAGCCCCTCCTAGGGAGGACAAGTTAATATTCATAAGCCTATTAAGCATGTGCACTCTAAGCAAAGCTTAACCTTTGTCCTACTTACTAACTCTTAACAGCAAAAGAAGATAAGACCTGCTGTATCCTGTTTTACTTAGTTACTTTTCTACTTGTTTGCTCCAAATTTATGGATACAAACATTTTCGTTACATCTCTCAAATAAAAGGCCGTTAAAGAATTTAAAGGGAATTGGTGGCTAAATGACAATTTTAAAGAACTGATGCATCAAAGAATAAGCTGTATGTTATATGTGGGTGGGGCATGTCCATACTAAAATTTATAGAATGTACCTGAAGCAAAAGTACTAGAGCAATTCTGAGGTAAATTTTTTTTACCTCTAAACATTTAAACAATGAGTTTTTAACCTCTATACCTTTAAACATCAAGAAATAACAAATCAATGAAATGAGCATGACTTTTAAAAAACAAACAAGTCAAAACCTCCCAACTAATTCTGAATTAGAATAGAAATTCTGAAGCTAAATAGACATTCTGAAATTAATGAGATTAATAAAATTACAAGCAAAAAGACCATTAAACTGATAAATAAAATTGGAAGCTTTTAAAAAATTATTAAAATAGTTAGCTAACCTGATTTTTAAAGAGAAAACAAAATTATATCAAAAATGAAAAATGAGAACTTAATTGAATAAGGAATAAAGAAAACTAAAGATCATTTTGCCCAAACTGAAGTTTAAAAAATGAGGTTACCCAAATTGTGATAATTAACAACTTTGGTATACTAATAGGATACAAAATAAGCCCACAGAAACCATCCACCTTTCTGTACCATAGGTATAAGGCCTAGACCTGTGATTCCACTGACTTAGCCAACCTCCTCTCACCAATGTAGGTCAGTACCTTCTATGTAATTCACAGTGTTTAGAGAGATGAGTTAGAGCAGTGGTATCCAACTCAAACAGGGGTCACTAAACCATACGTAAGGATTTCTGAAGGCCACATACTGACATAGTATGAAATGTAATATTATCCACGTTCTGTTGTATTTTTATCCATTTTGTTAAATATTTCCCGATTACATTTTAATTGGGTTTAGGCCACCCCTGGGAGTGTTGTGGGGCACAATCAGCCTGTGCAGTGTGTTTGACACCTCTGGCCTAGAACACTGAGAAACTGACTTTCTCAGTGTTACAGTCAGTATGTGTCAGATGCATGACTTGAACTCAGGTCCTCCTGACTTTAAACTGGTTTTATATCCATTTTACCATACTACCTCTTTTATGAAACACACTAACAACAATAATGGGGGGGAAATGACAAAAATTCCATTTCAAATAACCACAAAATATGTACAAAATCTTAGCTTCCAAAAGACACACTCAGGACTCATATAAATAAAACTATAAAACATTTCATAGAAATAAATAAGATTAAATAACTGGAAAGATAGCCATTGTTTATGGTTGAGCCAAGTCAGTATTATAAAAATGATAGTATTAGCTAAATTAATTTACAAATTTAGTGCTATATCAAACTGCAAAAGTCAGGTCTTTTTAGAATGATGTATAACAGCACAATTCTCTTGAAGAAAATAAAGATCTAGCTTCTCAAGGAAAATAAACAGGAATAAAGGAGACATAGCTTCAGCAGAGTTCAACTATTACATAACATTAATGATCAAAACTGTTCAGAACTGATTAGAAAGAGAAAGTAGATCAGAAACACATATTAGATAAGCAAGAAAGAGCCAAAAGTGATCTAAGCAGTTCAGTGTTGAATAAGCCCAAGAACTTAAAGAACTAGAGGAAAGATTCTCTATTTTGGACAAAACTAGTAAGTAAACTAGAAGCATTTTGGCAGAAACTGTTTTCATGTTCTTGGCCCTAATTCTCCTCAAATCTAAAACTGGAAGGAGAGAAGAGATGAGTTGGATCAAGATGGCCTCTGAGAGTCCTTCCAGCTCTCAATGATCCCATGACCATACAACACAAGGAGCTTCAAATAATATATAAATAAAATGTAAGATAACATACTAAAAAACAAAGGAAAACAAAAAGTACCTTTTACAACTACATCTCAATGGAAATTTTTAAAAACAAACAAGAAAAAGTGACTGTAAATAATAAAATGCAATTTTGATTACATAAAATTTAAAACCTTTCGCATGAACAATATCAATGCAACCAGAAAATAAGAACTGATAGGAAAAGGTGTTTACATCAATTATCTCTCATAAAATTGGACAGGTCACAGTGATTTTTGTCCTAATATATATATTCCCCATACCAAAACACACTTGCAGCTGCTCCACAACTTCTAGTGTTAGAAAGAGCTGCCTAGGACACTGAGCAACACGTCCACGGGATGAGAGCAAGATATAAACCCAGTCATCCTAACTCTGAGGTCAGTTCTCTATCAACTACTAGATGTTGTCTCTTTCAATCACTAATAAATAATAAAAACAGAAATGAAAACAACTCTTGACTTGTGTTTCATCACAGTACCATCAAACTGGCAAAGATGATGCTTTGACATTGCAGCAGCTCTGCCTTTTCCTCAATGTGGCCACTTCCTCTAACAACACAGAATGCTCCCCATTCACATCTGTGCCCATTGTATTTCCTGGTAGGCAGTCGTGAACTTTTCTTAATGGAAATTATAAAATAAGTCCAAAACAGTTTACACTACAAATCTGTCACTACCTTCAAAGCAACTGTGATGCTTTCAGTATGTAAATTTCAATGTTGTTGAATTCCAAATGTAAATACTGTTCTTAATTTGATATTTTGTTAAACTGTTTTCATTTTTAATACAAAAATATAAAATATTCCACTTTAGGTACCATTTCTATTACACAAGTGCATAGGTCAATATGATAAACATACCAAAAAAAAAAAAAAAGGAATGTACATACTTTCTTAAAACTACCAAGTGTCATGTCTTCTTTAATGTTTAGCAAGTATTTTCTGTCTATGTGCTGCTCTTTTCCACCTATAAAACATAAAAACATAAGAACATTTTTAGTAATTTTGAGAAATGTATAGTTGTTACCCATAATACAGCACTCTAATTTCTAATTTATGGAGACAAAGCAGGGAAGGAAGGGAAGGTAACAACCATTTACATAAGGCCTACTACGTGCCAGGCAGTGTGCTAAGTTCTTTACAAATATTATCTCATTTGGTACTCACATCAACCCTGGGAGATAGGTGCTATTACTAACCCTCATTTTAGAGTTGAGGAAATGGAGGCAAATAGAAGTTAACCAATTTGTCCAGGATCATATAGCTATTAAGTATCTGACTCTGCATTTGAACTCAGGTCTTCCTGACTCCAGGCTTCTCAAAAAAACTGGTTAATTTCTTCCCCTCCTAAAGATCCTCTGGAAACCTCAGAATACAGGATATTCCAAAAGTCTTAGTGAAGTTTTGAGACTTGACACCTTAAATAACTGCACTCTGTATAGCTCACATCTAAGTTTCCACTGATATGGCTCCCATGGGAATCCTCTATGTCAGGGGTGGGGAACCCGTGGCCTCAAAGCCACATGTGGCCTTCTAGGTCCTCGGTGCGACCTTTTGACAGAGTTCAAGTTTTACAGAACAACTCCTTTTACTAAGAGGATTTGTTCTGTGAAGTTTGGATTCAGGTTCCCCACCCCTGCTCTAGGTAATAACATCCATCAGTTACTGGTCAGTCTTTATTTTGCCCCACAGAAAATGGAAACACAAAGGACTCACAATAGCCCATAACCAATCCTTAACATCCTTCTGGCTGTCCTGTGAATCTCAAAGCTTCTCTCAGGGTCTGATAGAGATCTTCCGGCTCATCATGCCACTTGGTGCTTGGACTGCCCTTGGAAAGGGAAAGAACTGGAGACTGCTAGAGACTCAAGTCCCTAACATTCTGGTGAGTCTCCACCTTCTTCAACCCAGAAATCCATGGGGGTCCGCAGTCTTGTACTCTTCTTATCTTCGCACTGCCTCCAGAAACAAGGCGATCCCTCTTCCCAACATCCGCATAATTCACAGCAGCAGCAGAGGCAGTGTTCTTCCCCCACAATGGCTCAAAACCTCACTGCTCCTCTAGTGGTAGAATACCACAGCTCCCTCTACTCCTGGTCCACCAACTCTATATGCCTCCAGCACCACAAAAGCTCAGGAACTCTCAACACTCAGCCCTAGGTCTAGAGTTCAGAAAATCCTTCCATTTGGCTACATGGTTCTCCTCTCCAAAGATTTTTGCACAGTTGGTTCTGAGAACTCCATATCCAGGAACACTGGATCCAAAAACTGACCTTTAGTCTGAGCAGGCAGTTGGGGAGTGTAACTCCATCATTGCCTGATGTCACTTGGCTGAAAGGCCCCAATCACTATTTCTGGGTACCATCTCTCAGGTCTTAAGAGTGAGAGCACACACTGGTGCAATGTGTCTCTGCCCCAAGGCTGCCCAAACTGGCTCCTTGGTGTGAGGCTGCACCCCCATCAGACAGTGGTGGTGGCTACTGTCCTTTGTTCTTGAAGAAGACCAAAATGACATCACTACGTTAGAGTCAAATTACAGTGTGCCCAACTATGGTTGATTAGATCAATATGAGCTTAGAATGTTCCACCATAGGTCGGGCACAAACAGTTCATGTGAACATTTGGGGTGGATTCTCTAAATTTTTGCATCTCGCATTTCCTTTGAACTGTTCCAATTCTACTTTGCGCACAGAGCACAGCACCTTCTCTGATAAGGGCACACCATGCTGGGCAGTCCCTGTGTCAGTGTTTCCCATGTCACACAATCAATTCCGAAGTTTTCAGAGAGACCTTGGAAGTGTCCCTATATCATTTCTTCTGACCACAATGTGAGCCATGTTCTTTGTGAGAGTACTCCATAAAACAGTCTTCTAGGCAAGCGTATGTTTGACATTTGAGCAACATGGCCTGCCCATCAGAGTTACTCTCTGCAGTAGAGTCTGAATGCTTGGCAGTTTAATTTGAAAAAGGACCTCAGTGTCTGGTAACTTATCCTACCAGGTGATCTTCAGAATCTTCCTAAGACAATTCAAATGGAAGTGATTGAATTTCCTGGCATGGTACTGGCAGATTGTCCATGTTTCACAGGCATACAACAATGAGCTCAGCACAACAGCTCTGTAGACCTTCAGTCTGATAGCCAGTCTAATACCTCTTCTCTCCCTCACTTTCCTTTGGAGCCTCCCAAACAATGAGCTAGCTCTGGCAATGTGTGTATCAACCTCTGGAAAGTATACTGTCAAGGCAAGCAAACATAAGCACAGCATTCAAAACTTCTCCATTTGCTATAACTGCTGGTTTCACTTACAGATGGTATAGTACTGGCTGGTAGAACACCTGTGTTTTCTTGGTATTAATTGTTAGGCCAAAATTAGCACAAGCAGCAGAGAACTGATCCACACTTTGTTGCATCTCAGCTTCAGAGGCTGCATTGAGTGCACAATCATCTGCGAACAAAGAATCATGCACCAACTCTCTCTCTACTTTAGTCTTGGGCTGCAGCCTTTTCAAGCTAAATAATTTACCATCAGACATATCTACTCTTAGGTCTCCGGTCTGCACTAAATCCTCTCAGTGGATATTTCCCAAAAATACCACTACAAGTCTGTTAGCTCTCTTTTATAGGTCCAGCACAAACATGTGCATAAACATTCACAACCAAATCATCCAGAAAGGCTGACTTATTCACTCATGTTTAACGAAACACTAATGGCTCAACAAGTCCCAGGGTCCTGGAGAGTTCCCCAGTCTTTTCACAAGGTTGTCAATAGGCCCCTTCCTATCTTCTACAAAAAGATAGGGCCAAAGTTTCCCACAAGGGCTCGCCTGATCCTTATCATCTCATCGTGATGCTAAGACTCCCTCTCATCTACCCCCCAACACCACAGATCTCCTCAATCCTCTCAACAAGCTGCCAACCTCTAAACCTTATCCTCGACAGGAAGATATAATAAAAGTCACAAATAAAGGGTCCTGGATCAAAGCCTTTCTCAGTAACTTGTGTATGCAATTCTAAATGCTATTACAGAAATATTACTGAAAATGACATTTAAGAAACAGGTACCTGTTAGAAGGCTGAAAACTGTTCCCACAAATACTGTTATTAATGTCCCCAAAGCACTGAGGTACAGGTAAGAAATGGAATATAGGTTATCCATTACAGAAGTTCTGGAAAAGAGACACAGAATACAGCAAAACAGCAAGGTTTACCTAAAATGCTAATCAACTAACAGCACTGAACCCCTATATTAGCAGTTTTGTTTTTCTGAGCTTACGGTATTGTATTTAGAGTTAACAGTGAAAGTAAATGAATGGTTATGTGACCAGCACAGTACAAATGTGAACTTTAGATATTTCTAATAGCTGGGAAGCTTAAAAATTTAACATGTCTGGTACAATCACACCAACTGTTCCATTTTTAACATATGTGCGTTATGTTCCGGCCAATAAACAGATTATGTCACTAGAATTACACCATAATTTATCAACCAGTCATTCTCAAGAAATCAGATAAGGTAAATCCCCAAGATTCCAAATCACTAGAGTGAAGTTCCCTGAAGATGCTATTACTTCTCTCTCCCACCAACCCATCTGCTGAAGAGCAGAACACACAGACTACTCATGGATGTCTAGGAAAATCCCTGACCAGCCTCTGGAATAATCTGGCCTAGTTTCAAATTCACATGTATTATAATCCGATCCACCCCCAATCAGATGAAGGTGCAGCCCAAGAAAGACCTACAATTTGGAATACAAAAATAAAGATCATCCAGATAGTTAAAAAGTTTAAAATAAGTTTAAAATGGAAAAACTTACCTATTTAAGTATTTTATGTAGAAGCACATTTCATCAGCTCCAAGGAGGAACAGACTACTCATAACTCACTCAGTTCATAATAATGTATCTGACAATTTATATATGTATGACGAATAATCTTACTTCTGCACACACAACTAACTTTCACTAAAGATTACATAGATTATCTGGTGAAATGGCATTACTTTAAACTTGAAATTTCTAATCAACACACTATTAGCATTTCCAAAGGATAAAACATGTACTGTTCAATTTGCCATTTAGAATTCTGACTCTGATGACAAACACTTATCAAGAAACAAGGATTTGTGATTTCCTCTTCTTTATCTAGTACACTTTGGGGGGGGGGAGGCAATGGGGTTGAGTGACTTGCCCAGGGTCACACAGCTAGTGTTATGTGTCTGAAAGCAGATTTGAACTCAGGTCCTCCTAACTCCAGGGCCAGTGCTCTATCCACTGCGCCACCTAGCTGCCCCTCTAGTACACTTTTTAAAAAATATATGACAATATTTGCATTAAGATTTTTTAAATACCTTTTTAAATCACTAGTTTTCCACGGTCTTAAGAATGGATGTTCTGGGAACTTGGTCCAATCCAAATGTGTGTTTCTAGTTACAGTACAATTTGCAACTGAAAGGGGTAATGGCAACGTTCTCTCAAGAGGTGGAGGATAGAAGTGAGCCCCAACGCCAATCCACATTGAAACAGTGAATCCAGCAATAAGACCAATAAATGAGCCCTGCAAAAAAAGAGTGCTTTATAAACAAAACAAAGAAATTTTTCTTTGGAAAGGAGAATCCAAAAACATAACTGTAAGATGGACAATTGTACAAAGATTTGACCTTTTAAAAGATGATAGCTAATCCTATAGGTAATAAATATAGAGCATTTTAAGATATAAAAAGCACTTTCCTCCTGACAATTTCACAGACGTAGTTCAAGTATTATGATCTCCATTCTGATGAGTAAACCTGCCCACAATAACACAACTAGTAAGCGTCAGAGCAAGAACTTGAACCAGGGGACCTGACTCAAATCTAAAATTCCTTCCACTAACAGCACAAAAAAAAAAAACCTTATCTTTATACAATGCTTTAAGATTTGCAAAGAGCTCCCTGCAAACAGCAATTCTGTAATCTAGGTATAATTATTCTCATTTTCTAGGTGAAGAAACTGAAGGTCAGAGAGCTGACATGACTTTATTAGAGTCACACAGTAGATGACTACCAAGAGCTAATCTTTGAGCCCACGTTTCCTGGTTCCACAGCATTCTCTGCTCTTTTAAGTCAAATATGCTCATCTTACTAAAACGAAAAATTAAAATAAAATCTCTTATAATACTATAATGTAAAACAAGAGCTGATTCCCAGGTTAAAACCTGTTAGAAAGAGGGAAGTTTGAGAGAATGAAAAAAGCACTAAACTGACAGTGAGAAAACCTAGGATCAAGTTCCAGTTCCAAAAATTAACTATATCTCTGAGCCTCAGTTATGTCACCTATAAAATGGAAGGATTAGACCAGTTAATAATGCCTAAGGTCCCTCTTAGCTATGATATCACATGTGATTTTCATAAATATTTAACTATCTCCTTTCTATCTTCCATTTCTCAGAACTACTGGACAGTGTAAAAAAAAAGTCATCATGTGAAATATGAATAAAGAAAAGTATATTCATACCCAAGAACAAAAATCACCAAATCTTGTCACCAAGCTGTCGTCACTTTCACATATAGATAATACAAATGTGTTGTCTAGAGCCCCGAGGGGCTGGTGTACTCTGGCCAGAGAGCCAAGCCACCAAGGATGGCTTCCACAGTGACAATACAATGACACTTTTAACAATGTAAAAGCCTCATGAGAAGGCAGAAGTGGTCTGTTTGCTTACTGTAGAACAAATGAATGAGTTCTAGGCCAGAAAAAAATCTGTTGGACTATAAAACAACAGTCATCTGATGGGAAAATCACCTTTACGTTCTCAAAGGAAAAAATTCAAATCAGAAATCAGTTATGCCTATCTGGCTGAAAAAGGTAACACAGTCTTTACAAAACAGTAAAAAAATGATTTCATGGCATAATCTCACATTTGTACCTATTTTTTTTAAGAACCGAAATCTGGATCCAAAGCACTTGCTGCTTTAATTGAAAAAGTATATATATGAGCTTTGAAGAAAACCAACCTTTACACCCATTATTGAAAAAAGGAAACTGTTCTTATTTTTAAGCCCAAAACCATGCTTTTTAAAGTTAAGAAAATCTGAACAATGTTTTACAACACTGGCTACAGAATCATAGAATCTTGGATTTGGACAGTGTTAGAAGTCACTTAGACCAACTCTCACTTCTCCAGCATCCCCAAGAAATGTCTATCCAGCTTCTACTTAAACCTTGTCTGTTTCAGTTCATGTAAGTCTTTCCAAGTTTTTCTGAAATCGCCCTGTTTTTTTTTTTTTTTTGGATCATGGCTTTCAAGTAGTCCAATAATTCTTAAATTATCTCTTCTGGATCTATTTTCCATATCAGTTATATTTACAATGAGAAATTGCACATTTTCTATTTTTTTTCATTGTTTTGATTTCGTTTTATCATTTCTTAATGTCACATAAAATCATCATCTTCCACTTGCCCAATTCTACTTAAGGAATTACTGTCTTCAGTGAGCTTTTGTACCTCATTTTCCATTTGGCCAATTCTATTTTTTAAGGAGTTCTTTCCTTCAGCAAATTTTTGATATCTTCCCATTTCTTGTGCTTCCTTTACCAAGCTGTCGACTTTTTTTCATGATTCTATTGCATTACTCTCATATCTTTTCCCAATTTTTCTTCTACTTCTCATATTTGCTTTTGAAAAAAAAAAACTGAACTCTTCCATGAGTTCTTTTTGGACACGTGGCCATTTTGACATTGTTGTTCTCTTGTGCTTTGATCCTCCCTGTCACCATAGTACCTTACTCTGGTCAGGTTCTTTGCTTTTTAGGGGGATTTTTTTAAAATTTATTTTGTTACTTTGTACTTTATGTAAAGGTTGTGCGCTACTCCTGGAGTATAGAGGGCACGGTCCCAATTTCTTATGTAGGGGCTTGGGGCCTTTCTGGTGGCTTGTATGGGGTCCAGAGACTCCCTGCTGGCTAGCCCCAGGGTTGGGGGGCGGGGAGGGTCGTCTCACTGTTAGCCTGTCCCAGGGGTGAAGCCTTGCCACTGGCCTACTCCAGGGATGGTGCCTTGCTGCTGGCTAGCACCGGGGGAGGGGGGGGGTGCAACAAGGCTGCTGGCCTGCCCCAGGGACAGGGGCCTAAGTGATCCTTTGCACTGCTGGCAGGGTCTTGCTGGTATCTTGACTCAGGGATTGGGGCCTCACTGCTGCCCCACCTGGGGTGCAGCCCATAGCTCACTGACTGTACTCCCCTCCCTCCCCCATGAGATACACCTTTCCTGGTGACCCTCCAAGGTATCTTGGGCTAGTATGCTGCTTCACAGCTCCAAAACTGGTTCTGAGGCATTTTTCAAGGTTCTCTGGAGGGGAATTTGCGAGGGCTCAGGCGAGTTCCTGCCTCATTTAACCTTCTTGGCACCGGAAGTCCATGCTATCTATATTTAGCCAATAATTTGTCTTTCTCATTTCTACCCACTGGTCAACCAATCAACATACATTTATTGGGCCAAGCTCTCCCTCTCTGAACCCACACAAAGTAATTCTAATCCCTCTTCCACATGATATCCCTTCAACTAGTCACAATCAAGTCACAACATTAGCCCATTTTCTATTGGTCTCATGCAATACCTCATGCAATTTGATCAGCTTCTATCTGAACCTTTCATATAATCCTCTATTAGAAATGTCTTTAATGTTTTCTATATTCTTTCTGCCTTTCCTCTCAAGAATTCGTGAATGTGAACTAAAAAAAGTTAAGTAAAAAATTCTTTCAATATTAAAGTTAAGTCCAATTTAGCAGTCATTCTAGTATTCTATGATTCCTTCTCTATCCCAGTATCATGATTTAAGCAATCAAAACAAAAAAATTTTCTTTGGGCTGGTTAAAAAACAAATAATTTACATTTATTCATTTTTAAAAGTACACACATTTTTGTTTACTTTTTAGAATATCTTATAATGAAAACATCCAGACAGTAGACTTCCTTGTATATCAGTGTTACTATCTCTGATAAATGTGAGCCTAAACAAATCACATGCTGAGATGCGACCATAACCAAGAAAGAGTTTAAGTTTTCAAGACAATAGCAAGCATGCATTAAGAGCAATGTTTGGAGTTCTGAGAAAGCAGAGTTTCTTTAAGGAACTCTCATCCCAGTAGTTTCCCAGTGCTTTCCTTTTCAGTCTATTACATTGCATAACAATTTCTTGGGAAGAAAAGTAGTAAAGGACGTATAAAACATTAAAGACACTTCTATTAATAGATTCCACGAATAAACCGCAAGGACATGAAGTGGAAGCACATCAGTTCTTCCCAAAACGGTTTCTCAAAGTGTTAGGAGTTTTCATCTATTATTTTGAAATTTCACTATTTTCTACTGTAAGTCAATCAGATGACCTTGCAGAGGGTTGCACACTTAAAAAGGTGGTCATGGTAAAAGCAAAACGTACATCTACCAATACTTACAAGTGAATTGGCAAAAGGGTTTAAAATTCCCAGAGTAAACAAGCCCAAGAGAGGCCCTCCAATCATGCCAAATATGCTGAGTGCTGCCTAAGAACAGAATAAAATAAACAGATTAGTCATTTTACAGACTCAAAGTAAAAATTCCCAAAGAATTCTACTTGCAGGACAAATTAACACATAAATTTTCACATGAAACAAAAATGATTACGCCTAATTAAAAACTGGAAAGCTACATATGCATAGTTTTCATTTCCAAATTTTAAGTCAAAGACACAAGGTTAACCAAAACTGGCAACTCTCATTTGCCGCTTCTATGGATTCTTCACTTTATGCAAAGCAACAGAATGTTTATGCCAGTTGGTATATCTTTTCAAGCTGTAGTAATTATGCATATAGTTTTCCAGTTTGTGCTTCTTCACTATCAGTTCATGTCAGTCTTTTCCATGCTTCTCTGAACTCCTCGTAGCCATTGTTTCACAGAGCAATTTGTTTTACTATATTCATACATTAAAATTTAAATACTGTTCATTTAATATTTTATTTAAAAATATTCTTACACCCTTTGCTTTTTAAAGTTTTGTTGAAGCCTTTTGTTTACACATCACGATCTTTTCTGAATATGGACCTGGCAAAATTATTAACCATTATCATTTTTTTAAATCTACCTTAAAACCTATGTGACCCACTCAGAACTTCTATTTTGCTTAGATACTCCCAGTAAGTTTTACCTTTTTTAATATAGAGAAAAAAGGCAGTTCAACACTCAATCAACCCATCAACCATACCTGACAGTATATGCAAGATTCTGTACTCATCGTTTCCCAGATCTACTTTTGCAAAGACTGTTCTCTACAATCAAGGCTAATCTTTATAACTATAGAACATTTAATTTCATTTTATTGGGTGTTTTTTAAAGTGGCTTTACTCATCTTATATATTGTTAAACTGGTTCTGCTTACTCTGTTTTGCATTAGCTCATGTTCTCATTATACTCGTTTTAAAAACAGTATTTTTTTCAATTACATGTAAGGACAGTTTTCAACATTCATTTTTTGTAAAATTCTGAGCTCCGATTTTTTTTCTCCCTCCCATTCCTTCTCCCCAAGATGGCACACAATCTGATATGTGTCATACATGTGCAATCATGCAAACATATTTCCACGTTAGTCATGTTGTAACAAGAAACAGAGGCAAACAGCCACAAAAGCAAAAAAACAAAAAAAAGCAAAAGTAGTATACTTCAATCTGCATTCAGACTCAATAGTTCTTTCTCTGGATATGGATAGCACTTTCTATCATGAGTCTTTCGAAATTGTCTTGGATCATCGTATTGCTGAAAAAAGCTAAGTCTACCATAGCTGATCATCACACAATGTTGCTGTTACTGTATACAATGTTCTCCTGGTTCTGCTCACTTTACTCACCTTCAGGTCATCTAAGCCTTCCCAGGTTTTTCTGAAATCTGCCTGCTCATCATTTCTTATTGCACAATAGTATTTCATCGCAATCATATACTGCAACTTGTTCAGCTACTCCCCAATTAATAGGTATCCCCTCAATTTCCAATTCTTTGCCACACAAAAAGAGCTGCTATAAATTCTTTTGTACATGTGGGTCCTTTTCCCTTTTTGTATGATAGCTTTGGATACAGACCTAGTAGTGGTATTGCTAGACCAAAGGTTATGTACAGTTTGACTGCCTTTTGGGCATAGTTCTAAATTGCTCTCCAGAATGGCTGGATCAGTTCACAACTCCACCAACAATGCATTAGTGGCCCAATTTTCCCACATCTTCTTCAACATTTACCATTTTCCTTTTCTGTCATATTAGCCAATCTGACAGGTGTGATGTGGTACCTCAGAGCCGTTTTAATTTGTATTTCTCCAATCGATAGTGATTTAGAGCATGTTTTCATTTGACTCTAGATAGCTTCAGTCTCTTCCTCTGAAAACTGCCTGCTGTTCATATCCTTTGACCATTTAACAGCTGGGGAATGACTTGTATTCTTATAAATTTGAATGAGGCCTTTATCACAAACACTGGCTGTAAAAATTGTTTCCTATCTGAAATAAGTTATAAGATGGATAATGACATATGTTATCAATAAAACTTCTAAAATGCTATGATTAGTAGATTTCTTAAGTCAATTCAATTTAACAAGCATTTATTAAGCACCTACTATGGTGCCAGGCACCATGTTAGCTTCTGGGGATACCCATACACACACACAAAAATGAAACATTTGAGGGGCAGCTAGGTGGCACAGTGGATAGAGCACCGGCCCTGAAGTCAGGAGAACCTGAGTTCAAATCCGGCCTCAAACCAAACACTTGACACTTACTAGCTGTGTGACCCTGGGCAAGTCATTTAACCCCAATTGCCTAAAAGCAAAAAAAAAAAAAAAATGAAACATTTGCTCAACGAGCTTAATGTCTACTGCTTTGCTTATTTTTAGGTGGCAGTTAAGATATTCATGAGCAGTCCTTCAGCTGATTAACTTTGGACCTGGGTATGCACAAACATGAATGATGATGACAGTCAACATCCAAAGACTGCTTCAACATTTACAATGTGCTTACATGTACTCTTATCTCACTGAACCCTCCCAACACCCCTAGCAGGCAGGTGACATTTTTTGTCCCTATTTTACAGTTGTGAAAGGTTTAGTCACACATACAATGCCACTCCTGACTCTGTGCCCAGTGCTCCATTGTGCATCCTAATGGTTACAGAAAGACCAAGGTAAGAAAGTGGTATAGAAGCCCAAGTTAGGTGAAAGGCCTCTAACTACCCTCACTTACTACTGCAGCCCTTCAGGGAGTATTTCTTTTGGCAACTTCTGCTTAATTCCCTTAATAATTAAATATGGACTTTCAATGACCATAATAATCCACTATTCGATAAATCCGAAGACTCCAGCTTCTGGGAAAAGAACTCACTATTTAACAAAAACTGAAAAGAGTATGGCAGAAACTAGGCATAGACCAACATCTTACACCATATACCAAGATAAAATCAAAATGAGTACATGATTTAGATATAAAGACCAATATTATAAGCAAACTAGGAGAGCAAGGAATAGTTTATCAGATCTACGGAGAAGGGAAGAATTTATGACCAAACAAGAGAAAGAGAACAGTATGAAATACATAATGGATGACTTTGATTACATTAAATTGAAAATTTTTTGCACAAACAAAGCCAGTGCAACCAAGATTAGAAGGGAAGCAGAAAGCCGGGAAACAATTTTTGCAGCCAGTGTTTCTGATAAGGGCCTCATTTTTACAATATATAGAGAACTGAGTCAAATTTATAAGAATACAAGTCATTCCCCAATTGATAAATGGTCAAAGGATATGAACAGGCAATTTTCAGAGGAAGAAATTAAAGCTCTAAGTCACTACTGATTAGAGAAATGCAAATCAAAACAACTCTGAGGTATCACATCACACCTATCAGATTGGTTAACGAGACAAAACAAGAAAATGATAAATGCTGGAGAAGATGTGGGAAAATTGGAACACTAATGCATTGTTGGTGAAGTGTGAATTGATCCAACCATTCTGGAGAGCAATTTGGAACTATGCCCAAAAGGCTATAAAATTGTGCACACCCTTTGACCCAGCAATACCACTTCTAGGTCTGTATCCCAAAGAGATCATAAAAATGGGAAAAGGACCCACATGTACAAAAAAAAATTATAACAGCTCTTTTCTTGGTGGCAAAGAATTGGAAATTGAGGTGATGCCCATCAATTGAGGAATGTCTGAACAAGTTGTGGTACATCAATGTAATGGAATACTACTGTGCTATAAAAAATGATGAGCAGGTAGACTTCAGAAAACCCTGGAAAGACTTATACGAACTGATGCCAAGTAAAGTGAGCAGAACCAGGAGAACACTGTACACAATAACAGCCACACTGTGTGATGACTGAGCTTGACAGACTTAGCTTTTCTTAGTAATGCAAGAATCTAAGACAACTCCAAAAGATTCATAATGGAAAAAGCTATCCACATTCAGAGATAGAACTTTGGAGTCTGAATGCAGATGAAAGCGTACTATTTGCTCTCCTTTTCTTTTGTTGTTTTATTTCTTCTTTCTCGTGGTTCCTCTTATTAGTTCTAATTCTTCTTTACATCACAACTACTGCTATAATATGCTTAATATGAATGTGTAAGTAGAGCCTATATCAGACTGCACGCCGTCTTGGGGAGGAGGGAAGAGAGGGATGGGGAGAAAATTTAAAACTCAAAATCTTATGGAAGTGAATGTTGAAAACTAAAAATAAATAAATAAATTGTTAAAAAATAATAATAATTAAATGGGGATGTTCTCCAAGAGCATCAGGTTTTCTTTCCTCTTCCCACTATGTTGTTTCTTGTGGGGAGCCCATTCATTCATATACTTCCAACTACTCCTTGTATATTTTTACAAATTTACATACCTAATTCCAATCTGATCCAACCAAGAAAATTCTCACAAATATATCAACTGCTGGGTAGCTTCACATAACGGTTAACAGTAGTATGGCAGGTAAGTACATGCTGGATGTGAATTACCTACCAGCTATACATCCAGACCTCAGAACAGTTTCAGAGCTCCTCAAAATAACCTAAAAAGTACTCTTCAAATCTAGGTTCCCCTGTTGACTTCAACAGAGTTCATACTCTCCAAAATCAATGCAATCAGAATGTTATGAGGTATCAAGATGTGACCCACTTGGTTAGTTCTGTAATAGATCCCATACAGTTGGTAAAGCATAAAAATCTTTAATAGGCAGGTCCTGATTTTTTAAAAAACAGCCTTGAATATTTGAGAATAAGGATTTCTAACCACCTCAAGATATCCTCAGGAATCTCCAATCTACTTGGAGATTCTCTAGAATGCTAGAACAAATCTAAGTACAAAGTAGATTCATTATAACTTGGACTTATCTCTAACAGTCAAGAGCTAAAATATCCTCTGACCGAAGTGTTCAAAAGTCCACATATCAATTCCAACTTGGCTGACATCTTCAGGGGCAATCTAGAACCAAACCACTCAGCTGAACTTAAGAAATCTTCTGAAAGTGTTTGAATCTTTTCTATACCATCTGAATCAGCTCACAAAGTGGCCCTGAGAGTTCAGTAACTGCCAGAAGTCTGGTGTTTGGGCAATACTTTGGGGGGCTTCCCTAATCCCTACTACATACTGAATTATTGCTCTTCTATGAGGTAGTTACATTCCATATTTAGTGCTAGCCTTGAACAAAAAGACAAGCAATGTAAGAAAGAAGGACTATTTGAAAGCCAAATGCTTTTTCATCACTGGAAGAAAAAGAACAATGCTATGGAAGCTCTTGATGAGCATTTCCTTTAAAACACTGCTCTAGCACTTATGACATAACTAGAAAAGGAAAACCATGGTGTGTTTTTAGCCCACCATGTTGGTTAAAAGTGATTCTGAACTTACAGCTGAATAATCATCTAGTGAAATCTAATATCCATGGCTAGCACTAAGATAGAAATGCAATTACCCTGCATAAGAGCAATCATACAACTTACCATGGTAATTAAACAAGTCCACAAAAGGTGATGGGGTGTTTAGGTGCTTGTGCTTGGACCCCAATTTCTCCCTGGACTCAGAAACACTATCCTTGGCAATTTCCCTACAGCCCAAAGACCCCTACCTCTGGCAATAATTCAGAAGTGGGCCCACTAAAGTAAACTATCTCACTATTTCTCCTTGTTACAAGAATAAGCTGACCTCTGTAGAATTTCCCTTGTACTATCTTGTATCACCAAAATTATCATGTACTGATTCCCACAGTTATCATGTACAATCCAGAAGTCAAGTTATAGACATCAACTCCCAAAGCTATCTTGTCACAGACATAACAGAACAAAAATACACCCCTTAGGAACCTACTCCCCAATTTTCAGTAGTGAATGATGCCTGTGACCAAGGTTACATGTTATCACCTAATTAGCATACTTGGCACATAATTCACTGCTTTTCCTATATAATAAGCTTTAGCATCATTCCTATTAGGTTATAGGTTCCTTAAGAGTCTTTGCCTGCTGAAATGCGTAACAATAAACTATTTGCCAACTTGACTTAAAGATTGCTTGAGTTTGTGAATTCATTCCAGATAATCCTGTCCTGTGCCTCGGTCCTAGAGTGAAATCTCTGAGACTGCAACAAAGGGATTGTGTTCGTTGAATTTAATTAAAATGAAAAATGACTCTGTACAAAAGGAAAAACACAGACATTGGCTAACCTACTCATTTTTAAGGTAAAGTTTCAATTTTAGTGGAACAATTCTAATTTTAGATTATCTTATATGGGCAGGTATCATGGAAAATACACAGACCAGAACAGGGGTGGGAATCCTAGATTCAGTCAAAAGGTTTCATTTAAGGACCCAGAGAGCCACATGTGGCCTGGAGGTCATAGGTTCCCCACCTGTGGACCAGAATATTTAGTTGCTTACCAGGCTGAGGCATAATGTATCTACTACAAATTTCATTTTGACCATAAATTGCATCTTACTTCTGAAACAGGACCTGGGGTCCAAATTTAACCACTCCTACTCCCACAAGCCAGTTCAATTTCATATGCCCGTAAGAGGTGAAGGCCTAAAACCCATCATGAAATGATAATGTGATATAGCTAAGAAGCAAGTAGGTAGAGTAGAGAAAGACTGATACTTGTAAAAGAGCATTTGGGCTTCAGATACAAAGGAAACAAAAATCCCCTAGTCTCACTGCTCTACCTGAAAATTCATTTCATTTATGTTCAATAATCAAGAGAAATTTTTACTTAGTGTTCTAAAGATAGAGATTTATAACTCATTCTAAATTTTTGCCTTATTTGGAATTATTCCTCTTCTCATCCATTAAACGGGTTTTTCCAACTTTCTAAAGTCTTTGAAATCTAAAACTGAATATAATCATTCAGGGGGGAAAAAAAGGACATCAAATGAAATAGAGGAATTTCAATTATTCCTGATGAAAAAACCAGAGCTGAAAAGAAAATATGACTTCCAAATACAAGACTCAAGAGAAGCATAAAAAGGTAAACAGGAAAGAGAAATCACAAGGGATTAAATAAATCTAAACTGTTTACATTCCTACACAAGTAGACAATACTCACAACTCCTAAGAATTTTATCATGACGTTTAGAAGGAGAGCATGGGTTTGACTTGAATATGACGGAATATCTAAAAAAGTAAAATTAAGGGGTAAGAAAGAGGAATGTACTAGGGAGAGGTAGGGAAAAAAATTGATACTAGGGAGAGTTAGAATGAGGTAAATTATCTCACATGGAAGAGGTGACAAAGAGCTTATCTATACAGTGGAAGGGAAGATGGGCACAGGAAGCACTTGAATTCTTATCTGAAAGGAAGGCAAGTTGGGAGAGGCAGTAGTCAGAAGGAAAACACTTTTAAGGAGTGAAAGGAGAGAGTGAGAGTGGGATAAATAGGGTGAGAGGAGGAATATGATGGAGGAAAATACATAGTAATCATAACTGTGAAAAAAATTTTACAGCAAGCTTCTCTGATAGCGGCCTAATTTCTCAAATACATAGAGAACTCAATCAAATTTATACAAATCACTTCCCAAATGATAAATGGTCAAAGGATATGAACAGGCAGTTTTCAGACAAAGAAATCAAACCTATGTATATTTACATTTTTAAAAATGCTCTAAATCAAAAACAACTCTGAGGTGCCATTCCACACCTATCAGATTGGCTAATATGACAGAAAAGGAAAATGACGATGTGAAAAACTGAGATACTAAAGCACTGGTGGAGTTGGTGGAATTGTGAACTGATCCAACCATCCTGGAGCGCAATTTGGAACTATGCCCAAAGTGTTATCAAACTGTGCCTACCCTCTGACTAGCAATGTCACTCTTAAGATATTCGTACAAAAATATTTCCAGCATCTCTTTTTGGTGGTGGCAAAGAACTGGAGATCGAGGGGATGCCTATCAATTGCGGGATGGCTGAACAAGTTGTGGTAAATGACTGTGATGGAAGATTACTGTGCTATAAGAAATGACAAGCAAGATGCTCTCAGAAAAACCTGGAAAGACTTATGTGAAGAGATGCAAAGTGAAATGAGAACAGTGTGCGTAGTAACAGGAATACTATATGATGATTAACTGTGAATGACTTAGACTTTCTCAAAAATACAACATTCTAAGACATTTCCAAAGGGCTCATGATGAAAAATGCTATCCACCTCCAAAGAAAGAACTGATGGAGTTTGAGGACAGACTGAAACACACTTTTTAACACTTTATTTTTCTTTCTTGTTCTTTTTTTGTGTGTTCTTTCACATCACTAAAACGGAAATATGTTTTGCATGACTGTACACGTATAATCTATAACAAACTGCTTGCCATCTTAGGGACAGAGGAGAGGAGGGAGGAAGGAAGAGAATTTGGAACTCAAAAGTTTTTAAAACAAATGTTAAAAATTGCTTTTACATGTAATTGAGAAAAATATTAATTTTTTAGAAGTATGTAAAATTTCTCTGTTTACAAAGTTTTCCTGAATTGAATGGAGCTAAGTACTTCCCTCTGCCTATCCAGTCTACATATAAAACTCTAATCCCATCTCTAAGCTATGCATCCTAATTGCATGCTTGTTTCCTTTCACCAATAATTTGATAGCAATATGTTATGTTCCATTCACATATTAGTTTAATGTGTCCTTTTTAAATGTGTATATATTGATGCTTCTGTCAGGTGTTAGCTTCTAGAAACAATGAGCTGGTCTATGTTGTTTCAACTGTAAGAACCTAACAAGATTCCACACATTATTAGGCACTTGATATTTTTTATTGCTGACACACAGGTGTAAAAACGGCTTAAATGGCTGGTCCCAGACTACAATCCATGGACCTACTGGAAGGAACTGTTCCATAGAGCCTCTATTTTTGTTATTTCACATTTACAGAGTATTCTTGGGAATGCCTTCTTCTTACCAGAGTGCTTTCCAGTTATGAATGCAGCTAGAAGCTAGAATTTTTAAATATAATTTAGGTTAAAAATTCAGCTAATTATATCTACCTAACACTAGTTCTTCTATATAACTACAAATGTATGTTACCTGTAACAGACCTCCCATTAATGATGCCAAGGCAGCCATCCCAATGCAAAGTATTCCATAGAACAGACCTAGATGAATACGTTAAAAGAAAATAAAATGTCAAACTGCATACCAGTTGAAGACTCTCAACCAACTAAATGTGTGCTATCTTTCTCTGACAAAGTAGACAGAAACTCTGGGCTGAAGAATGGACACAGATACCAGGGCAGCACATGTGGCAATAGCCTTTCCAGTGAGTCTTGAATTTAAAAATCACAAGCCTAAAAACTACTTCTTAATCCAGTCGTGAAGGAAACGTATTTTTATAGGTTCAGTTTGCCAGCATTACTGTCAAAATTAAAACATTATTTTACACTACAAAGCAGAAATAACCTGCTCGGTGTTGTTGCTGTCGTCAGTGCTCATTATTCAGTCGTGTCTGACTCCTCACGGCCCCACAGACCATAGCACACCAATGCTGTCCGTGGGGTTGTCTTGGCAAAGGTACTGGAGTGGTTTGCCATTTCCTTCCCCACAGAGCCGGTGGGTCCTTCCAGCAGGCAAACACAGGGTAAGTGACTTGCTAGAAAGTGTGCCAGAAGCTGCATCTGAACTCAGGTCTTCCTGACTTCAGGTCCCGGGCTCTATGCATTCAGCCACCAGCTGCCTCCCCCATAAAATCAACAGACAGAATAATCGTTTAAGTAAACGAAAAGCGTCTAGCTCACTCCAACTCCCCTAGTAGAGCCACAGAAGTCTGCCTAGCCATCAAGTATGGGTTGTATGAACAATGAACAAGCTACATACCTTCAAAACCGGACTAAAATACATCCTAAACTGAATAACAAAGCATTTGATTGCCAATACACTAACATCAATATAGATATACCAGGGCTTAGCACTGAAAAGGCAATACAATGAACTAATAGAAACTATCCAAAATATAAACAATGAGGTCATTGTTAAAAATCAAATCATAACAAATTAGGATTTAATTAACACAGTTCAGAAATGTTTACTTGGCTGGTTCACCAAACTAGTCCCAAATGTTATTCAATAGAAGATGGAGTCACAAATTCTACAAAGGTGTCAGGTTCTCATGGGGACTATGGCAAACTTTTGTGGAAAAACTTATGGAGTACGATCACTGATCCCTCATTAAGGCACTCAGGGGCTCTGTTCACAGTGGGTTTGGCAATGTTCTCCAAACTAAGGCTCATATTAAGGCCTCAGGCACTATGAGGTTTTGTTCTGTTGTCTGTTTAGGGAATCACTGTAGTGAAAAGTGGCTCCCAGACTTAATTGGTTTCAATGTCATCAATTTTCCAAACCAGCTTAAGCACTCTGGTTTTCGGAAGTCCAAGTTCTTGGCACAGCAAACTAATATAGGTAAGATCCAAACAAATAAAAAGATTCTCCTGTAGGTTAACTGCCACAGTTCTACAAACATATTTTGCTGCAATCTCCAAGTCTTCTACCGTGAGACTGCCTTCTTTCCCCTTATCTATGAGAGTGACTTTTGCCACAAGATCGTAATAGTAGGAAAAAGCATAAAAATCCAAGCTTTTTACTTCTTCAGTTTTACGCACTTTACAAAGAAGGATTTCTGATACTCTTGGAGCACAGTTCATACAAGTAAACCCCTGTTTTGTGCCCTGCAATTTTGTATGTCATTTCAGCATCCTCCCATTCTTCTTTAAAACGGGGAGGAAAGCAAGGGTTGAACCAACTCCTTGTCAGGTTTTCTCTCTACTCCTAAGACTGCAAACCTTGCTGACAACAAACCAAGTTCCAAGGAGCTATATGAAGACTGCTTGTAGGTTCTACTGAACATCCACAATGAAGTTATACACCCATCTGGTATATAATGATGTCCGGAGGGTGACCTCAATTTTTGGAAGAAATTCACCTCCTAAATCCAGCATGCCCAAACTGTTCTTTCTTAGAGTTTTTAAACTGCCTGTCAAAAAATTCACTGTGATCCATGCTGAAACTCCTTCATCAGTTCCACTCATTATGGAAACAAAGTCATCTCCTACAAGGAAAAAGAGATGCCTAAAAACCCTCTCTTACCTTCTCTCACAACTTTTGAGCCTTTATACCTAGAAACAGATGCACCTGTTGCCTTATGGGTCACCACTCACCAGATAACAGTCACTTCTCTGGGCCCCATTCTCCTCCTCTTGAATGAGAACCGGATGCACTAGATGCCCTGCAAGCTCCCCTCCAGGTCTAAAACTCTGTTAGACTTTGTTGTCGTCATCATCACTAACCTGTACATTTTTAAGTTTTGCTAAGCTCTTACCATATTTGATTCTTACAACAACTTGATGAGGAAAGTCTCATTCCTAAGAACACCAGGGACAGGCCCTGTTAACCTCACATGACAGATGAGGAAACAGATTCAAAGAAGTTCAGACTCCACCACTGACAAAAGTAAGGGAGTGTCAGGGATTCAAGGGGAACCACAAGGTTTCCTAGGAAACTTTTATTTTGCCAGAGAAGTGGCTGGAAGAGATTAAAGAGCTCGTGGAAGGACTCAGAGAAAAGGGGGCTCCGTCTTATATTCACTGTTATTGCTTGCTGTCTTTCCCTTCAAGGCCCACACACAACTGTTGGGCTGAATAAAGGGGAAAGCAGTCCAAAATATATTTCTTCTCTGCACAAAAGAACACAAACCATTGAATACTTCTCCTTCTGCTCTTAAATATGTTTATTTCATTCTTTTAACAAAATATTTAAGTGAAACAGTTTATGGTGAGAGACCTTTCAGTGTTGAGATACAACAACTACGACAATTCATATACATGCATTAACTTATTTTCCTTTACCATTCACTTATTTTCATGGAATTAAACTTTTTTATTTTGAAAGTCTTAAATTTTCTATATAAAGTGAAATGAAGAATCCAATATGTGGACAAGATTGTCTTTATAGCAACATAACATGTAGTTTACTGCTGGCTTGGGAGCATCTCATGCCAGCAACCTCCAGACCAGAGCATAACCATCTCCCTCACCCCTGGCAGGAATTAATCTATTCAGCTTTGGCTCTCTGGAATTTCATGACTCTGTGAGAGTCCAATTTCATCTAACCTATTATATATAGCTGGCCCCAGATCACACTTCACGCCAACCACACTAGATATCTCAACATACTACCATCTACCCTGCTAACATGAACATTCCATTTACTCTGAGAACTATGGAATGAAGCCAACACTACTGGAAAGGATGTTACCGTGGACAGCCATTTGACCTCAGTTATCATCTGTGACTTCTCAGACCAAAACTCTCCTCCTGGACACCACTCCCTCATATGTGCTGCCCCTCCACTGGACTCTAAGCTACTTGAGAACATGGCCTGTGTCACTCTTGCTGCTGCACCGACCTACTCTGTATAAATGCCTTTTCAGTTAATTGGTCAGTTCTCATTGCACCCTTACTCAAGCCAGAAGATGATACTTCCCCTATTGTCCTTTTTCAGAATCTCATTAGGGTATAGGCCTAATGGAGCAAGTAGAATTATACTGAATATGAAGGGTCCTAGGTTCCTAAGAGGCCTACATATTATGTAATCAAAGACATATCAACAGTATATTGCACTCTTATATCTTCAATTTACATACCAGAGCACCCTGAAATTAGCATTAAAACAAGTCAATGGAATAAAGGGACAAAAAAAAATCCCTTGCTCCTATACTATAAGCTGAAACATCAATTAAACTTAGAAGAATCAGGGCGACTGATGACTAAGTGGTCTGACTTTTATCCAAAAAGGGGTCCTTTTCTCCTGGAAATGTACTGCTGAAACAGAGCTACCCCTCTAGGCATAGAAATTTTTCATTATCTCTAAGCCCAATCTCAATGAAATAATGTGAGAAATATAAAGTGTTTAGTATGCACTTACTTGTTCCTTTAGAAAATAAAGAAAGAGTCTTTTGTGAAGGTGAACTTAAATGAGGTTTGATGAGATCTTCTACAGTTACAGCCGCTAAAGCACTGATACTGGAAGATACTGTGCTATATGAGTATAAAAAAAAATAAAAATACATGGTTAACTGAAATCACAACGAATTAACACCTAAAAAAGAGAAAACAACAAAGAAAATCACCATCCTCAATACAGTCATCAATTAGCTAATAAATTGCCACTGATGACCTAACTTATAGAAAAAGGGACGGGACCTGTGATTTCAAAAGTATAGGGAACTCCCAGACATGTACATTCCTTCGATCAATACAGGTTGGCATCTTTTTTTTTTAACAAAGTCTTACAGAGGTGCCTAGAACATTGAGAGGCTAAGTGATTTACCCAGGGTCACAGAGACATAATATATCCCACCTCAGGACCTCTTGGTTTCAAGGCCAGTTCTTTATCCATTACACCACAGCTCAAGACAAAAATAACACATGAGTTTTTTTAAATGATTATAGCTTTTTAAAAGTTCTTTCCTTATTTTAAAAAAAGCTATATTATTTTTAACAACTACTTATTTTTGCCTTTAGTTGTGCTGATGACAAATGTTTTAGTTATATCAACTTTTAGAAAGTTAATAGGTCATCAGCTGTGTTACAGTGGATAAAGAGCTGGCCTAAAAACCCAGTCTGTGAGCGAAATTTGCATCTGTATTTTTAAACTAACAAGGAAAAAAAAGTAAGTTTTGAGGGAAAAAAGCAATTCCGCATTTGCCTACCACTGCATAATCCTGTATTTGGGTGTAAATACACTGTTTTAGCAAGAAAGAAGAAAGAATAATGATTAAAAGTCAGGAGGCCTAGTTCTGTCCCCAGCTTTAGCCTAAGCCTTGTCTCATTATTCTTCATGAGATGATTAATATGTGTCCTATGTGCCTCATGGAATTGTCCTCAGAACAAATGAACTTCACTTAGAAGGATGGCGGGTACATCCTGAAAGGAGACAGCATGGCCACTGAAAACAGGAGGGCTATTGCAGAAATCCACTGAGGGAAGGGGTTTGTGGCCACGAGCCTCAAGGAGAAAGAAATACTATGAGGAAAACAATGCAATGGGTGGCAAGGAGAGCTCAGCAGGCACCACCACAATCCCCTACTTCTGAATATTCTGACATGAACAGCAGCTCCAAACTACCCCTGTCCCCATTCCATAACCTGACACTCCAAACCCTGACCCTCTTTGCTCTTAGTACACACATACCCTTCCCCTCCCCAAACTAAACTGACACTTGAAATGAGGTCATCAGTTTCTTACAGACTATCTACTAAATCCACCAACCTGGCCTGCTTTCCAATTCAGAGCCCTACTGAAATGCTCCAGTCTACTGCTACAGCCAATAATAGCCAGACTGTTCGGTCTCAATGACTGCCAAAGGGTCTTCTTTAATGCCCTATACTAATGCCACCATCTGTTGGAACATCAAGGTATTTTCTTAAAATGCTATTAAATGCAGATAGCATTTTTTTTGCAACAACCTGCAAAAATAAATTTTAGCCATCTTCTTGAAAACACGTGAACTTGGCCTGTGCATCTAAACTTCACCTACTGTGCATGAGACAGCAGGAAATCAAACAGTCAGCATTTATTAAGGGTTGACTTACTCTGTGCCAGAAACTGAGCTAAGTGCTAAGATACAAAACAGAACCTACAAGATAAAAACAGAGTAGATGGAAGAAGCCTCAGAAAGGATAGTTCCTGACTAGCTTAGGCTTGGAAAGGCCTCTTGAACAGCAGCTGAATTTTAACAAAACCCAGAGATTTCTGAAGGAAAGGCAAGAAAGAATATTCTAAGCCCTGGGATACCCAGGAGAAAGTCATTAAGATAGGAGATAGACTTCAGAAAGCAAGCCAAGGTAGCTGGATAGGTAAAGCGTGGAGGGGAAGAATGAAAGAAAAGGAAGAGATCCAGCTGTGATGAGCTGTTTCTATTTGATCCTAGCGGGGGATGGGTCAGAATTACACTTTTGGACTTTGGCAGCTGTGTAAAGGACGGATTGGAGTATGGAGAGACTGGAGGCTGGGAAATTAAGAGGTTACAGAAATAATCCAAGTAAGAAGTGAGAGAACTTGAACTAGGGTGGCAATTGCGTGAGTGGAGAGAAAGGGGCATGCACAAAAGATGTTCTATAGAAAGAACTGCTAAGATTTGGCAAGAACAGAGTGCATGTGTATGAGGAGTCAAGGGGTGACACGTAGATTTCAAACTGCAAGAATGTTCATATCCTGGAGAAAGGTGAAGTTTGGCAGTTCTAGGGGAAACACAGTGTTTTGTATACGTTGAGTCTGAGATACCTAAGGGACATTCAATTTGAAATATTCAGTGGGCTGATGGTGATATGGGAATGGAGCTGGGGATATAAAGGCTAGAAAAAGAGATGTATAATGATGGTAATATTTGTGCGGCACTTAAGTGCTTGCAAAGTGCACTACAAATATCTCATTTGATCCTCACAACAACCCTGGAAGGGAGGTGCTATTATCATCTCCATTTCACAGATGAGGAAAGCAAGGCAGAGAGAGATAAAATGACTTGTCCAGGGTCCCACAGCTAATAACTACCTGAGGACAGATTTGAACTTACATCTTCCTGACTCAAGATCTAGTGCTCTATTCAATGTGCCATTTATATGCATAGAAATGATCATTAAAACAATGAAACTTGGGAACCAAGGAAGAGAGAAGAGTGAGAGAAGGGAAGAAGGCCTAAGACAAACCCTTGGGCTACACCCAGGATAGTGGGCAAGAGAAGAAATGAAATTCCAAGAAAAGTGTATTAAATAAGGGGCAAAATGCTTAAACGTTATTTACGTTCACCAGTTTTGCATCTAGAGTTAGGTAGCACGGTGCTTAGAGTGCTAAACTTGGAATCAGGAAGACCTGAGTTCAAATGCTGCCTCCAACACTTACTATGTAATCTTTAACTTCTCTCAGCCTCAGTTTCTTCATATATAACAATGGGAGCAACAAAAACCTTGTTTAAAATTTAAATTATATTTTTTCAATCAGCAAAAATCCATCTTCTTTTTCTCCCAACCCAGCTCCAAATGAGACTAAGAGAAAAACAAAACCCTTTCTAGGCCAGCAGACGCCATTTCTGCACAGACCCTATCAGAGTCCTACACGTCTTTGTCAGGAGGCTGTCTGGACTCATGGCTGACCACAGCACTGATCAGAATTTCTCATTCTGGAGGCACGAAGCCCAGATGGTAGAATAAAGGTAGGGACTCGCCTGAGCTCTCCCCCAAAACCCCTCCAATACCTTTAAAAACTACTCTAAACAAATTCTGGAGCAGCAGACCCCACAAAAAGATGGAGTGAAACAAATTTCCAGCCCAAAACAACCAAGAAGGTCAACAGGAAAGGTCTGTTGCACCAGGCTGAGAGAGGAGCACAGTCCAGCACAGCCCTGGCCCCAGCAAACCAGGAGCAGGCCTTGGGAGTGACCAAAGCAGCTGCTTCTGGAGCTCTCGGCTCACAGATGCTAAGGGGACCGAACAGCTGGTCAGAAGGAGATTACAGGGGTCTCTCTGCTAGCACTGAGGTACAACTCTGATGCTCTGCTCACTTGGATCTGGGTTGCAGTCCTGGGGTGAGGAGGAGTACTAGCACAGCAGAGCTTACAGCAGCAGTGGAGAGGGGATTCTCCTTACAATTCCAAGGCAGTAGAGAATGTTTGTGGTCACTCACAGACCATAGCACAGGCCAGGAAAAGAGTGAACATCTCTGCTTACACCATACCACCTTGGAAGAACTGAAAACTTACAGGTCCCTAGAAGTATCTCTGAAAACAGCTTGCACAAAACCCCTGAAGTTTGGGCCAGTACATCCTCCACCTACCTTAGTAGTGGAAGTACAGCCCTACCTTAACAAAGAGTTAAAAAGTCAAAAAATGGGCTGGGAACATGAGCAAACAACAGAAAAAACTCTGACTACAGAAATTTACTTTGGTGACAAGGAAGATCAAAACATCCACTTAGAAGAAGGCAACAAAGCCAAAGCTCCAAAGAAAAATATGAATTGGTCTCAGGCCACCGAAGAGCTCAAAAAGGATTCTGAAAATCAAGTAAGAGAAGTAGAGGAAAAGTTGGGAAGAGAAATGAGAGTGATGTAAGAAACTTCTGAAAAATGAGTCAACAGCTTGCTAAAGGAGACCCAAAAAAATACTGAAGAGAATAACACCTTAAAAAAATAGACTAGACCAAATGGCAAAAGAGGTCCAAAAAGCCAATGAGGAGAAGAATGCCTTAAAAAGCAGAATTGGCCAAATGGAAAAGGAGGTCCAAAAGCTCACTGAAAAATATAATTCCTTAAAATTAGAATGGAGCAAAGGGAAGCTAATGACTCTATGAGAAATCAAGAAATTTTAAAACAAAACCAAAAGAATGAAAAGAAATAGAAGACAATGTGAAATATCTTATTGGAAAAACAACTGACCTGGAAAATAGATCCAGGACAGAGAAGTTAAAATTATTGGAGGACTAACTGAAAGCCATGATCAAAAAAAGAGCCTAGACATCATCTTTCAAGAAATTATCAAGGAAAAATGCCCTGATATTCAAAAATATTGGAAGAATCTACTGATCACCTCCTGAAAGAGATCCCCAAAGGAAAACTCCTAGGAATATTACAGTCAAATTCCAGAGTTCCCAGGTCACGAAGAAAATAGTGCAAGCAGCCAGAAAGAAACAATTCAGGTATTGTGGAGCCACAATCAGGATAACACAAGATTTAGTAGCTTCTACATTAAAGCATCAGAGAGCTTGCAATATATTCTGGAGGTCAAAGGAGGTAGGATTAAAACCAAGAATCACCTACCCAGAAAAATTGAGTATAATCTTTCAGGGTAAAATATGGACATTCAATGAGATAGAAGAATTTAATGCATTTTTGAGAAAAGACCAAAGCTAAATAGAAAATCTGACTTTCAAATGCAAGACTCAAGAGAAGCATGAAAAGTTAAACAGGAAAGAGAAATCATAAGGGACTTACTGAAGTTAAACTGTTTACATTCCTACATGGAAATATGTATTTGTAACCCACAAGACCTTTCTCATTATTAGGATAGTTAAAAGGAGTATATATGGACAGAGGGCACAGGTGTGAGTTAAATATGAAGCAATGATATCTAAAAAATAAAATTAAGAGGTGAGAGAGTAATGTACTGGGAGAAAGAGAAAGAGAGACGTAGAATAGGGTAAATTATCTCACATATAAGAGGCAAGAAAAAGCTTTTACAATGGAGGGGAAGAGGGAGGGAGGTGAGAAGGAAGAGTGAACCTTACTCTCATCAGAACTGGCTTAAAAAGGGAATAACATACACCCTCAATTGGGTATAGAAATCTATCTTACCCTAGAGGAGAGTGGGGGGGGGAAGGGGATAAGACAAGTGGAGGGGGTGTGACAGAAGGGAGGGCAGACTAGGGGACAGTGTAATCAGAAGCAAACACTTCCAAGGCAGGAAAGGAGAGAAAGAATAGAATAAACAGGGGGCAGGATAGGATGGAGGGAAATATCATTAGTCTTTCAGAACATGACTATTATGGAAGTGTTTTCCATGACTACACATGTATAAACTATATCAAATTGCTTGCTTTCTCAATGAAAAGAGTAATTGTAATCTATAACTATGAATGCATTTCTCTTAAAGTAGAAAGGGAAAATTCTGTGAATGAGAAAGCAGTTTTATTTTTATATCAGAATTACTAGGGCATCATTATCTAATAAGTTTCTTTGGAATTACAGGAATGTAAACACTACCTTTATTTTAACATTTGAGCTCATTAAAAGTGATTCATAATTAGGTTGCACTTAATTTATAAGAAAAATATCTCAAGCCTGCAGTAACTAACAAAAAGAAAAAAGAACAAAAGCTTTAATGTTGACTTCCCACTTGTGTAAAACAAAAGATTAAACCTAGATTCCTATGACATTCATTACCATCTTGTGGTACTGTTTTACAGCAACTGTGACCAAGATGTATTTGTCACTATTAGATAATGCTTTCAATGAGTAAGGGAACTTGGGATTAGTTTTATAGAGTTTTCTATTTAGAAATTCCTCTTTTGGAATTCCTAAGTCTGGCAAAGCTTTGGGATAAAGGGGGAAAAACTCCAAGAGTTGTGGTTGTAGAGAAGCACTAATTTTAAGAGAGGGGGGGAAAAAAGAACTTCTCTTTCTGTCACAGTGATTTGTCTATCCCAGGTGGCTATGATTGCATAAGCTGCTCCCCTCCTTCTGCTCGCTTCAATCTGCATCAGTTCATACAAGTCTTCCCACATTTCTCTGAAACAATGCTTTTCATCATTTATTATAATACAGTGGTATTCCACCACATGTATAACTTGTTTAGCTAGGTGTCACAGTTGATTAGAGCACTGGGCCTGGAGTCAGAAAGGCCTGAGTTCAAATCTGGGCTCAGATACTTAGTAGCTATGTGACTCTGGACAAATCACTTTATCTGTTTGCCTCAGTTTCCTCAATTGTAAAATGGAGATAATAACAGCACCTACCTCACAGTGCTGTTGTGAAGATAACATATGTAAAGCACTCAGTAAATGGAAATGAAAAAACTGATAGAGTGAGGTCCTGGTGAAGATGAGAGAGCATAGGCAGAGTCAGAGAGAGGAGACTGCCCACTTGTTCCTTTTCCTTTGTTCTCCCCTCATATGATAGCCCTCTTCTCTTTCCTCACTGCTCTCCGTCTCCCTTTGGTGATCTTATCCATTCCCATATACCTCTTGGAGAACTCTCATGTTTCCATTCAATCTCCAGCTCAGGCTGTCAAACACCAGAACTACTGAACTAAAGAAGGAATAGAAATAAAGATCATCAGGCAGATTTCAGAAAAACCTGGAAAGATTTGTATAGACTGATGCTGAATGAAGTGAGCAGAAATAGGAGAATGGTGTACACAGTAACAGCCATGTTTGTGCAATGACTAACTTTGACAGACTTAGCTCTTCTCAGCAATGCAAGGATCTAAGACAACTCCAAAGGCATCATGATGGAAAATGCTACCCACATCCAAAGAAAGAACCATGGAGTCTGAATGCAGATTGAAGCATACTATTTGCTCTTTTTTTTCTTTTGTGTGTTTTGTTTCCTCTTTCTTGTAGTTCCTCCTATTGGTTCTAATTCTTCTTTACAACATGACTAATGTGAAAATGTGTTTAATAGGAATGTATATGTAGAGTTTATATTGACTTGCATGCTGTCTTGGGGAGGGAGGTGGAGAGAAAATTTAAAACTCAAAAGCTTATGGAAGTGATTATTTATAACTCAAAATAAATTAATAAAAAATTTTTGAAAAAGAAATAAAGATCATCTAACCCAACCCTCTAAAAATTAGGACACTGCGGCCCAGAGAATTTATGAGGCACTGTGTGGTATCATGGGCAAAGTGCTGGACTTTTAGTGTAAGCAGAAACCTGCCTTTAAGTCTTGCCTTTGAAAATGTGTGACCATGAGCAAGTCACTTAATCTGTCTGAGGTTCACTTTCTGCATCTGCAAAATGGGCATATTTAGAATACCTACTTTGTGAGGTTATCATGAGAAAAGTAATTTAAAAACCTTAACCTATAATATAAGTGAGAGTTATTATTACTGCCCATGGTCATACAGTGAGGAGGAGAATCAATAACTAAGATTTCTTCAAATCCTAAACTACTATGAAACTATAAAATTATACTGAACAGAATAAATGATTAAAATCATTGTTCAATCTGACCACTGCCAAAATTTTACCTTAACAGACTTTGAAGGTGCCCATAACACACTATAAAAAATTCATTCATACCTCAATGTTCCACTATAAGCACATGCCACAAAAAGTCCTGGAAGTCCTGGAGAATCACTTAGAATCTCCACTGCTAAATAAGACATGAGCTGAAAACAAAAATCACACAAGTTAAATGCTTTTTAATATAATATGGTCAGAGCTTTGAATATTACTACCTTCTGTGAAAGTTCCAGTCCTCACAGTCTCCCTTCTCTAATTCCTATTAAAATTACTGTCTTCAGCACAATTAACAATTTATCATGTACTAAGTCTCCATCTGTTCTTACTTCGAACTTCACCATTCTATCCAACAGTTTAGACCTCCACTTCAGTTCTGGGGCACCTCTACTCATCTGAAGGCTCACCCACCTAGGGACATCCATATAGTAGCAGAAGATGGGAACACAGGCTATTTCCAAAGCACAGCTAGCTCTATGGTAATGGAACAATTTAAAAAATGTGTTTGCTGCAATTTTACTCTGACAAAGATTACAACTCCTTTGCAACTGACCAAATTGTCTCTGAGAGTCACAGGTCTACTACTGGTCCTACCAGAGCTTATTCTCTACTAGTCATGTTCAAGAGCTCAAGTCACCTGCAAGACTCCAGAAGGAATCAAAGTCTGCATTTAGTGGCGGGAAAGTATATTCATCCCCACAAAACAGGGCTATCAATTTAAACTAACAACTTAAAAGCATTCACCAAAAAACTCTAAAATAAATTTTAAGGCAAGACAAATTCTTTAGTAAATTTTTATTGTTCATTATCTCTAAAAGTATAATTCATTATGTTTATTAAACAACTCATTTGTCCAAGGTACAGTGATAGATGTTGTGGACAAAAATACATGTTGTTCAACTTCCCCTGAGCCCTCACCATAGCAGAGCAATCCTCTGATTCCTCCCCAAGTGATTACCCCTACAGGAAGTCTCACACCCTATAGAAACTATTTCAAACTTTCCTTTCTCCTCTGTACTCTCTCCTCTCCCAGCTTTGAGTGTTGCCTCCATTAGAGGTCCCTAACAACACCTCTTTGCCTCTTCATCTCAAAAGCCCCTGGCATACCTCCAATTCCATCCTCCTCTGTACTAGACTCTGATAAAGAGGTGGCTCCACATCCTTTCCTCTCCCTCACTCCTCAACCCTGACAATCTCTTTATGATCTCTTAACTGTCAAATCGGATGACCTTTCTTTTTCCCCCATCTTCTGGACCCCTAACTTGAGCCTCCCTCTTCTTGGTCTTCAGGACATGGCTCCCTTCCAATTCTTGCCCCTAACAAGCCAGACCACCATCCCCTCTCAGGCTCCTCTGCTGACTCACCAGCACTAACAAGCCTCTATCCTAATTGGGCTAGGGTCCCCCAAGGCTCTCTGCTCTCTACATTTCCTCACTTGGTGACCTCATCAGCTCATCAGTGTCTCTACACAGACACCTTTCTATCTAGCCCTGGCCTCTCCTCTGAGACTCAAAGTCAAGAAGAACTCCTTTCCTCCCAAACCCAGCCCCTTCTTATTTCTGCCAAAGGTACCACCATCCTTCCAGTCTACCAGGCCTGTAATCTTGGCAGTATCCTCCACTCCTCATTTCACCTCTATACCACTTGGATCCCCTTCTCTGCAAGTACACAGTTACCACCTTAGTTCAGGAGCTGAGATCAATGCATGGTCTCCTCACTGTTCTGCCTGCCTCAGGCCGCTCTCTCGCCACACTCTACATACAGCTGCCTAAGTCATTTTCCTCAGGCAAACATCTGACCCTACTCAAGCAACTCCAGGGATTCCACATTGCCTCTAGGACCACACAGAAACTCCTCCAGTTAACTTTTAAAGCCCCCTCCACAACCTAGCCCCAACCCATATTTTAGACTCTCATTATCCAGCCAAACTCATCTTCCTCATCCAAGGCTCTCTTGTCTCTCTCTGCCTTTTCCCTGGCTGTCCCACATGCCTAGAAGGCACTGCCTCCTTCCCTCTGCCTCAGAGAGTCCTTCTCTCCCTTAAGGATGCACTTCAAGCATCATTTTCTGCATTAAACCTTTCCTGATCCTCCATCTGATAGTCCCTCCCTCCCAAACTACTGTTTAACTATTCTATACATGTTTGTTGTTGTTGTTGGGGCAGCTGAGTGGCACAACAAATAGAGTGTCCAGCCCGCATTCAGAAAGACCTGAGGTCAACTCTGGCCTCAGACACTTACTGTCTGTGTGACATTGGGTGGGTCACTTAACCTTATTTGCCTCAGTTTCCTCATCTATAAAATGAGCTAGAGTAGGAAACAGCAAACTATTCCAAGATCTTTGATGAGAGAACTCCAAATGAGGTCAAGAAGAGTTGGACACGACGGGAACATCTGAACAATAATAATATATTGCTATTTATTCATGTTGTATTATATATAATGACCATATGTATATGTATATATATTCTTGAATTCACTAAAACATAAGCTCATGGGGAGTAGGAATTTTTTCATTCTTTGTACTTGTATCCCCCACATCTAGCACAGTGCCTGGCACACAAGAGGCACTTAACAAAAACTTGTTAAATGATTTGAGTCTTAAACTTACTTGGTATCTAAAAATTAATTTTAACTTTTAATTTTAAGATTTCCTAGATACATTCCATCATTGCGTCCAGAGACTAGGGATGTCAGAAATGTTTACTTTTCTCCTTTCTTACAACTGACATTTGTTTCCCAATACATCATATTGTTCCCTACTGAATGATTTGAAAATAGAGTTATAAGTTCGAATACTAAACCTGATCTGGTGCTGAAACTTTGTGTGATGTCCAAGGATCACAGTTACGATACATTGAGTATAATCCCAATCCAGAGAGAACTGCACAGACAAGAATTACCCAGAGTCCCAAAAGACTTAAATAAAGCGCTCTAAAGATAATAAGCAAAAAGTAAAATGATTTCTACCCCAAAGAGTAAGGAAATACAACACCTTGAAAAAAAGGAATTATATTATCAATATTATATTGTCCATATACCTCACTTGGTTGTCAATAAAATTCCCTGTTTTTTATAATTTCCTTTTTTTTTTTCATTTTCTATTCATCGCAACCCATTGTATGTGAATGTATTTGGTGCACATTGTCAGTCTTTTCAAAGAGCAGCTTTTAGTTTTGTTAATGAATTATATAGCCATTTTTCTATTAATATGTTTCTCCTCTAATTTTTAAAACTTCCTTGTGTGATCTTATTGCTTTAAGAAGCTGTAATAATTATATCTATGGCCAACAAAACTGAGTCTAAATGATCAAGCATTGTTAACTAGAGAGGACATTTTCATCAAATTCGATTCTAACCTAGGGTATCACAACCCAAATTTAAAAATCCCTCAATTGAATGGCCTAAGACTAAGTTATGAAAATTAACTCAACAGAACAAAGGCTGAGTGAAGTATTCCATGGCTTCAACACACCTAAAATGTATGCCAAGTCCCAGGGCATCCCTCAGTACACCCTGTGCAGTCACTAACTGCTTAAGCCACCTTTTTAAGCATTTCCACACAGGCATATGTAGGGGATATAATTTCAATCCAGCAGGGATCAAGAACAAAACTAAAATGATTTCACACTCTTATAAATACATCCACCTTTTACTGAAATTCTCCTCCCAGAATTTCCTTTGAGGAGGGCCCGAGGCCAGCCATTTCTTTATTTCCTCTCCTCTGACTTGACTACCATTATCACCTCAGCTTTTCAGCTTCCCTTTATTTATTATCTTCCCCCCATTCAACTGTAAGCTCCTTAAAGGTGGAGGTTGTCCTTTTTCTTTTCTTTTTTCCTAAAATTTCCAGTACTTATTACTGTGTGCCTGGCACTTAGTAGGTGCTTAAAGTGATTACTGACTAACAAAATAGCACACTTGGCCAATGCTTATTTTATTAGCTAATATGCCATTAAAAGAAGAAATACATATGAGTGAATCAATTGCTAATTAATCAATTTTTTAAAATTTTTGTCAAGGTCAACTGTCTTCTATATTGCATTAGTATCAGAAAGTAAAAGTAATAGTCATGCCTCATCCAATTAATTTAGCCTTTCCATGAAGACATCAGAAATTTTCAAAGAAAACCTCCTCTGAAATACAAATAATTGATGTCCATGATTCCTGGGAAAATGAGGAAGAGCTGTATGCACAAGTTATCTCCATTGTTTTTAACAACACCATCATTATTAGTCAAAATTAGTTAAACTACTCAGTTCTCATGACAAATTTCTTTCCACTAGCTTCTATGAACACATATAGTAAAATGTAGTTTTCTCTCTTTTCTGTCCATTGATTTTACTCATAAAAAATCAAAACTATTTCTTTATATGGTCTGCTTTCTCTTAAATGAACAGATATGCTCTGCATCAGCTTCCCACATAACTAAACCTACAAGGCTAGTCCTACATAAAATTATTTTTTAAAAAAGTTGGCCTTCCTTGCCAGTTCCTTTTGATGCCCCTTCTCCACTTTGCCTGCCTGCCCCACCAGCAGAGCAGTGTAATGGCATACAAACAGCAGAACTGATATAAGAGGGTGTTGGTTTCTGATTCTGGCACCTTCATAATTTATGACCCGTGTGACTGGAGCAAGTCTCTAAGGCCTCATTTGTAACCTAAAGGAGCTAGTTCAGATCATCTATAAGATCTCTCTCGGCTCTCAATCCTAAGATCCCGCTATCAAACTCCCTCCTGAGTAGGATCACTGGATCAACTGCATGCTCTGCAAACTTCACACATCCATCAAACTCAGGGACATGTCTTTTGTTCTGTTCTCGCAGAGTCCTGTTCTGCTGCATACTAAGCTAATAAAGTCAAGTGTTAAGGATACAATTTTAGCGTCACCTCCCAATAAGATATTAACATCTTAACAGGTATTACTTTAGCAGCTGTAAGAACTGAAGCAAATCAAGCTGCTTTACACAGAGTAGGCACGCCAGTCATGGTGACACAAGGGACCCTGAAGGAGGTGGCAGCATGGACCACGTACGTCAAACCACCACTATCACCTTGACCACTATTGCCCCATCCATGGAGATAGCCCAGGACCCTGAACTCAGTAGTCAAAGGAACGGCCATACTTCCAGCCCTCTGCCATTACCCTGAGAAGGAACCCCACACCACGGAGATGCAACCCATCACCATAGCTACTGAAGACCCAGAAAACAAAGCTTGCCACCAAAGGCCTTAGCACTGTCAATCATTTAACATCAGAAACTGATAAGACTTTCTCAGTGGAAATTACTTCAAAGCAGCATGAGCATTATCTCCTTTGCTACTTTACTGTTCCTTGGGACCATGAGACTTTTCCATTTGACTCACAACTGATGCCATCCATCTCTGTTGTCTCTCCTATTACAATAAGAGAGCAGAGGCTGTTTTACTTTTTGATTTACATTCCTAGTGCTTTGCTCACAGTAAACACCAAAAAAAGAAGTTTCATTCATTCATTCACTCCATCATTCTCTAAGCCTGGGGGGGAAGGAGGGCATTTTGAGGGAGGAGCCTTTCAAAGACTCAAATCAAAATAATGAGGGGAAAATTAATTCTTGATCCTATATTTCATATCTTATTTTAATCTGGAAGTGATTTTATTTTGTAATCATATTCTATGTAATAAACCTAAAGCCTCTTCTCTGTTTCTGAATGATGTTCATGGGTACAAAAGTTAAGTCTCCTTTCTCTTTGAAGATAAGATACTAAAGACCTAAGCTTTCCCACAATCACTATTAAAGAAAAACTATTTTCAATACCATCATAAAACATTATCTCAGCATTTCCTGCAAGGTTTGCATGTTATCATGTTATATCCAGAAGCTGAATTAAATGACCTTGTCCCATCTTTAATAATTAAAGTGGTCTTATCTAATCTGCAGGCACCAGTGAGTCTGTACACCTGACTCAAATATACCTAATATACTGAGTATATACCTAATACACCTACATACCCAGTGATTAACTTCAGGATGCAGTTGGGACTCAAAAAATTCACAAAAGCATTCCTTAGACATAGAGGCATGATCTACATCCCACAAGTGGGCTATGCCCACTTTCTTTGATTAAAGCAACAATGATCGCTCATCCCTCTGATGCTAATCAATGATCATTTCTGTTCTGCTTTGTTTTATGCTTATAAAAATGAGCTGCATCTTCAATTTGGGGTCTTTGGCATAAATGAAGGCAAACTATTAACCCTTTATTATCAAGTTGCATGTCTCTTAATAAATGATATCTTGCTTAGGGAATCAAACTTCACATGAGACACCATACAGGTAGTGGCCAATTCCAACAACACATAAAACTCATGCTGTATGCCAATATGCTTCAATCAGTAGGTAATATAACACTATTTTTTTGGTGTTTTCCTTTGATTTAATTTTATTTTTTAATAATATTTTATTATTCCCCAATTACATGTAAAAATAATTCCTAACATTCGGTGTGGTTTTTCTAAATTTTGAATACCAAATTCCTTCCCTCCCTCCCTTACTTACTTCCCCCCTACCTGAGACTGTAAGCAATCAGACACTGGTTATACATGTGCAATCATGTAAAATGTTTCCATATTAGTCATTTCATAGAAAAAGGCTTGAAGGAGGAATGGAAGGAAGGAGAGAGGAAAGGAAGGAAGGAAGGGGAGAGAGAGGAGAAAGAGAGAGGAAGGAAGGAAGGAAGGAAGGAAGGAAGGAAGGAAGGAAGGAAGGAAGGAAGGAAGGAAGGAAGGGAAGGGAGGGAGGGAGGGAGGGAGGGAGGGAGGGAGGGAGGGAGGGAGGGAGGGAGGGAGGGAGAATACTTCAGTCTGTATTCAGAAGCAGTTCTTTCTCTGGAAGTGGATAATATTTTTCATCATGAGTCCTTTGGGACTGTCTTGGATCACTGTATTGCTGAGAATAGCAAAGTCATTCACAATTGTTCATCATACAATATTGTTGTTAACTCTATACAATATTCTCCTTGTTCTAATCACTTCGTTTTGCATCAGTTCATGTAAGTCTTCCCAAGTTTTTCTGAAACCATCCTCCTTGTCAATTCTTGTGGCACAATAGTTTTCCAACACAATCACAAACCATTTGTTTAGCTATTCCCCAACTGGCAGACATCCCCTCAACTTCCAATTCTTTGCCACCACAAAAAAGAGCTGCTATAAATATTTTTGTACATGTGGGCCCTTTTCCCTTTTCAAATGATCTCTTTGGGATACAAACCTAGTAGTGGTATTGCTGGATCAAAGGGTATGCACCCTTAGATACCCCTGTGGGCATAGTTCCAAATTGCTCTCCAGAACGGTTGGATCAGTGCATAACTACACCGAGAGTGTATTGGTGTCCCAGTTTTCCCACAACCCCTCCAACATTTATAATTTTCTTTTTCTGTCATATTAGCCAATCTGATAAGTATGAGGTGATACCTCAGTTGTTTTAATTTCCATTTTTCTAATCAGTAGTGATTTAGAGCATTTTTTCATATGACAATAGACAGCTTTGATTTCTTGTTTTGAAAATTGCTTGTTCATATGCTTTGGCCATTCATTAACTGGAGAATGACTTGTATCCTCATAAATTTGACTCAATTCTCAACACATTTGAGAAATGAGGTCTTTATCAGAGATATCTGTAAGAAAAATTTTCCCAGTTTTCTGCTTTCCTTCCAATTTTGGTGGCATTGGTTTTGTTTGTGCAAAAACTTTTTGATTTTACACAATCAAAATTACCCATTTTACTTTTTATAAATGCCTTCTATAACTTGTTTGATCCTAAATTCTTCCCTTAGGTAAACTATTCCATGCTCTCCTAATCTGCTTGTATTACCCTTTATGTTGAAATCATGTACTCATTTTGACCTTATCTTGGTATACAGTGTAAGATGCTGGTCTATATCTGGTTTCTGCCA